AATTACAATTTTATAATTGTTGTTTCAATTTAGCTCTTTAATTAAATGCTGAAAATACAGTATGATGAAAAAAAGGCGCCCGTGTTAACCCACACATTATAAGTGATCTTTTATTAAAGACGACCAAAATTGGATTTGTGCTCTTATCAGTAAGATATAGACTTTCCTTTTTAGAAAAGAGAAATCTATATAATTAACAGTTTTACAATAATTTCATTGTTAAAGTCTAGATTTTGATAATGTTGACGGTGTTCTTAAAAAAAATGTGTAAAAAGTCTATTGAAATAAACTTTACTGAAGATGTTTGGATACCATTTCTTGGCTCCAAAGAAAATTTATCAATGTTCCAACATTGCAAATATCCTAGGATATAGAAAATGTCCAAGTAATATTCAATTATTGGAAACGGTAGCAACAAAAAAAATCAATTTTCAATGTTGTTAGTTCTGTGAAATTTGAACGATTAAAGTCAAAAAGGTTTCCTAGATACGAAAAATACCTGAGTGAAATAGTTTTTTAGTAAAAGAAATTTGTGCAATATTGCCGCTTTGTGCTGTTAGACAAACTGTTTAAATTTTAAAAAGAATCTATTTAGACTATTTTTGGGATGATGGTCACAATGTTTCAATAAAAAAGGAAGCGCCTGTTTCAATCGTGAGCGCCTTTTTTTATCACCCTGTATATGTATTATAATTTTCTCCCAACAAGGAATAAAGTGAAGCTATATTCCTCCGCGTTTGACTAATAATCTAATATGTATTTCCCTTACGAAAAAAAAAAAATAAAATTACTTTTTTACTTTTTTTACTTTTTACTTTTAAAGTTGCAATGGAATAAACTGGATATTATTATTTGAGACTATTTGACAAATTTATTATTTTTGATATTTTATTGTTATGTTATTATTAATTTAGTCTGTTGAGAGGAAAGTTTTTAAATGCAACTCTAGAAATAAATATTGTTAATCCCTTTAATTAAAATTAACTACAGGCTCGGGATTAAAATACATAGTTGTTCATTGATACATAAATAACTATTAAAAAATGTATGTACCAAGAGGTGTTCCGTTTTTATTGTTACAAACTTAAACAGATAAAACTGAAAATTTTAAGACAAAAGTTTCCTATGAACATGTATCGAAAAAAAATATATATATAAGAGAGCTACACCCCCTCACAGGAGTACGTCTTTTAATGTTTTTTTTTTCGATATTTCAGAAAACATTTGAAATAAAATTACAAAATTTGGTACAACGCATAAACTTTATACACCTAAACGAATTCAAAAATAAAATGCCAAAGTTTTAATCAGGGGTATCCTACACTGGGAGGGAGGTTTAGGGTAAAAGCTGTCCTAACTACCTATTTTGGCTGTAGTTTTTTGTCAGTTTTAGCAAAAAAAATCTAAATTTCATAATTTTTTACAAAAAACAGGTCTCTTGCATTTTTTTGATGCAACTTACCGTTTTTGAGTAAAATCAGTGTTCCAGAGAATAAAAATTTAAAATTAAATTCGTTTTACATCATGTCCCCAGTTTAGAACGCCTTTGATTAAAAACTTCAATATTTGATTTTTAAATTTGTTTAGATGTATTAAGAACATTAGCTGTACCAAAATTTGTAATTTTATGTATTAGGAAATACGCATTAAAACAAGCACCCCATTCAAGGGGCGTAGCTTTTTTACATAGTATTTTTCTAATATAAGAAACTTTTGTCTTAAAATTGAATATTTTATCACCTGTTTAAATTTGTAATAATAAAAACGGAATATCCTGTATAAAAAATTGAAACTTTATTTTGAAGACTTTTTTGAATACTAGACCATCAAAGAAATGAGCAAAAGGTGTGTATTGGTATATTGCTAAAAGGTATGGATAGAGGTAAATATTTTATTCCTATATAACTTTTTATTGTTCGGTAAATACGTGTAATTCCATCCCTTGGTTGGGAGGTATAATTTATATTTACCAAAGTTTCGAGGCCATCAAATGTCAAAAACGTAATTACCTCGATGTTAGAAAAACAGATATTTTCTTTTTTAAACGCCTAGTGGTGTTTAAATGAGGCTTCGTCCAATATACCCAATATATAAAAACGGTTCATCAAAGTGTGGCGAAAGGTCAGATTTATCTTTTGGAAAAGAATATTTTGTCTTTAATTTATTAATGTAACATAATTTTATCGCAAAGTACAAAAATAATACGATTTGATTTTATAATTTTTATTAGAATAATATTTATTCGAGTATTTAATCTTGTAAATAATGAATTCGTCTGATAAAATTTCAATCATTTTAAATACTAGATATTAAATTTAAATATTATTAATAATTTAAAACGTTGTACCTGCAACTAAATATTTATTACCCAAATTTCTTTTATTAATAATCTTTGATAAATAATAATAATCTTTGATTAAAAATTTTGTTCAACGTGTTTATTATTTCCAGGAAGTAAACAGAAAGCTCGATTCTACTAAATACTCTACATTTTAAATTTTGTTAGAATCAGTTGGGAAAAAAATGAGTTATTAAGCCCAAAAGTCGTAGGTGAAACACAATAACAAATGTCATAAAAATATTATTGTTTCGGATATTATTTCTGATGAAAATTTGGACTCTAGAGTGGTTCCAGAAAAGTATTGATTTTGAAACGTTCTATACATACTCTTCTTTGGCAATAAGTAAACAACAAAAATCTATATGATGTTATGTTCAATAAAACCACTATTTCGTAGTCTTCTAGAAAGCGAAATTTTTAGTGACAATTTGTTGGTACACTTGCTCGTAGTTTCAGTTCCAACATGAATACAAATAGTTGTAACTATTGAGGAGATAACTCTCCAATCGCCTCCGCTCCGGTCAATAAAGCGCGTCCCTCCGGCAACCAAACCTGTCGAAAACAGTGATTACCGATTAAACCAAATATCGGGGGTGGCAAAGCCCGGAGGTGCGCCCTCACCAAATGACCACAGACATGTGAATCACGAGTGACCTCGGACGAGCAGGGGCTCTAATTACGTGGGTCAAGTGCGGCGTGCACTTCCACGCCTCCCTAACCTGTGAGAACTCGGTTCTATGCACCTTACCGGCCCCCGGAGGACAGCACTTTGTCTCGAAAAGAATACTAAATTGCTCCTCTCATGATTGTTTGCGATTTATAAGGGCATTGTCTGCTCTGACTAACCAGTAAATATAGGCGGTACTTCATTGCGTTAACAAAAAGACCGCAAAGATTGATATTTAACAACTGATAATTGGCAGCAGGACTCCGGAGCAACTTATATGACGTTCGTAATTAATTTTGCATGGCTTGAGTATACTGAATAATGATGATATATGCGGACGACTAGTGTAATTTATTCTACTTACAATTATTTCTCAGATATAATCACTTTTTCAGTTTTCACTGCTAATGCCATTCACTGATATTTTTCACTTTTAGTAATAAGATTAAATCAAAGTTGGAATAACCACATCCGCAACTTTTACTACTAAATTATTAAAACATGGATAAAATCTGTAATTCTGTAATTCAAAAAATGTAATTTTTTTCATAGATTTGCACTAATATAGTGCTTTAAAAATCATTTCCTCACTACAGATTTCTAGTGAAAGATAATTAGAGCAACATAACGGCGTGAAGTAAATAAGTAACATCTCTGATGACCATTTAGAGTGTTTGCAGTAAATTGGTGCAAGAACTTATGCTAGAATAAGAAAGATCTAGTTAAAGTCGTAAAACACTGATGCAAAAACTGTTATGACTAAAATGCTTTTAGTAAATTTTACAGCTGTTTTTTACTCCAACATTAACGGTTTAAACAGTTTTAGAATAATGTCGACCAGCAGGAAGGAATGAATGAAAGAAAACAATTAATTGAAATTTGTAGCTTACTCACTGTAAATATTTAAAAAGTATATAATTTAACTAAAAAATAGCTTCCTCTAAAGAAAATATGTGGAAGCAGTGTACAGATTTAGATTTAGGTACTCATCTAACAATAATTAGAAAAAAAGTAAAAACAGGTGGTTAATAACCACTTTACTATTGGAATAATAATAGAAATACCATCTAGATCAAGAAACTGAAAGGAAAATTATTTTAAAGTATTTTTTTAATTCAGGAACCCACTACGTACTATTTTGTTTTAAGTATTTTAAATTGAAACTATTGAGACATTTTTCTAGTTTATCCTTTTTCTTGCAACTCAACTTTCCCTCTGAAAATGCTAGACAAAATTACCCACCGCTTATTTGCAAGTCTTATCCACGTAAGTCTTCATCATACACTCACGTTTTCGTAATGACACCGTGAACTTTGCGCGAAATAACGTAAATCATCCTACATTAAACACGCATTTACGTCCACCCACGTAAAACGTTTACGTGCAACTCAATAATTCCTCCAATCTCGTAAATCACTTTCATTCGACTTTTTCTAACACTTGTTGATGGTAAAATGTTTCCGACAAGCGAAACGAAAAGTGTCATTTTCATATTCTGCAAGATGTGAGCCGTTGCGAATCGAGCCGGGGAAATAGGAATTTTTTCGAGAAAATAATTGAAGTCAAAGTTGAAGAATTTGGTTTATTGAGCGTAACGAATGGAGTGATAAAGACACAAACGAACGCAATTATAGAGCTGAGATTAGACATTATCTTTTAACTAAGAAGTTATTATAGAGCGGAAATTTGATTAAATTATAATTTTTGCCCCAGTCAAGACTCACCTAAGAATTAACTTAGAATCACCTTCCGATTACGGATTTGAATCGTAATTACAATTTATTAGCATTTAAGTACGAATTAATAGATTTTTCACCGGTCGCCTCTTTACTTACGGTAATTACCGCAATTCCTCAATTTAATTAAAATTTACATCCTCATTTCGTCCTAAATACCGATGGGTCTGTAAATGCAGCCAATTAATTAATTCACTTTATTACATTATGAATCAGGACTAGTCCAATTAGTCTTAGTCGCAGAAGAGTCCGATTTGCACAAGCATGGACCTCGATGACGTTTTGCCCCAAGTCGGCGAATTTGGACGTTATCAAAAATTAGTTTTGTGGTTTATTTTACTTCCCGGAGTTTTCCCTTGCGGGTTTCACGCTTATAATCAACTTTTTATGGCGGCAACACCTGACCATTGGTGTAGAATCAAAGAGTTGGAAGAATACGATGCAAGATTAGTCCGGAATATAAGGTAGATTTTGTGAAACCACACCTTCCGGGTGGGCTGAGGTTATTGAGTTTTCGATATAATAAGCGTCTTGGTACTTTACCATAATTAATCATGTAAACAATAGCGCGATAAGATCTTTTAACACCGAATAATTTTAGTATACCAACTGTAGTTCTGTTAGATGGACAAACAAGATTCAGTCAGTGTACAATGTATGATTTGAATTACACAAATTCTTTGGAGTTTTACGAGTCGGTGAATTATACCAACGTGAGGACGGTTCCATGCGAACATGGATGGGTTTATGATAAAGAAGGTCATGAGAATACTATTATTACGGAGGTAGGTTGCCTCTCCTAAAAATGACTTCAACACGGAAAAATTTTTCAGTGGGATTTAGTTTGCGATAAAGACCTTTCAGCCACTCTGGCTTTAGTTCTTTTAGGCCTTGGTGGCCTTCTCGGCAATTATTTTTTTGGTTACGTCCAAGATGGTATCGGCCGAAAACCTGCTTTCTTTATTTATCTCTTCATACAATGCGTCTTTGGCATAGCGACCGCCTTTGCAAATAATTTTGCCACTTGGGCCATTTTCCGCTTTGGAGTTGGCTTCACGGTGCCGGCAATATTGGGTACCCCTTATGTCCTAGGTATGCAAGTAAAGCTTACCATAACAGTGATTCAACCATTGAACCTGGTGCAGAAATAAAGACACTCTTTTTTGTAAATATTTTAATAGGAATACAATGAACGAAAAGGGTTTTTAAAATCCACAAATTTTTAATATTACTAAAAGTAATTTTTCACAACAATAACATCCATAATTCGTGTTTTGTCTTCTTTTTAACCAAAAAATAGAGATGTCTTGCACTAAGAATTTTCACATAGTTTTTAAAAGCCACTTTGGCCCATAAATAAGATGATTAAAACTTAATTTCTTTTAAATAGCCTTTTTACGAATAAGGAAATCAAAATAAAATTTACAATTTTGTGTAATAATATACTGGAAATGTGTTGAAACTGGATAATTAGCGATTGAGTCATAAATTACAGTGCTCAAGTTGCTTTATTTTGGCCGAAAATTAGGATCTAAGCAATTATTTTGTTGAACTATATTGATTTAGGTTGATTTCTCGCTTAAAATCCAAATTTATAGGAAATAGCACAAGCTACTTTATTTTGGCAGAAAATTAGGAAAACAAAAAGCTAAGCATTTATTTTGTTGAAATACATTGATTTATGTTGATTTTTGTCTTAAAATTGAGTCAAATCTATTGGAAATAGAACAAATTGCTATATTTTGGCTAAAAATTGTTCTGCTTTCAGCAATTGAACTTGTGGGTCCTCGACATCGTACCCTAGTCACAATTTTGATTAATATAGCTTATTCCTTGGCATTAGTTAGTTTAGCTATAATTGTGTGGGTTATCAGAGAGTGGCGAATGCTAGCTCTGGCTACAACTTTACCCTTTCTCACCCTTTTCCTTCACTGGTGGCTCTTACCAGAAAGTCCAAGATGGCTCCTTGCACAAGGGAGGATAAAAGAGGCTGAAAAAATTCTCCTTCAAATGGGAAAGTAAGATTTCTGTATTTTGTCACTTAAGAAAATAATGTGTTGTTTCTTTGTAGAATCAATGGAAAAAAATTACCGGAAAATTTTATTTTGAGTCTAACAACACAAGATATGAATCAAAATGTTGTTCAAATTGACTATGGAATTAGACACTTGTTTCAGTCACCAAACCTTCGTTGGAAGACTATAATTGTGACATTTATTTGGTTTACAAATACTAGTGTTTATGTAGGTTTGTCCTATTATGCCCCGGCTCTCGGTGGTGATGAATTTTTGAATTTTTTCCTTGCTGGTGCGGTGGAACTACCAACATATCTTTTTCTTTGGCCAGCAATGGAGAAATGGGGTCGTCGATGGTCGCTTTGTGTCAGTATGGTTGTTGGAGGTTCTGCTTGTCTTGCAACTTTCTTAGTGCAAAATGGTGATTCAAACTCCTCACAGTGGGCAAAAACTTAAAACTTTTTAGATTCTGTAATAACACTTGGTCTTTACTGCATTGGCAAAATGGGAATATCGTCTTCGTTTGTGGTTTTGCCATTGATGGCTTCGGAATTGTACCCAACTGTGGTTCGAGGTTTGGGTATGAGCGTGAGTTCAATGATGGGAATGTTGGGTCCGGTGTTTATTCCGATGGTTAACTATCTGGTAAGTCTTTGAGTTTATGGGTTTATGGGTTCGACAAGCTGTCTATTTTGTTCAAGGGATCTGATATGCTGACTCTCCCATTGATAATTATGGGTACGATGTTAGTGATGGGTGGTGCCTGTTCCTTGTTATTGCCGGAAACCTTAAATCAGCATCTTCCGCAGACTCTGCAAGATGCTGAGAAAGCCGGACTCGATTGTTTTGCATGCTGCACTCCTCCGCAACTAGACTCAAAGATACGCGCCATGCACGAAAGTCGTTTTTAATCATGATCGATCTGTGTAAATCACATGCACGTGAAATTGAGTGCATTGCCTCTTTCGATACAATTTCACGGTCTTTGTAGCCACCGGTAAATGGTAGACCCTCCTTTCAATTAGATCGTAATTACGCCGATACTGTGTGTATGTAGAACGAATCTGTAATGGATTTCTTACACTATATGCAATTTTTATTGTGCACTCACATTACATAAAAAATTAACATAAGTACCTATTTTGACCAACAAGTAAAAATAAACATTGAAACAAGAAGTTTTGTAGTAATTTTGTCTAAAACTATTTCCCGGAAAACACAACAGAACCAAAGATACAAAGTAAAGAATTAAGATAATAAAATAACAGAAAAAAATACGCAAAATCATTTGCGCAACTTGTGACATTATTATAACACTTTCGATTAAGTAAAGCGGTTTTATGAGTTTCTTAATCTCTGTAATCTACTCAACATATGACTCCTGGCAATAAATTAAAACTTAACTTACAACTTACACCATGTGCGAGATTTCATTCTATTTGATACGTAATTACAAATAAAAGACTATCTTTTATGTAAATGTAAATATAAATGTGATTTAAATATAATTTGATATAACCATACACGACAACGGTTTTCTCAACAAACTCACTCAGAACAGATTTTTTCTCTAAATACATAAAATTTGAAAATACTGAAAAAATACAGTTTTCTTTATTGGAGTGGATTAAAATACCTAAAGTAAAGAACAAAAACACGATTAAACCCGTCACACCAAACTTTTATTTCAAGTGTGTTTGAACACTCACTCACAGTGTTTGAAATAAAAGTTTGGTGTGACGGGTTTAATCGTGTTTTTGTTCATCGTTTCCATACCAAGAGGATCCAATAAGAAATACCTAAAGTAAAGTATATTAAAATTGAGACACGAATATACCTAAATGTTGATAATAGTTTCATCCAAAAAAAATCTAAAGGTTACATATTAATAACTCACTTTAGTTTAAAGAAAAAGTTTTTTTCTCAGTAATATTAAATAAACAGTTTACACATTAACGGAAACGGTAACCGTTGAGGTTCACGTACGGACGGACACGATGTGGTGTTGTTTCATTTTCATAATTATTAATCTTTGAATTAATTTAATTAATTAATTTATGATTGCCTAGAATAATAAGAAAAGCCGCAAGAAGCGCAGACTGCCAGATCAAGAAGACCATCAACGAACGTCCTGATTTAGCCAGGACATGTTTAGGTTTTTATTGTCTTGTCTTGTTTCACATTATATGTCCTGATTTATCTCGATGTAAGGACCAACACACCTAAGAGTGCAATTTTTTGAGATTTTCATTTGCAGCGAAAACAAAGTATCTTTCAAGTTTTAAAGTCTTCTTTTTGTCGTCAATTTTGATTTTGAATTGTCTGAAATCTAACCTTATGTCAGATTTCAGATTTGTGTTATTATTATTGTGTTGCATCTTGCATTTGAACGAAAACTCCAGTAGTGGTGAAAAGTTACGAGGCAACCTTCTTACTTTATACATCTTGAACATCCCTATTGCTATTTTAAAGTTTAACGTTTTAAATCCCAATTAAATACCTAGAACAAAACGTAGGCAGGTTAAGGTGCAAATTCTCCGTCACAACATTGGCGCAAAGCGCATAAAGGGCTCACACATAATAGTATTTTCATAATTCATAAAAATAAAAATTGGAGTTACCTTTAATGAATAAATGTAAATCCCAATTAACCAATTTCGGTTCTTTTTTCAATTAATCTAAAGTTCAAAGTGATTGGTTTCTCCATTGGTTTCACATTAAAATAACGGACCAATCACGTCTTTGTATTAAATTTTTGAATGAATCCAAAAATCTTAAGTGATTGGTTTTTTACATTTTTATAATGGCCGACTTTAAACTGCCCAATCACAATGCTTACAACTTTTACAATAAGTAATTCTTACATTAATTAAATCGAATAAATGTTTATTCAATTATTTAACAATAATTTGTGTAATTTTGTGATAGGCAACTTGCAATACCCAAATAAACCTGTTTAGGCAACACAAAATATTTCTCATTTTATAGGCAACCCCGAATTTATTTGCGATATCCCACAACTGTAATAATTTTTTTTTTACGACCCTAACAGAAAGTAAGTTTTTCCACTCTAATTTCAGAAAGGAAAGTGGCCAGTTATCTCTTTCATATTTTAAAATTACAATCATTATAATCTTCTAGCTGCAGAAACAGAAAATAGGACGTTCCATTTAAATTGTTAAAGTTATTTAACTTTTAACAAACTTTATTATGTTTTTATTTGTACAAATGCAACGCACAAAAACATTTTGAAAGTCTTAAAGCTTGTACTTTTTTCTCTAAAGTTGTAATTTTTTTTTTTCTAGTTGCCTTCAAAAACGAAGCAAAATCAACATAAAAATTTAGCTTAAAAACATCATAATGAAAAGTTACATCCAAATATGCCAAAAAACATATGGCATTTCATTTTAAAAAACATGAGTTTGTATTGTAACTTATTTTTGGCACACTCTGTAATCTGTATAGTTGAAAATAATTTCAGGCGATGCACTAGTTTAGTATCTATCAATTTCTTGTATACATTTTTTCAAATTTTAACATTAAAAGTCAATAATGGACTTTACCAATTCTATTTTGCGCTAATTGTAATTTAAGTGCTTGATTTTATTATAATAACTTGTAAAATCTCACTTTAATTCTTCACTTCGCTGACTTTTAATTTAATATTTCTTTGAAATTTTACGTTATTGATCGAAGCAACAAGTTGTTATTATGTAGTAACTAGGATACCGAAAATACAAACAAGAATCGTTTGCGTTACTTGCAGTCACAACAATGTCAATTTCGCAGGTAATTTAAAAAAATCGCTAATATATTTTTTTCAGCATTATTTATTTATAACCTTAGGATGATATCAGCGAATTCAATTCCCCTATAAAATCAGTACCTAGCGCATCTAAAAAACGAAACAAGGTAATTTCCCCTGTGGACCAATCGCCTTTTTCCAATCCTTTGAAGAAAGATGTTTTCGAAATGTTCACTATCAAAACGCCCTCAAGAGCCAAAGTTTTGACTTCTGATAGTCAAGACACATCCGAGTTATCTGACGATGTCTTCATCAAACCGAAACCTGTCTCAGTTTCAACCCCTGGTAAATCATACAGGGAAAAAATTAACGAAAGGTTCAAAAATGTTAAAGAAAAAGTTGGGAAATCTACAAAGAAGGCAAACGTATTCAAGGAAGCTGCGGAAAACATTCGCTTGGAAAGAGTGAAAAGGGAAAGTCACGATATAGACGCCGAGCTCGAATTAATGAGAGAACGTTTGAAACTGGGACAAACTCCAGAAAATAGACACAATTTCGAGTTTTTTTCTAGTGAAAAATGTCAAGAAGTTGAAGAGAAAGAAAGTGAAGATAATTTTCAATCAACTGACAATTTAACTGATGAAGGACCCGAATTAGTTTTTTCACTACCTAAACAAATAAAAACACTTGTAAGAAATTCAGAAGAAGCTTTATTTTTCAAGCCTCGAGTGTAAGTAACTGAGATACATTTAAAAAAATATGTAAAAGGAATATCTAAATAATTTTAGAAAACCTGTTGACATCATTGATAAAATCGAGACTGAAGAACCCAGATTTTTAGAAGATGAAGGCTTCTATACTCCTCCGAGTCCCAAAATATCCAATCAGCATTTATATCTTTTAGAACAGCGACTTTCATGTGACGACAAGTGAGTAGCCATTCAAAGATTTATTCCTAAATTTATTATTTTTAAATAAAAGAAAATGGTTCAACTGTGATGGAAAGCTAAATATTCTCGAAAATCCTTGTCAAAAAAACTCTTACCGTCCACGTTTGAAGCACCTTTCGGTGAAAGAAGTTGCCACTTACTTACCTGCAACACGTGAAAATAACGAATGTGAAGAAATTGTAGTTATTAGTGAGAATTTGCTCCAACTACAAATTTTATGTTTGAAATTTACTCATCACCCTTTGTTCAGTTTAGAACACGTGCTTTGCCAAAAACTCAAAAAGTTGTATTACGAGTATGAGGACAGTGTGGCAAAAAATGAGTTTATGAGACTTAGCGGGCGATTAGAAGGCCTGAGACGTGTTTTGAAACGTTTGGAAGAAAGTTCAAGTCAATCGGGAGAACAGTCAGATAGAGAAGATGACAAAATGGAAGCTTACAAGCGAGATATAAGAACACTACAAGAACAAGTTTTTGAAGAGGGAAGAAAGGAGAGAAACCGTACAAAAGAAATTTTGAAAACATGGAAAGCAATTAAAAATATGAGAGAAAATAATAACTATTCAAACACGTCTTTAAAATTAATAATAAAGAAGGAGAATGTCAATTACGAGACTGACAAAGAAAATTTTGATCAAACCTTCGAAGAATTTTACGAAGATTGTCTTGAAATAAATCGGGAAAAACCTCGTCGGAAAAGGCAAAATGAAAACGACATCCGACAAGAGTTGCGTAAACGTTTCAAGGAAAGTTTTAGACCTCCTGGTGAACCAATCCTACATTTCATCCTAACAAACGAAAACGAAGTAACCAAACAGGTGGAAAATTCGAAAGAAGTGTCGCGAAGAGTTGCTACAGCCACCACCAAAATCGCTTTAAAAATAGTTTGTAACAAAATGGAAGTGTGTAAAACAAGATGGGTTGCCCTCCAAGACGATTTTATTTGCAACTTCAACGAAACAATTTCAATTCAACTAACCAACATTCCCAAATTCCTCACAATTGAAATAATCGAGCAACCAAAGTCGCTCATTAAGAGAACCCTCGGAGAACTAGAGATTAAAATACCGACTCGGAATGTTTCAAAAATCGATAAAAAAGTAGCCAACTTTGAGAAAAGCGAAATCGTTCATTACAAACATGAGGGTGTGGGAAGCGGGGTTAAAATCGAAAATTTGGGCGATTCTGAACTGACCACTTCGGGTTGTTTGACATATTCCATGTCTTGGGATGTTTCAATAGCAAATGATAACAGTCCAGATAATAGCGCAAAAATTTTGGGTGAAATAATAGACAAGAATGGAACAATCGATTCGGAAAAGCTGGTCCAGTGGATGCAGCAGCGCAAACCTGACCCTCAGGATCCAAGAAACTCGATTTTGTACGAATATTCCTTAGATTGTGGCGACGAAATTGTTTCTGCATCTAATAAAAATTACTTCCGCTTGAGTGGGCAAGAATGGCAATTTTGCGACCCCAAACTAATCGAAGATAATCTAAGACTCAAAATTTTGCAATTGCGAAACCAGAATGAGCCAGAATTTGATCGAATGACAGTCCCAAACAGGATCAAAGAGATTCCCCTCGATATTTTAGCCGATTACAATAGAAGAGTGGCCATGGAACAAGAAAATTTGGTTGAGGAAGATGAAGACGATGACGACGAAATTGAAGCAAAAAGAAGCAAAGGGCGAAAGTTGTTAAAACAAATCCACATTAGAGTGTTTCAAAAGTGCAAGAATTCGGAAAATAATCTCACTTTTGAAGACGTGGTAGACGAGAAATTCATGCCTCAGTTGGAGTAAACAAACGCTTTCTTACAAATCAGAATACTTATTGTGTATTTTAGAAAACTTATCAAGGGATTGGTTGCTAATTTCCTTAGTTGGTTTCAATGGCGGCCCTTAAAACCGCCATTGTTCCCCTTACAAACAATTCAAGAATCAAAATCAAACGATTATAATTTGCAGAGTCAAGTCAAAATTAAGGTTCACGTAATTTCTGGTTTAAACATCCCTCTACGAAACACCAGTGAAACTATGGCTTTTATTGAGATTCAATATAATAATACCACTGTGCGAACAGCTACAAGTCAGGGGGCTCACCCTAACTGGAACGAGAAGTTGATTTTGCCACTGGAACCATCTCATTTAGATTATTTAAATCCAAACTCGCTTAGCGGCAGTGTCATTTTGAATATTTTCGATGAGAGTGAAACAGTTTTGATGAAATTTGCAGGCCAGAAAAGTCGCACATGGCTAGGGTGTGTGGAAATTCCATTATCGGCCATTTGCTCGAGTGGTGTAGGTCAACAATTTCTGTTTTTGAATCGTTTTCAAATTTGTGTTATAGATACAGGGTATGTTTAAGGTCAAAATCCCGCACATATTACTCGGATATCAAAGCAACAGCAAACCTATGAGAAATAACTCCCAAAATAATCAACAAACTTTCTTGAATCTTCATCTGACTATGGAACCTAACGTCCCTAAACTTAATCCTGCAATAGTTGAGTCTCTTCTCTTAAATTGTAGTTTTCTAATTTATTGTTACAGGATGAGCTTCCTTGTGCCGATGTTCCTTACATTGAGGACTACATTTTGAAATGGAACGCCGATTACAATTTCAGTTTTCCAAACCGGAAATTTTCAGTTTTGGCCATTGATGCGAATGCGACAACTTCTTGCATCATTCGCTACATCAAGCCTCTGGAACCTCCCCAAATAAATGTGGAAGGGTTTGATGTAACTCCTGAACAGTGTGCCCGATTTGTCTCCTTGATTCCCTTCACCGATTGCAACCAGTTTTACAAAAACATTTGGCTTTCAGTTGATGTAATTATTTGTTTCTTAGTAATGCAAAAGGTCATTTAAAATTTTCAGCGATTTTTGCACTACATGACTGGTTCAGTCATCGACCACGCTGTAGCATTGGCTTGCTATCTCCTCGCGTTAAAACTGGAAGTTTGGCTTCTTCTAGGTTTTGGAATTCCTTACGGTTCTACTGCCTATGTCCTCGTGAAAGAATATGACAATAATCGGGTTGCAAATTTTTATGTCTATGACCCGGTTTCAGGCAATAAAATCTACTTGACTGATGCTTTTTGTCCTCTTCAGCGCGTTTATTGTCTCGTTAATGAGCACAACGTAAGAAAAATAAATCACTAGCACGCACAGTATTGAAAAATTTCAGATATGGGCCAACATTCAAAGAAATGATGATGTGACAGTGATGAGATTTGATTTAACGCGACGTTCGGATTGGTTACCCTTATTTACCGCTCAAATATCAGCCCCGACTAATTCAATTCATGGGAAAATTACGTATTTGCCTCAAATAAATACAGAGGAATTGGAAATTATCCTTGACAGGAAAATCCGGAAGCGCTTTGCTAAGTTGAGGCAACTTGATCGAACGTTTTGGAATCATGATGTTTCCAACACTTTTAAAAGCGTTTTAGGGTCTTTCGAACAAGCCGAAATGTATGGCAAAAGTAATTCTGATGCTTTGGAGAAAATTAAGGAGAGTTGTGCTGGTTTTGAGGTAAGTTTTAGTGAGTCATATAGAGATGTCATTTCCTTTGATTACAGATGAGAGGTCAGATTTTTAATTTACCGTTCACCAACTCTACAACTATTGTAAAACGTGTCAAAATGTTTGGCTTGCATTTGGAGGAAGATGCCAATGTTCAGTTCGCATGTGCTGTGTATCTGAGGGCTTATCCAAATCAGGTTTTGACGGCTTGGATAGCTCTAGCTGCGATTAAAAACAAAAAAGCCGATGAGAAGATTGCGGAATAAAATAGGAATCAAAACATGGAATTAAAAGAATAAATTTGTTATTTTTATTATGTTAAAACGTCAATAGTTGTGTTGCTTTTCCGTGCGTAAAATTTCGCTGTTTCCCGCCTTGTTTTTACTAAAATTCTGTGCCCAGCACAGTCTAGATTTTCTAAATAACATTTGTTCTTGCAACATTTCTTGCATAACTGATACACACATTTTGAACCCTGAAACAAAATAGTATGTTAAAATGCGAGTTTCAGAAGACATCCATTCAAGCAAGACTGAATTACGAGCTGAGCAGCGGCGAGTAGAGAAATAAACGATTACTTGAATCTTTTATATTTACTATTTTCTCTATTAAAAAATTTTTAATCTAAAAAATTTTGCAGGATTTCATGATTTTCATGCTAGTCTGGTAATTTGATAAAAACTTTTGTCAAACTTCTACGCCTAGTGATTTTTTGGAAAAAACTCTACGGCTACAACAAAAAATTAATACACTCATTTTTCAATTATTGAAATAGTAAATTGGGTCTAAAGTAAATAATACTATTTTTGCATTTTTTTTCGTTAACTTTTCTCAAAAAATTTAAAAACCACCAAATTAATTAAAAGAGTTGTATTTGTTTCTACAAGATTTTACTAATCGAAAATGACAATTTACTTTTGCCTTTTTCGAATGCTTTAGAAGGTACATTTTTCAGCTTGACACACAATTATTTCGCAAAACTTCGCTAGAAACGAGCTAAGTATTCAAAAAAGTAGGCCAAAAACGGTATTATTTCTGCCATTTTCAAGTGTTTAAGCACGTTTTTGAGAAACAAACAAAAAAATTTCGACAAATTTCGTTTAAACAGGCTAAAAAATTACAAAATCAAATCGAAATTGGTATTATTTTTTAGCTTGTTTCGCAGGACTTCTTCGTTTTTGAACCAGACGTTTATTTGATTTGCAAAATGTTATCCAAATGCGCCCAAAAGTCACAAAAATAACATGAATTTAATATTTTGTTTATTTCACTGGATTTAACTGATCTTTGAAGAAAATTAACACAAAAATAGCCGAAATTGCTACTACGCACGTTTTTGTACTAAAATCTCCAGATTTTAGTACAAAAACAATCAACAAATTAAGCCAAAAAATGTATTATTTTAGCATTTTTCCAGTATTTTAGCACGTTCTCAACTAGAAATGCAATTATTTCGCAAAATTTTGTTAAAAACAAGCCAAAAAAACACAGAATTAGACTGAAAATAATGTTGTTTTTGCCTTTTTCTAAAGCTAATATTTTTAACGTTTTTTTACACGATTGTGCCATACCGAGTCAAAAATCACTAAACTGTTAAAAAAAAGAATATATGTTTTATATTATTTTTACCTAACTCTGTGTTGCCACTCAGTTTATGTAAAAAAAACGTAAACTTTCAACTGTATTGAAAAGATTTAAATCGTAATCCTGTAATCTGGTGAAAATAGGTATAAATTTGACTGTTTCAACTCGGATTTGGTGAATTTAATTTTTTTGGTAACACTGGTGACACGAAGCAGTGTTATTCATGGAAAATTATACTCGACATTTGTCGTTTTGCGTAATCTATAAACGAATTCTCAAGATTTTTTCATATTCGTCACCGAAAAAAATCGGGAATTTACTTCAAATTGTGACCAACATAAAAACATAAAATACACTAGGCTGCTAACGCACATACGAATGTAAAATAGAAAAAAATAATTACCAGAGGATTAACGCAATTAGCGCATTTGACTAAATTCCGCTCTAATGGAACAGAATCGGGTTTGTGTGGCCTTCTACTAATACGCCTCAGTTTTTTCATCTTTTTTCTACTAATTTGATTCCCCTCGCTATCTTCATACTGTCGTTTAGTTTCTTGTTTCTGGAATTAACAATTTGATTGATATTCAATACAAATATACTTAAGTACATTTGAGTTTTCTTCAACTTTTTTCAGATGCTCCTCGGGGCAAACTCTAACATAGGGTTGACACAACCACGGTGGAAGTGTTATATTTTCAGTGTTAGGCTTAGTGGTGTCTTGCCACAATTTGGCCCCCAGATGGAAAGGGTCATACATTTCTTTAATCACATTGACGATTCTTTTGAATTCGTCCATTGTGTTTGCGGCTCCTAGTTGTATCCTCAAGTCGTTATTTTTAGGAATTGATAGTCTGAAATTTTATTTTAGTGTTATAAAACAATAAATTTTGGTGTTCTCACAAATGATGGAACAGTTTAAATAAATGTCCCCTAATGTAGGACATTGGGCAAGGGTATTTGTCTACAAGGTTCAAATATTCTAAAGCTGGCTCCCATACAGGTGGATTTTGATGCATAAATAATGCTGGATTATACAAGTTTCCCTCCGCTGTCATTACTCCAACAGCCCCCGTTTCTTCAAGGCATCTATTTACATCTTCCATACACTGGATGTTCCCATTGGAGATAACAGGAATATCAACAGCTTCCCTAAAATTCATATAACAAACAATTTCATAATTTTCCTTGACATTAAGTCAATTACCTAACTGCCTTAACATAACTCCAGTCTGCAAGCCCCGTCAAGGGACCTTTTTGCTCCCGTGTCCTACCATGCACTGTCAACATTTTACACCCTGCTGATACTAGCATTTTCGCATAATCCACCGTTTTTTCCACACTTTCGAATCTCCGAACCTTGCAAGTCACTGGTACTTTGAGTTTTTGACTCAACAAACTTACTAAAACAACACCAGTTCGGCTTTTTCTCGAGATAAATCATTCAAACACCCACCAATTTCGTGCAAAAGAGGCCATTCGTCTTGTAAAAATGCGCCGTAGTGGCCCCTTTTCGCTATGGCTTGTGGACATCCTAAATTAATATCAATGGCACAACAATAGTCCTGGGCTAGAAGAGCCGCTTCGAGCATCACTTTGGGGTCATTTCCACAAAACTGCACGATTAAAGGCTTGTCGTTTTCACACGAGGCGAGGGCCTCATTGCGGTATTTGGCATCTCTGGCGAAAATAGCGCTGTGCAACATGGGGGTGTAGCACAATTGAGCCCCGTATTTCCTACTTAGAAGTCGCCAGGGTAATTCGCTGGCGTCCACCATGGGAGCTACGATTTTCGTTGGGGCACCGAGAGTGTCTCTCCAAAAATCCATGTTTTGAAAGACACGTTGCTCATAACCTTAAAGCTGACAGCTGTCACGTTAACGTGACTACTGTCAAATTTCTAGCGCGTGATTTGAAAGAAAAGTTTAAAATTTATACAGATTTGCACAAGCTGGTGCAATTTTACGGTTATAGCAGCTTCATGAAAATATGCAAGGTTGGACACAATTTCGCAGTATTTTTCTCATAATTGAGTTGTTGCATCATTTTTGTTTAATTTGGTAATTTATAAAATCTACACATTCCAGTGTATAATTTTTATGTTTGTTTTTTATCAGTTACTTTAAAAGAAATTGTTAATGCGTCATTGTTCTTAGTAGTAGTAAAAGTGTAAAAAATTTTCTCTAAAAAAGAGTTATTTTTACATAGATTTTTACATAGATTATTAAAACGATGCCATTCAAATAATAATTAAGCTAAATTTAAATTCTTCGATATGGTATTGATTATTTGGTAAAGCGAGCATGTTACTTGCAGTTGTGGCTCAATGTGTATTCTATTAACTCAAATTACTAGTCAAATAATCGATATTTTTTATATTAATAATAAATAATTAGCTCTAAATGATATTAGAAAATCTAAAGGCCAAACATATTTGGGTGAATATTAATAGAGGGTCATAAAAAAAATAAATTACAAATATAATTATTTATTAACAATAATAAATTGATGAAGCACATTTATAAACATTAATAATAAATTATTCAATTAATAACAGATGAATACAATAAATTATTTAAAAAAGAAACGTTTGCCTATTGCAGGGGTGCGTTCTAAATCAACATCGATACCACATTAGAGCTGATGGAGATTGATGGTTTTGTTCGCAGTTATTTCTAAGCTTTCGATTTTATTCCATAGTTGCAGTAAATTGTTATTGCTTTGACAATTATCAATTAAGTATCAAAAAATTATTATTATTATTATTATCGTATTAGAATATACAACATTTAGATTTAGTCACCATTCGATTGAAATATCAAATTTCTTCAAGTGGTCAAGAGCGTTGTGAAAACATGAACAAACGTCTCGCACAGATTATTAGACTTAACAAAATGACGAAACATTTAAGATTTTTTATAGACCTATAGATAGGTATCCAAAAATTGGCAAATCCAAATAAAGAGAATCTTTTACTTTACTGCTTTATTGTAGCCTTGACCAACTTTACTGATTTCTTATAATTTTATATTGTTATCTAGTTAACGTAATAATGGTGGACAGTGAGGTCTTCCACCACAAATATGAATGATAATTCGATTCAGTTAAAAACTGTTATACGTATTACCTATGTATTTTTTAAATTTAACGAATTTGATTATAAGTAATAAGTACATCTATTCTAGGTCTTTCTGTAATTATCCAAAATGTCATTTAAAAATAAAACAAAAGAAAAATTCTTTCTATATTTCACATATTTCTATAGCATCTTATTTCTTACTCACTGATTACCCAAAAAGATGTCGTTATGTTAAAAAAATATAAAAAAAAACACTATAGCGACGATATGACAATAAACCAATGGCGATGGGAGAACATTTTTTGGTAAAATCTTCTACTACTAATAAAATACAAAATTAGCTTCATCAATTATTGAAAATAGGTAATTAATACCAAATTTACATCTTTGAAGAACTAATCTATCTGCATAAAGAAAATAGTTCTAAAAACCATATATATATATGCTAAAAACCAATCGAGAGTTGGTTCCAGCCTTTTTTAAATTAGCTTGTATAGAGTGTTGCAGAGATAACCGAAAAAAATAATCATAGACAGATCAAGGTGTGACTATTTTTATAATTTGGATGTAGTATAATAAAAATATTTAATCAACTTTTGAATACAAAAAAGGGAAAAATCTGGTTAAAAAATAATTATCTTACCAATTATCCGATCCGATATTTTTACAGATACAACGCATTTTTTATATTTTTTCAATAGTTTCCAGAATAAGTGTCTTAAAGTAGTATATTTACGTTTTTAAAAAAACGTAAATTTAGGAAATTTTGCCTTAATAAGGTGGTGGTTGGTGATAAATGTGACAAAGTTTGAAAATATCGAAGTATCAAGTTTCAATTTTTCAAAATTTTGTCGAATTAACAATGAATACTGTAAATATTTCATGCACAACACCTGCATTAGCGAAATCGTTCAAAACGCTGCTGAAAATCACCATTACAAACCTCTAGAAAGTAAATTGTACTAGTCTATTACAGCACCCAAATTCGTGTTGAAATGGCTCATTGAAGCATCGGTTTTGGTTCGAAATAAGCTTTCTTTCAGACGCAAAATAGAAAAAATCTTTTTCAAACGATTGGGTTTCTCTTTTTTTCTTTTAATTGTTTCTATAACACCTGATGTGTAAATCTAAAATGGTAAAATATAACAGTAGATTATATACTGAGGTGGAAGATGCTCCATTACCAAGGCAAAAATGCCTCAAAAAGTATCGTTTTAAATAAAAATGGTACCTACATAAAAAATAAGTTAGATAACATATACCTACCATACGAACGAAAAGTTGGGACGGAGATTCCTTTGTGCGTGCCTATTTATAAAAAGAGTCTCAAACATCAAATTTTACCAAAAATGTTGATGATTGATTATTGTGTGAATAAGTTCCTATGATATGATTATTCGTCCTGAAAGATATCGATTTCTTTTGTATATTCGTATCTAATAAATAACCAGCGACTTGTTTGCGTAATCATTAGCATGTTACACCCTTTGACATATAGTAGGTATTTTGTAGACAAATATTTTTTTGAAAACTCGAGTTCAATCAAATATGGTTGTACCTATGTACTTTAATATAATCAAAAGCTTTCATAAGACTAAATTTTCTAATCATTGTAACTTGCCATTTAACCCCTAATCGCGTGAGAGGTCGCAAGTCCTCACTCATTCCAGATTTCAGTTTATGGTTGATGTTTCTAGGTCGTGTCGGTAAACCGTTTGTTCCTAAGAGCGGAAAACACTACAATTTCCATCGAGAAGCGTTACTTTGGCACGATGTTGATGAAGGGCACACTGGCGGCGGGTCATTATCATTAAAATGGACGCGTGCACGAGCCGCTGATGGCGGCCACGGTACAGTTCTGGTGGGACGGCGACGCGGGATTGGACAGACCGCTCTCCCGGATGGGGGAGAGGGCCGGAGTCTTGGGACGGTGTACCACGCTACGTCTCCGGCGGCGGTACTGGGACAGGGGGCGGCGGTTGCACCGCTGCTGCTGCTGCTGGAGGAGGGTGAGCGCGTTGGCCAACTCCATCTCGCTGACGAGACGTCGTCGAGGCGGATTGGGCAAGGCGGACAACGCGTTGGCCCGTCGCGACACCTCCGGGTACGCCACTGGCACGAGGTTGTTGACGGTTTGGACAGTCTCGGGGGTGTTCGATGATTCATTTGATACAGGCACCACTTGGTTATTTCTAGCTACGTGAGGGGATTGGCTGCGACGCCGGTTTTGACCCAAGTTACCTACAGGTGCCAAAATCGAAGGTTCTAGATTATTACGAATTTACACTGAATTTATGGATTGGACATATTTTTACATATTTACTTAGTACATTGTACTAAGAGACACCTAAACTGATCAATATTTAATCGAGCAATAAGGATTTATTACGTATTATAAAGAACTTTGCAGGTTAAACACAATTAGTGAATTAGATAAACAGGTGCTTTGTTAAAAATGGAAAATTTTTAGTGTTTGCCTTTGATCGGTTGTGTTCTTTCATACATAGATTTTCCATTACACCAATAATAAAATACCCATTTATGCACTATATGAAAAAAATACGAATTGAATAGATTCCTACCAAAATAAGATGAGTTACCTATTATGCTTTTACATCGGCCTGATTACCTTACTAATTACGTAAAATAAACTTAACTGATTTGTAAATTACCTCAATTTATTCACATATTACTTAGACGGCAATAATTAGGTATTAATTTTTTCATGTCTTAATTCCAATGAGGCTTTAATAAGTTTTTCTAGACAACAAATTTCTGATTAAATTAATTTATTTTGCTGTTTCAAAAGAATAAGTGTACGTTTATAAATGCGGCTCTGTGGGTTTTATACTCATTAATTTTTATGCAGTTTAATTATGCTTTTAGAGGTATTTTTATTAACGGCAATTCTTTTAATAGAGTATAAGAGCTTTTTAATTTATTACCATTCATGAAATTACAAATTGTTACAACACGCCACAAAAATTTTCGAATCATGCACAATACTTGAAGAATAATACATTACTCGACTTAAAAAAATAACAAATGGATTTTTTGTTTCACGTTTGGGTAATAGTAAATTACAGTGGCGCAACGAATCGGGAGTTTTAAGAGTTTAATCCCCTTTCATAAAATACTTCCGGACCATGGGATTTAATGACAAAAATGTTTGATGACAAATTGAAAGAAAATTTTCACTTCCGTATTTTTTGCCAATTTATGTTGTAAGTGCATAATAAGTATAATATACAGGGACATTTTTTAAATCTGAACATAGCCCTATGTTTAGTTAAAGAAATACAGATCAATCCATTGCCGTTATTCAATGAAAATCTCAGTATCGTAGCTATAATTTAATAAGAGCAACGAAATAAAAAATTGTAAATGAAAATGATGACAAAACAGACAAAAAATTACAGGCAGAAACGTCATCAAACAAATTTTTGCTTCGCCTCATGTTTTTGACTTTATTTTTGAAAACGCTGCATATACGATTAAAGATAGAAATAAAGTGTAAAAAACAAGTTGTATAGAATTAAATTCGCTGATGTATGCGACATCATACCACTATCTTCAACGATTTCAGCTCTACAGACAGTCAAAGATGTTTTAGTAATGAAAACATTTCGTCTGGTGGTGGCGTATCCCAGAAACCATTTAAACATAAACTGTTGGAGATAAAGCTATGGTGCAAATTTAATTCTCTACAACTTTGTCCTTCACATCTTTTTTTTCTATCTTTATTCGTATTTGCAGCATTTACAAAAAAGCAAAAAAATGAGGCGAAGCAAAAATTTAAGTTCTCATTTTTTTAATTATTGTTTTCAGAAAGATTTTTCCTATAACATCAATTTTTACCGTGAGGTACGAGTACTTAATGTATTATCTGCACGTAAATTCTCTGCTGTTTCATCATCATTTAAATAAAGCAATTTTTTATTTTGTTGCTCTTAAATATTATAGCAGGATACTGAGACTATCATTGAATGACAGCCATAGATTGATCTGTGTTTTTTCAAACTGAACATTGGCAATGTTCAGAGTTAAAAAAATGTCCTTGTCTATTTCTATTTCGCAATCAAGTACAACGAAAAGTAAAGTACAAATTTTCTGTCACAATAACACAACATACATTACATTTTCTTAAAAATTGCAGTTATTTTAATGAATAAATGCAAATCTGAATTTTGAATAAATCTAAAGTTTAAATGATTGGCTTCTCACGTTATTATAATAGCCGATCTCAAATGGACCAATCACATCACTGCCTAAAATTTTTGAATGAATCCGAAAATCTATCACAATGCACAGGTACTACTTTTACAACAATCCTTTCGTTAATTTATTAATAACAACTAATAGTTTTCTTAGAGAGTGCGATTTCCCTATAGCGAGTGCCTCAAAAATTGTTTGTGGTAGGTACAAAAAACCCGAGAAGACTATCTTTTAGAAAATTTTATATAGGTTAATTTGTACATAACCATTTTTTCGTAACAAACACGATTTTGTGAATATACGCGAAAAAGCATAAAACGGCACCTTTTTGGTGCCCCCTTGCGCCTCGCTTACAACGAAAGGCCGAGGATTTTTTTCCACTTATTAATGATGTTTAAAAAAAATTTGCTGGGTACGTGTAGCACAGTATGTATTTTTCTTTGTTATAATAGGCGCTTACCTAAAACCCTAAAAAGCACTCTGAGCTTAGCACTGGACCAATGACCGTGCGTCCTATGCGGCCGCCCCTCGATGGCAGGTATTCCCTTATTCTTGATTTTGTGCTTGCAAATGTTCATCAAACACCGCGGCTCATTAGGACTATCTGGACTATCCGGCACCGCTAAGCAGCAATTCCACTTCGTCCTGAGTTTTTTCGGCTGGCGTAGTGGCATCTCCGGCGCCACCGAGTTTCCCACACACACCTGGCAGTCCTGGGGCGTGGAGGGCGGCGTCGGCGTCGGCTCCGCGCAGTTGGAGAACGCCTCCTCGAAGACGGTGCACGTGACCAGCGTGGTGCGCGTGCGGCCGTCGCAGTGTAGATTGGCCGGCCGGTGCCTCAGCGTAGGACAGCGAAAACCGGTCTCTTCTTCGGATTGCTGCCCTTGCGACGGCGTAGGCTGGGTCTGCCTCTGCTGGCGAATGTACTCGTAGGTGGTGAGGCCCAGAAATGAGATGTAGATGTGGAAGAAGCAGAGGTGGAGGAGCAGACCGGCTGTAATAGCTGCGAGGATGCCCAGTGCGGCGACGACGGCAAGGAAGGCGGCGTCGCCCGTGGGCAGTGAAGAGGTGTGCGGAGCGGCTGTCGAGTTTTCCGCCGTCAGGAGGCCCTAAGGGAAGGGAGTTTAATTGAGTTTCATGCGACGGAAGTAAAAAGAGCGAAATTAATTCGATTTCTTGAAGTGAGCTGAATTGAGGACAAGGGCAGGAACAGTCGGCAATAAAAGCGGAAAGGTTATAAGTGCACGAGGAATTTCATTAAAGTTTTAGTGATAAATCTACTAGTAACATAAAATGTATTGTTGTAGGTATTTGTGTTTCGTGTCTGTCCTGTTCTTGTAAACCACTCTAAGTTGTAGATTACTTTGGACGTTTTTTCTTTTAATTAAGTTGTGGTGCCATTTTACTTACATAAATGATACTTCTACTTCTGATAAAAAATCAGTATCCCTTTGCATCCACCACTTTTATAATACAAAATAAATTAAAATTCCTAAACCGGTGTCTCACGTAAGACTTTTGGATCTAATAGCTCCGTTATTTGCCAGCGGATTTTTATGAAATTTAAAATGGAGACAAGCTACAAGGTGGACATTTAATAAGTCTTAATAAAATTATCTCAGGATAAAAAATTTAATTTTAATACATATTTCCTCAGTTTAAAATTAAGCGAAACTACTATTATATTATGTTATATTAAGTTAAGTACTAAAAAATAAACCTCTACACAGAAAATTAACAAAATCACTCGTTTCAATCAGCAAAAGTACGTCGATTATGTTGTTAAAATTTTGACCTAATTTTTGAAATTTTTTTATCAAAGTTAACTCTAAAACGTCCCCAAATAATATTTTATACAATCCTGAAAACCTGTAGTACTGAAGTGGTTAACCTAATAAATGCAGTTCCTAAATTACGTTATTAACTTTTTGAAGTTAGAGTTAGGATGATTGAAATTCGGTACCTAATATCGTTCTTTTTTTATAGCCGCCCATGTTTTTGCATCTTCAGCCACTTTTTACACAATTTTATTCTTTTTTCTTGTAAGCGCAGGTCCCACTTAGTAAGCGGGACCTCTTTCAAGGACAGTTTTTTGCTTATGGCATTTTTTATTAGCGATTGACAATTTAATATAAATTTTAAGTAATTTAGCATTTTTAAAAGTTAAAATCACATTTTAAGAGTTGTTTTAGTAATGCGGATATTAACCTCTACTCATTAAATACTCTACATTGTAAATTTCGTTAGAATCCGTTGGCAAATAATAGAGATATAAGATGTTAGGTGCATAACGTAGGAGAATTAATTTATAATAAAATAATTTTACTGTTTAAATAAAGATTTATTTACAATCATAAAATAATTATCAAATTACCTTGCTTGTGAAAAGTTGGAAAATATGACATTTCAACTTCATTTGGCAATTGGTATGAAATATCACAGTTCTGACTGAGAAAAGTCACTTCCTTATCTGATAGGTATATGAAACATGACAGTTCAGGTTGGGAAATGACCACTTCCCAATCTGAATTGTCATATATCATGTTTTTTAAAATGTTATAAATTTTTTAGTGGCTTTCTATTCTTAAGAAGAATAATTGTGAATAAATTGGTGGTCGTTGCTTTATCGTACCTCAGTTTATTGCTAACCGCGGTGCTTCGCACTTTGGTATTCACATTTCGCCTTAGTAATAAAGCACGTATAAAAAATAATATACTTTTTTTATAAAGTTAAAAGTACGAAACATTAACCAAAAATTGATGTACCTATCTGTTGAAAATATGTATTAAATTCTCTATTATCAATAACTCTCTGACACTTTAAGTGCTTAAAGTAGTTAACTTCCTGCTTTTTTTATTTGTTCCGACAAAACGGCCAGCTTTTCCACAAGTTGAAAAATTAAATTTTCTACAGCAAGGATATTGAACCACTTTAGTCGCATCTTATAATAAATTTATCTACACAAACATGTAGTGCAACTGCAACAAAGACATGCAGAATTATTTGTTAGTATATTTTAATGTCCTCGTAAAAATCTAAAGTAAATTTTTAGATATACAATAATTGACATGATATGATTACGAGTATAAGCACTTTAGACGAAGTGAAAATAAAACGAAATAGGAAATAAAACATTCAAAATAAAAGATAAAGAATCACTCTTATTTTAGAATTTCAATGTAAGAATCATTTATAGCAAGCTGGGTTGAGTTTTCTAGAATCTGGTAATCATAAGTAAGCATATTGTGAACAATCTCTTATTTTTAAATTTTGATTTATGTTTTTTTTTAGAAATATATATTTAAAGCATGGTTAGGAAGAACTATGTGGATGGGTATACCTAATATAAATAATAACAGGAAAAGAATATTTTGAAATTTATTTTCATAAAAGTAACAAACGACTTGTGCATCGTGTATGGTGATAAGAAAAAGGCGGTGCGGAACATGCATGAAGCTGCATCAGAAGGCGGTGGCATCATGCCTTGTTGTACCTGCAACTTGTCGGTGTCGATCCAGTGTGAGTGGTGCAGCGCCAGTTCGGCGATGGCGAGGATGGCCACGAGGGCAGCGGCGGCGACGGCCGTTGAGACACACATGAGAAAGGGCGCGTAGTTGCGTCCGCCCACACAGTGGTTGAGCCACTTGCAGTGGTGGTCGAAGTGTTGGACGCACTTGTTGCACGCGCTGCAGTGCTTTGTCCTGGGGCCGGAGGTGCGGATGGTGCACAAATGGCAACGGCCCTCCTCGATGACGTGCGCGTGTTTGGCGCGGTCCAGCTGGGGCACGGGCTCAGGACGGCGCGCCCGCAACGCCGGCTCGGCGGGGTCGAGGAGGGCGGCGGCGAGGTGGGCCGCCAAATGCAGCAGGAGCAGCGCCGAGAGCGCCGCCAAACACGCGGGCTGCGCGTGCGCGGGCAGCGCCGGCACAACCACCAGGAAGCCGCCCGCCGACAGGACGGCCCCCACCAGCCAGCCCGAAACCTGCAGGGGGTGCAACGGCAACTGGAAGCCGTGCTGGCGACGGAGCCGTGGCACCGTCTCAGCGTTCAGCATCGCTCTCCATGGCGCGGCGGTTCGGTGGCGACCTACACTCTGACTCAACGCGCTCTCACGTGCCTACTGCCAGAGTGGACGCCGGATTATCGACCGGCGACGTCGCAGGATGCGCCTCGACGCCACCACCGTCGTGACGTCGCCTCACTGCACTAGCGGACACTAATTCAAGAACAAAGTGACACGTTTCACACTAGATGCAATAATTACATTCTACGGGTCATTGGTGCATTTCCCGCACACATGGATATCTGCCCATGACAAATGCGGGAAGGAAACTGACATTAATTTACTTACCTACAGATTAATACAGTACGTTTCGCTCTAGACCACTGTGCTAGGTATACAGGATGTTCGGTCCAAGTCGCTCCGGCTGATAACACCTAAACTTACTTCTTTTTTTTCAAAAAGTAAATATTTAAGTAATAATATTCATTCTTGGCTTTCTTAATAAATGTATCAATTTTTTAGCGCATCCGGTGTTGCCGGAAATGCTACCAAATTTAGTTTTTCAATTGGAACATCTATGTTTTTTTTTTCCTTCAAACAATAATAATTGACATGAAAAATACTCTAAACCACTATTTATTACATTTTGCGTAACACAATGCTACCAAAAAACATCTTAAATCTTAGAATGGTATAAGGAAATTGGTCGCGTAGCCTGATTTTTAATTTTAAAAGAAAGGTGCAAATAAAAAAAAATGCTTGGATACAGTTTTATCTTTGGTTTATCAAATCTAATTTGTCAGTTGATGAGCGAGTTCTCTTATGGAAACTCTTCAATTTTCTTCGACTGATAACGGAACACTCAGATTTCTATTTTCTTGTTCTTTAACCACAGGTTTTTTAGTTTTAAGAAGCGAACCTATTTGTCTCAGTTGTTTTTCAATTCGACTAAATTTCCAACGATTTGGATGAACTTTAGTATTTTTCTCTATACTCTCTTTCAACTTCCGCTCTATTTTTATTGCACTTAAAAACACTTCAAGCTTATCTACCAATTCGTCGTAATTAATCATCCATTATTAAAGATATCAATAAGATTTATTGACAAATTAGGCTTTGTCAAACTAACAATTAAACGGTATCCAAGCATATTGCTTTTTGCATAAATACCTTAACAAGTAAAATCCGCCTACGTTGCAAAATTTGCAATAAAATTCAAAAATTTAAATTGTTTTCCGAGTGCATTATGTAAAAGTAAAATGTACTAAATAGTGGTTTACCGTATTTTTCATTTCAATTATTATTGTTTCGAGCAAAAAAAACATAGGTGTTCCATTTAAAAAACTAAATTTGGTAGCATTTCCGGCTGCACTGGACGTGCCAAAAAATTTGATGCATTTACTAAGAAAACGAGGAATGAATAGTATTATTTGAAAAACTAGTTTTTGAAAAAAAAAGTAAGTTTAGGTGTTATCGGCCGGGGCGACTTGGACCGAACACCTGTATACCAGGTGAATAAAAAGTATGGAACCAAACGTTTTTTGCCTAAACTATTTATTTTTGGAAGAACTAATTGATGGATGAAAATTTTTCGAAATTCAGTTTTGTTTTTGAGTTCTAAAAAAAAATATTTTTTTAAATGTCAACCCACTATAAAACCATTTTTCCCATGGGGGTTATGATTTAAGAATAACAACTAGCTACTCTATATTTAATTTTTTCAAAAACATTTTTTACGTAAAATGCAATTTTAGCAAAAAAAATCGCATAATTCAAACACAAAACATCATTTCGTTCTCAAAATACGATCATATTTTTTATATTACTTTAATTTATATTAATTATTATTTTCTGAAGACAAATGATTAAGAAAAAACGCTTGGTTTCATACTTTATATTCACCCTGTATACTATCTAAATGAAAGAAAAGAACAAGTTTCGGTGATCCCCAGCAGAAACTCAAAATGTTTAAAAGAAAAGTAGACTATAACATGTCAGGATCAAAGTTGAATTTTGGACTTAATTAAAGTGACCAAACATTTTGGATTTTTTTATCTATGTACATAAAGACCAAAATAAACAAAATGAATCGTCTAATGGTTTTATTTTATTATTTTTTACCAAATTGTAATAAAAATCGTATGACAAAAAATAAACATGAATCATAGATTTGAAAATATTCTTCATTTTCGATTAATTTGCTACAAGTTTGCGAATATTCTTAAAAACAAACATGCATTAACAGATTCGTGGTTTTCGTTTCTGTGAACAATTTCACCGCAACTTTTTATGTTTGCCGATATATCAAAGATCAAAGATGAGTTATATTTATTCTAATAAATTTTTGCTTGATTTTAAGCCTGAAATCATTTCCAATAAATGTATTTTAACAAAATAATTGTTTAAGTCTTAATTTTCGGCCAAAATAAAACAATTTGAATCACTTCTAATAGATTCTTGTTTCATTTCAAGCCAGAAATCTTTTAAAATCAATTCAACAAAATAATTGCTTAAATCGCAGTTTTCACCTAAACTAAAGCAATTTGTGCTATTTCCAATCAATTTGGCTCGATTTTAAATCATAAAACAACCTAAATCAATGTATTTCAACAAAACAACTGCTATAATTTTAATTTTCTGACAAAATACAGCAATTTGAGCCTCTTGTAAAATTTTTTGCTTGATTTTAAACTAGAAATAATTCTAAATCAATGTATTTTAACAAAATAATTGCTTAAATCCCACTTTTTGGCCAAAATATAGCAATGTGTGATGGAGTTTGGACTTAATCAAGAGTCTGAATGTGGTGGTAACTCTTGACCTCAGTATGCGGGTGTTATATTGAACTGTAAACTTTTATGGTTACTGAGATATCAGCAGTGCTTCTTACTGCTGGTTAATCAACATCAATAACCTGAAATGTTTGAAAGTTTCTCACAAATCACAATAATAATAATAAACATAATTAATTAGGTGGGAATTCAAGCCACAGATGTAGTTTTTAGTTAAAGTGATCTGTGACATTTTGCCTTCAAAAATTTGTCAAAACTGATAATTTCAGACTTAAAAGCAGCAATTTATTTTGTACGTTAAACATATAGACTGGCGATCAAACATAAGAATGTCAGAGAGTTTACATAAAATAAACTTATTGTTATGGAAAAACTGTACTCTGCTTAGACGAAATCTTAAAGCATTACTTTTGGAATGGTTATATCCTGTTTTAATATGTTTGATTTTGGTACTAATCAGGCGGGGCTTTGAGGTCACTTTTCAAGAGCTAATGACTTACAATGCATTTAGTCCCCAACCAGGAGCCCTGTGTTCTCGTTCTACTAATAACACAATGTAAGAAAATTTATTTTTTAATGTAGTGATTAGCCTCAAAAACCTGATAAAACCTGGATAATCCAATATTTCTTGGTAGGATGACAATGAGTTTATAATAATCTTTTTTAAAACAGCTTAATTGCGTACTCACCAACAAGTCCACTATTACAAAATATATTGGAGAATGTTTGCTCAAGTGGCACAGATTCATCAAAAATAAGTATAAAAAGTTACAAAAACTCAGGTGAACTAAATACTGCAATTAAAAAAATTAAATTTTCTTTTGCTTTACAATGTGACGATTCTTTGTTTGGACTTAACCACAGCAGCAATCTTCCTAATAATCTAAATATCAATTTACGGTAAGCTTCATTTGGTTTAAATCTTGGTTAAAACGCTGTTTGATCCTTTTTAGATTGCCATCAGAAGATTATACAACTAACAGTATTCAAGCGTGGTTCACAAATCTAAGATATTCACGTGATCTTACAGCAGGTCCTAGAGACTACCGGGAACAAGTTGCTGAAGAACCAGGTAATTCCATAATAATTCCATAATAGTAAGCATATTTTGTATTTAAACAGGTTACGAAAGTCGAGGTTTCCTTTATTTACAAAACTTTATAACTCTTGCACTTATAAACAGCAGTGACACTAATAATACGCAAAATCCTGATATAGTAATAAACCGATTTCCGTACCCCGAGTGGTCAGAAGACAAATTTTACACAAAAGAGATAGAATATTTTACGGGATTTCTTTTGGTATGCGCTTACATGTATACCGTTAATAACTTGACGAAAGATGTAACAACAGAGAAAGAAAAGCAGTTGAAAGTATGTTCAAAATATTTCAATAAAATTAGCTAAAATCCGGAACAAACTTAAAGGAATCTATGAAAGTTATGGGTCTTCCTGGATGGTTACATTGGTTAGCATGGTTTCTGCGAGCGTTTATGTTAATATTTGTGACCGTTATTCTGATGACTATTCTTCTGAAAGTTACCATTACATATAGATCAGTATTTGTCTATTCTGATGGTATAATTTTATTCCTTTTTCTTTTAATTTTTGGGTGCAGCACTATAACGCTTACTTTTCTAATATCCACATTATTCTCCAAAGGTGATAAAAGTAATCTTACAAAGACAACAAAAATAATGATTTACCTTTACAGCAAATACTGCTGTTACTGTAGGTCCTCTCATATATTTAGTCGCATGTGTACCCGCATTTTTATACCAAAGTAAGGCTGCCGTACCGTCATTAGGCGCAAAAATGGGAGTTAGTCTTCTAGCTCCTAGCGCACTGATATTTGGAGTAGGAGTTTTGTTTAAGTTTGAAGGAATTGGAATGGGTAAACAAAATTTCAAAGACGCAAGAAAAATGTAAGAGGAGTTTTATTATAGGAAGTCAGTGGAGTAACTTGTTTAAAACTACATCGCCAAGAGATAAATTATCACTTGGTTTAATTTTTCTAATACTAATTGTTGACACATTATTGTATATGGTTATTGCTGTTTACGTGGAGGCCATTTTTCCAGGCGAATATGGAATTGCTCAGCCATGGTATTTTCCCTTTACACGAGCTTACTGGTGTAAGAAACCTCAAGTTCTAAGTATAGTTTGTTTTTCAAATAGTGACACTGTAACTCTAAATAAAATAGCAGGCGCAGAACAGTCAACTGAAACGAATGGAAAATTTATTGAAGACTTTACTGAAAACATTCCAATTGGAATAAAATTAGTAAATCTGTCAAAGACGTTCGGAAGTCATCACGCAGTAAAAAACTTAAATTTGGACATGTATGAAGGACATATCACAGTGTTGCTTGGACATAACGGTGCTGGTAAAACGACTACGATGTCTATGATTTGTGGAATGTTTCCGCCATCTAGTGGAACAGCCATTGTAAACGGTTACGACATAAGAACAAATATACACAACGTTCGCGAGAGTATGGGATTATGTCCTCAACACAACGTTCTCTTTGACAATTTAAGCGTTTGGGAGCACTTGTATTTCTTTGGTAAATTAAAGGGATTGAAAATGAATGAAATCAATAAGGAAATTGATGACTACATCAAACTTTTGGACTTGGAAAATAAGGTAACTTTGAGTGAAAAGGGCAAACAATCATTAAAATTAGAAAAACTCTCTTTCTAAAACTCTGTCTGGTGGCATGAAAAGAAAGTTAAGTGTTGCAATAGCACTGTGTGGAAAATCGAAAGTGGTTATGCTAGATGAACCGACAGCGGGTTTGGATCCATCTGCTAGAAGAACTGTTTGGAATTTGCTCCAAAAGCAAAAGAACGGTAAATTAAGAAACTTGTCTCATCCTCTAAGTTTTCTCTTTAGAACGAACTATTTTACTAACAACGCACTATATGGACGAGGCTGATTTATTAGGCGATAGGATTGCTATAATGACAGCAGGTGAACTGCAGTGTTGCGGATCTAGCTTTTTTTTAAAAAAAACATATGCTTCTGGTTATTATCTAATTTTGGACATTACACCAATGTGTCAACCAAATGATATTACTAACCTGTTAAGAGGTTACATTCCCAATCTGCAAATTCACTCTCATGTGGGTTCTGAGTTAACTTATATGTTGCCTGAAAAGGAGTCGCGCAGATTTGAAGCACTTTTAGGGACCCTAGAATCTGCAAGTGCTAGATTAGGTATTCAAAATTTTGGCATCTCAGTGGCAACCTTAGAGGAAATTTTTTTGAAGTAAGCTATTTAATAAATGTACATATAAAACTAATTTATTTACAGAGTCGGTGCAGATCACGATAAGCAAATTTCAAAAAACAGTGATAATAAAAAGAAAGAAAGTATGTTTTATCTTTTTTAGTAATAACTACATTTCACTACACAATAGGTGCAAACGAATCAATAAGCCGTCTTAAAGGTTTCAATTTACTACTCAACCAGATAATGGCAATGATACTGAAAAAAGTATTAACTACGTTCCGATCATGGTTTTTGTTTTTGGTTCAAGTTTTCGTACCTGTTTTGATTGCGATATTGATGATTAAGGATTTCTCCAAACGAACAGATTCATTTCCTCCTTATTCAATGTCTTTAAAATCCTACAGCAAACCAATAATATTATTAGAAAATAATGACGTGTTGGCTAACACGTATGTAAAAGTTCTTGGAGAATACCCAGTCAAAACCGTTAAAAATCTTACTGAAGAAATTCTTGTCTTGGTATTTAAAACTCACATTTAAAAATATCATCACATGAAATTTTTTAGACAAGTGAGTCGCCTATAACAGTAAGAGAACAATATATTGTGGGCGCATCTTTCAACGACACCACAGCCACTGCTTGGTTTAATGGTGATCCTTATCATGCAGTATCGGTATCTCTCGGTCTCGTATTGAACGCAGTTTATAAGAAAAACTTTGGAGATAAAAAATCTATCACTTTTATTAATTACCCTTTACCTCTCAGTACAGATGCCCAGGTTCAAGTTTAATTAATTTGGCTACTATAAACAATTTTTTTTCAGATCCAAGCTTCGGAAAATGACAAGATGGACTTTGGAGGAAATCTGGGAATGGCAGGAGCAATTGTTGCTTGCATATATATATTGTTTTATATTCGGGAACGCGTTTCTAAATGCAAACATCTCCAAATAATTTCAGGCATAAATCCTTTCATATTCTGGAGCATGGCCTTTTTTTGCGACTTTATTATTTTCTTCGTGGTGATTATTTTCTGTCTTGTCACCATTGCCATTGGTGGTGGTTTCGAATCGTCAGAAAAAACAGGTATGTTTATGAGCTCTTTTTTTGTCTAATTATATAATTAAAAATTTTTAGGTTTCGTAATTCTAATATTTGTTTGTTTCTGTTTCTCCGTTTTTCCTTTAATTTATTTGCTTTCCAACTTTTTCGATATCCCCGCTACTGGATTTAGTATTACTTACACATTGGGGCTGCTAACTGGTACATTGTAGAAACTGTACTATTCACCAATAATATTCATTATTATCGATTAGGTTTGATTGCATTCCTTATTATAGAAGTACTGCGATTACAGGGCACATCAGAACATACAGTGAAAATAGTGCGGGGAATATTTTTTCCTTCTCCTTTCTTTATATTAGGAAGTGGGATTTCTGAAGTAGAAACTAATAGCATTATAAAAGATGTGTGTCTAAAAGCTGATGCAAAACAATCTTGCAAAATCAATAAAATATGTTGTGGTAAGTTAAAAAACCTACACCAAGACTCGCATTCTTATGAATTTAACTATCTAGATGTTGATTATTTTTCTTCTGGTGAACATGGAGTAAAAATATATGTCATTGTGTCATTTCTGATATCACTTGTTCTTTTCATCATAATCTTTATCAAAGAATTTGGTTTCTTCAGTTTACTGAGCATAACGATGTTTTCCTCTCAGCCTCGTGAAAATGATGTAACACTTGAAAGTGATGTACAGGCCGAAAATGAAAAAATCATAAATACTCCCATTAATGTTTTAAAAAGTGATTTCTCTGTGGTTCTTCGTGATGTCACCAAATATTACAAGAAGCTTCTTGCTGTAAACCGCCTCTGTCTAGGAATAAAACGTAATGAATGTTTCGGGTTGTTGGGTGTCAACGGTGCCGGTAAAACCACCACCTTCAAAATGATGACTGGCGAGGAACGTATTACTTATGGTCAAGCTTGGATCCAAGGCTTCAGCGTAAAAACACAACAAAAACATGCTCAAAAGTACGTCGGTTACTGTCCGCAATTTGATGCGTTACTAGACGATTTTACGGCTAAAGAAACGTTGGTCATATTTGGCCTTATACGAGGAATACCTTTTGATAAATGCATCTCTTTGGCCGAGAGCCTCGCTCATGAATTTGATTTTTTTCAACATCTTAATAAAAGAGTGAAAACACTTAGTGGAGGTAATAAGAGAAAATTGAGCACAGCTATTGCCTTGATTGGAGATCCTCCGGTGATTTTTCTCGACGAACCCAGCACTGGAATGGATCCTGCAACAAAACGATTTCTCTGGAATGGTCTCGCGAAATTAAGAGACGCCGGAAGATGCCTGGTTTTAACATCCCACAGCATGGAGGAATGCGAGGCATTATGCACGAGAATTGCTATTATGGTCAATGGCACCTTTCAATGCCTTGGATCAACTCAAAGACTTAAAAGTAAATTTGCACAGGGATTTTCACTTACAATAAAAATCAAAAAACATAGTGATAAGGCGCTTATTGAAAATCAAATAACAGCAATCAATAATTTCATTGAAAGATATTTTCCGGGGTCTGAGTTGAAAGAAAGGTATCAAGAGTTGGTGTCTTACGAATTGGTCAATCCTAAAAACTTAACTCTATCAAGAATGTTTGGAGTTATAGAAGCATCGAAACAACAACTTCAAATTGAAGATTACTCCTTGGGACAATGCAGTCTGGAGCAAGTAATAATAATAATGCATATCGAAAATAATTTAAACTTTGTGCAATTTTTTCTAGGTCTTTTTAAGTTTTGCAAAAGATCAAACGGAATGACATTTCTTCGACGTAAACCCAATTTTTTTGGAATCACTTCGTTCAAAATAAAAGGTTATTATCGTCCAATTTCACTTGTGTAGTGTTAATGAGTATAAAAGATAGAAGTTTCTAAAAAAATAGTTTTAATCTTAAATTTAAAATTTCAAGTCAAAATCCACACAAGCTATTTTTGTAATTTTTAGAAAGCAGGTGTTATCTACGCCCCTTATCGAAAAAAACAAGACCATAGGATCATTAGCACCCTCCTGGAATAACGGTGTTTAATTAAAGTGCCACAGCAGAGAAGCGCAATGTCACTACATCACGCTACAACACGTGAAACGTTTGTTTGTAACAAAGCAAGTAATTTGAGTTCGGTGTAAAAAAATCGATAGCCTTTTTGGGTGTTTACAACAAATATTATCACGTGGACGACATTTGAATTGTTTGAATGCTATTTCACTAGTTCTAATTATTCAGTAGGTCCAAATAATGAGACGACTCGAGATTTTTAAGTGGTCATAAATTTTTATACGGTGCCAAGGGCAAGGTGTCATCACTTTTCTCTTTTTCCTGGTGTGTTTCTTTTATTCATGCTACGATGTTGCAAATTTCAGATTAGTAGTGCAATTATGTTAGCGTATTATCCTTTCTTTTACGAATTTTGATCTGACAATTGGATAATTTCATTATCTGTATTTCCCAAAATTTTCGCAAACTGCTGTTGCATATTTCAATTACTGGGGTCAATCCAATGTTTATCACTTTGGCTAACAACAGGTGACTCTTTTCTTCTGACGCCCGTTCTATTTTTTTCCTATTTAGTTCGACTGTATTTAACACAAAACGTATTTTTGTCAGATTTATAAATGTAAACCTACTTAGAATAGAAAAGAGAAGTTATTTTTGGCCATTTCGATCGGTTTTCGTTTCCGCCCCCATTTAACTACAGAAATGGTCATTTGCATGTTTACGAAAGTAAGAATAGATTAGTTTAAGTTTGTACGTCTGATTTATTCGCGGAAATAAATGTGTTATTCATAACCGGAAACGCATATGACAAGATGAGGTTGGTATAACAGTTATTGTTGGTTATTTTATGAGAAATAACCCCATAACAACAGTAAAAGAAATACAGCAGGCACTCTCGTCCTGTTAGACTTTACTTTAAAAGGCAAAGACAAACGCATATTTCTGAATTAAAATAAAAAGTAGGTCGATGTTTGATTTATAATATCATAAACTTTTACTTTTCTCAGACTGGGTGTGCTGTTCTAATAATTACAATTTTTCAAATAAAATTTTCAATCGATTTGTTCTTTTCTACGTCACCCGTCTTGTGATTTGCGCTCGATTGTTGTATTATATAAATCCTCAAGCAGTACATGTGGCTCTTGTCGAGCTTTCCTTGCGTAATTTCTCCCACAAGTCTCATTTCCACATGACTTTATTATAAATTACGACTAAATTTAGAGGTTTTATCAGTAAGGGTTCTGCTACATGAAACAATAATCTGAAAGCTTCCTGTGCAAAATTGATTGGTTTCTGCCCGTGTCTAACTTCTTAGAAGAAGCAAAATTTTCTGATTTTTCATCACCTAGTGTGATCCTCGGATGTGTCATTAATATTAACGATAGGATCAATGAATTCCACTCAAGGTGAACAACGATGATCGAAACTTGAAGATTTACACTGGCTATACCCATTTAGCATTGCTTATTACTAACTACTTATTGATGTAGTTTACCCTCAAATTAATGGCTTCTTTGCAAGTCAAAGAGACAGAGAGGGGAAAATAAAAACGGATATACGCTATCTAATGCACTCAAATTCTTATTATTTAAATTGAAAATTTTATTTTATTCATAACATGTTTTACAAATTATTTAAATTCTTATTATATAATATGAATAATCAGTTTTTTCACTTTTCAAATTTGTTTACGCGAGACATTGTATGACATTCATTGTATCCCATTAACATATTTAAATACTATATTGAGATAATTGCATAATAAAGCTCGTAATTGAAAAGGATAAAAAATACTTTTACGCAGTTGGAAATCCAACTTGTTTAAAAAATTGTATTGTTTACTGCGGTTTGTGATTTACCCAATTGCAAACACGGAACATTTTCTTTACATTTTCTTGTTGTTTGTTCAACAATCAGTTTTTTTTTTATCTGGTATTTGTTACTTTAGCTTGCTGCGCGCTTTTCCTTCCTTTTAATCAGGAAGAGTACATAATTCAGTGAATGTCACAAATCGTCCATGACTCTTTAAAATATGGTTTTATTCTAATTAAATCTCGCGTTGTGTCCCAGTAACATTCGCGGAAGGTCGTCATATTTGATTCATTTTTTACTAACACTTTCCCCGATCAAAAACCGAAAAGTAGGAAAGGAAGCCATAAATCATTCGCTACTACGAGCTTGAATATCAACAATTAATTTTAACACCTTCAGGTATTTTTTCATAAATAGGTCATTGATGTGGAAACTTTCCTGCACAGAAATGCTCATATTTTCCGACTCATCCTTACCTTCCTCAACTTTCGTAATAGTTAATGGCAAAGTTCATTGTCTTAATGATGCAATATTAACAATAAATATTTTTCTCAATCGTTTCTTGTATGGAAATTTACAACAGTGTTTTCCGGAAATTACCTCGACTGTTTCATTGCACTCAACTTCAGAAATACCCAGGAGTGCCTGAAACGCCCATTTTTTTACAGTTAATTTTTTTTTAGTTTATCTACAATCTCCCAGAAATCCCCAGTTAATTAGTTAAAACGCGCTACCTTGTGGGAAATACCTGACGGCTCATTAAAACAATCAATTGCAGCAGATTATTTGCATTAAAAGTAGTTTAAGTCTTCAGTTGTGACTTTTGAGTGGATTCGGATTTTTCAGATATGTAAGATGAAAAAACGAACCGTTTGGAAAGACAGGTGTTTGGGTGTTATTCTTAATTAACATAAAGATTTTTATTAGACGGACAAGGCCATTAAACTACCGCTGTCTGAAAGAAGTTCACTGGAAATCACAATGTAACCAATACAAACCATAAACATTTAGGTTGAAAAATTGACGCAAGTTGTACAAAAATTGCATAATTTTTTACTAGAAAAGAAATAAAGTTTTCTTACGATGCATATTAGCTGTTACATTCCTCATGGATTTTTTTAAGTAAATAGTTGTAAATTTTCAGCAAGCATTTGATGAAAGTGAGCACCGTTTGACTTCGAAAGACGTCAAAACTTCACTTTATAGTTCGAAGAACTTCATTGCTAAGTGCGCAAAATGTGTAAAGGAGAAAATTTTCACTATTATCAGTTACGTGTGAGGAAATCAGAGCAGGCAATAAATATTCTGCTAGCGTCAAGCAGACTAGTCTCAATGAATAATTTCATTTCCAAAAATGACACAAAAAAACACAAGGCACAAGGGCGTGTCGTTTCAAAAAAGCATGTCCCACGGCCTTTTAAAATTTATGTGTGCGATTAAGTCATCGGTGTTATAACACAAGGTGAAAAAAGATTCAGTGCTAGAACAAGATTTGCACTTTTTGCGTATTCTAAGGATGAAAAAATTATTGAAATGCACTATAAACAAAATACATTATTCAAGACGTTGTTTGTTTTATTTCCATAGCTCCTGTTTTTCAGAAGTGACCTTACCAACGATTCAATATTGGCAAAATTGAAACAAAATAAAACACAATAACACAAAATAAAAAATACAGACAAAGCGGAAGTCCAATCAGCTTTGTTTGCGGTAACAATCTTGAACAGGCAACAAATTCATATGCAGTACAGAAAAGACGTTTTGCTAAAATCCACTAAAAATTTTATTACTTTTAAGTTAAATGCGGTATTGTTAAGTAAACCAGAGGGTAAACATATCATAAATCAAGGGAACGCACCCGGATTGAGAAACCAGGGAAGCAGGTCAGTTTTTAACAGGGTCCTTTTTCTCTAAAATACTTAAAATGTTTAATAGTTTTTGATGTAGGTAATTGATATTAAAGTCAAGTATTTTAAGAAATTTAAAAAAGCCAGGTGGTTAATAATAAGCTATTATTAAATAAGGCTGATTTTTTTATAATAGCTTGGTAAAACTGTACCACTGGTTTTAAATACGGCCCTGTTTTGTTCTGATGGGTGCATCCACACTAAAGAAACGTGCCATTTATGGAGGGTTACAAATTCAAGCCATCGTTTGGTTAATCCCTTCTAATGTGTCATTAAATTTTTAGTTTAGTAACAGTCGGCTGTTCTAAAAGTTCAGGATCTGTTCAGAACCAGTTCAAACAATCCTCGAACTCGAACAATTTTTTTTATCTTGTCCCTTTGAAGTTTTGGAGATTGGAATCAGAGTATAAAAGAGTTTATTTTGGTTACGTACGCTTGTTTGATACCTTATAAATTGTAAATTATTTGTAAAATACGATTTTACATACATTTCTGAATATGCAAGCGTGTATTTTCTGCTTTTTAATACTGAGATATTTCATTTACAAAAAAAATCAAACACTTTACGATAAAATTTTTCCTGCTTTTTAATTTTTAAACATTTACTAAATTTTTGACAATGAGACGATAGATATCGGTAGACGATAATACGGAATTGATTCATACTGGACTTATATTCTAAATAAATCCAGGACTAGTTCAGAATTAGTCCTGAAAATGCAAATAACGTTGATATCGATATGTACTATGTTGAAAAATGATGTACATTTTATTGTGTTTCAGGTGTGTTATGTTGTAAGGATAAACAATTAAAGATACATAATAACATTTTTTATTCCCATAACAGCTTAAGGGATTATTTAAATTCATTTGTTGTTCGATCAATGACAAAACTCAATTTCTCGATAAAAATGACCATTTCCCTCACAAAATTTAGGTAAGAGAATCAATCTTTCAAAATTTTGAGATTCATTCAATCAGATTCAAATTATGCAAAAATTCAGTACAAATTATATCGATAATTTGCCCCTGTGCTAATATACCGCAAATCTGATTGGATGAATCTCAAAAATTTGGAGGATTTGATTGACATTTTTTTTTAATTTCTCAAAATAAAAATATTATTTTTGTAAATTTCGGTAAATAGTCTGCAAAATACTCCTCGTGCATGCCAAATAGATTTTAATTTTGGCATGCACTCGAGATATTACTATTAATAATTCCATACTTTTTCAAGTTATTATAGGTAACTGATTTCGATCTTATTGTCTAAGTTAATCAATCCCGTCGATAACATTTAAAACTTTTTACGTACATAATTATTATTCGTAATAAGTCATTTTTGAAATTATTCAGCGCCTTAAATTGATATTGCAATTAAATAAGATATACCAGCTAACACAGTGAGGTGTAAAAAAAGCTGTTTCTGTGTCTGATCTGTGTCAATCGTCCTTACGAGTTAAATGCATCAACATCTGGTAAGAAAAGCTTTTGTACCAAAAAATCGAATTGTTGTAGACAGACCCATACAATTTTTTTTGTGAATTTTTATTACAACTGATATTCTTGTATAGAATTCGTTTAAGTTTAATTCTATTGTCGAAAACGTAAAAATTTCTCAAATTCTTTGTACATTACATCAACTGAAACCACAGCAACCACAACGAGTCTTTTTTTACAGAAATGACTGTCTGGATTTGTTGTTATTTTGACTTTAGTTCTTCTGTTGCGGACATAATTTGAAAGTAAAATTGGGTCTGGTCAAGATCAGGTCTCTAAACTCCTACATGAATAAGATTAGTTGTTGTAAAATTTTCGCAAATTAGCGTGTAATATAAAATCACACGTTAAAAACGCAATTTCAATAATGCAAAAATGTTTGCAAGCAAACGTGGCAAAATGTTTATAATTCGAACGCCACTTTAATTTGCAAATATTTGCGCTTTTAATACACTCTAAAAAGGACTCACAATAGGAAATATGCTATTATTCGATTTAACGTTGCTAAAAAATAAAAATTTTGTTAATGACTGTGAATTTTTGTCCAGACCAGGCTTTATTCTAATACTCATAATAATTTGTATGTACAAGAATGAATTTGAGGAGAATTGCCTTTAAGAAAAGTTTCTTGTTGGCATAAATGGCACGCATTGTCCAAAAACAATTCAATCTTGAGTTCTTTGAATAAATGTAGAACTCGTGTACCCAAATTAAGTTTCCAAGTGGTGGTTGTACGTTGCTTTTTATTGGAGATGCCATCAACAGGTAGACTAACAATCGTCAACGTGATTTCATTCATACAGAAATGTGCAAATCTGGTGTCGCGAATCTAGGGGGGAGTTTTCTTAGGTCGGAAAGAGGGGATAACTATATAAATGTTCGACAAAAATTAATAGCTCGCTATAGTTTCCACCGACACTCTTCGATAAACAAATGTACAATTAAATTTTCAACTTGAATTTTAAACTTGCTATGTTTGAAAGTGTTTCGTCTTGGAGAAAATTTCGCTAAATCGATTTGAAGCGAGTTTTTTTTGTTGTTTTTCTTATTTGGGGCGAGTGATTTGAAATGCGAATTGCGTTCGGGGTGATTTTCATAACGGGAATTTTCGGAGGATTCTTCGCTGAAAACGTCTTCGCTTTGCCGGTGGCACACCATCACGTCATCTCCAAAGACCTAGACAGGACGGCGGTCGACGAGATGTACAAATCTTATATCTCGATTTCGGTGAGTTTTGGAACGAACCTCGTAATAGTAGAGATTTTATTAACATTTGTCATAATCGCCAAGGAATGTCGTTAAATGTGGCAAAATCGGGCGATTTGTTTATTTTTGTAATGTAATGATTGGTAACAAGTCAGGTATTTATGCATAAATCTGGTCACATTCAAATTTAATATTTTGGGATTTCGCTGTACTTTTAATTATTACCTATCTAACAAAATATTCAAAAATTTACTCTAAACTTTTCTATATTCAAAAGTAAAGTAAATCAATTTGACTTTGTTGTAATTATTATTTGTTTTTGAAACCACTTTGCGTCTCACTGAATGAGAAGTATAACTAAAGAGAGCAAACACTTGAAAAATTGTCAGGACTTTCAGAAGTAAAAAGTGCAAAGCGCAAAGATGTTGGTGTCGTATTCAACATTGCCATTAAAATTATCACTTCTTCTGGCTTAAATGTTTAAAATGAAGGACATTGTTTTGTTAATTTAAATTTGGCGAAAAATATTTTATACATTTTTTGTGAAATTAAAATAGTAAATACATAAAAAAACAAAACAAAATAGAAATATGAGTGAATTGCTCACACCCGATGTCACGAAAAATTGTTATTCTTACACGAATATGTAATATCCCACTTGAAATATTTTATAATAAGTACCCTTTTTTGTTATTTAATTTTGATACAAATATGATTTACTATTTGTTCTTAATCAGTCGGAATACTTAATAAAAATTAGTACGTAATTTTTGTAATTCATATTTTGTTCTCATAGCAAGTTGGAATAATTAAACATTTAAAAAATCGTGTTAAAACTTTTTCCTACGGCACCATCATTTTAGAGCCGAATATTAGATATTAGATTAATATCTAATTAGATTAGAATTAGATTTAATGACCCACAATATGAAGAAATACTACTTTACATTTTATACCAGAAATAAATACATTAATTTTAAAACTCCCCAAAATGCATGTCCCATTTTTTTAAAAACGTAACCGACAAAACCACTAAATAATATTAATATCGTCTTTTAATTTTATTTGTAAATAACCGCTTTGAAAACAAGTACAATTTTTTTTAACTCCAAGTTTAATGTTCATTAATAATTATTGTTTCAACAATAAAATAAATTAATAATTAAATTTATGTGCAATAACAGAGTGTGCTCGAATAATTATTTAAACAAAATCACACAAAGACAAATTATTTATTGTTAAACAATTGCTGCTTGGCTTGCAGGCTCTATGATACAAAAGTAACAAAAAACGGACTATTTTGTGTATTGTAAATTTCGAATAACACACCAAATTGTTTATTTTGATCTAATTCGTGATCTCAAAGATGCTCCACAGCAATACCTCCAAAAATACATTCACCATAAGGTAACACAACGTCCATATTCATCTCCAGTTGTAAACACCGGTAATTTATTACAAAATTGGGAAATTTTAAGACAAATCAACTAAATGTAACCAATTCGATCAAACTCGAAATTAAAACTGTATAGATAAGAACGCGCTTAACTCTATCTCGGTCAAAACTCGTAAAAAAACTGCCGAATAAAATCACATCCTCTCTTTATACAAGGTGTTTCAAAAAAAAATTCCAAGATAAGACATAAGGAACATGGAAAAAATATTTAAAAAATATATCTATAAAAATTTCGAAATTTTGGCTTAAATTTTGTACTTGACACTATTTTTTCAGTTGAAAAAATAATTTTTGTTTTGTTTTTCTGTTGCAGACTAATATAAGAAAAAAGAAGCTGTATACTAAATTGTAACTATGTTTAACGTGGCTTCTATTGAAAAAACGCTCAAAAAATCGTTTTAGAAAAAATGGAACATAAAAAGTCTATGATTTGGTCCAGTGAAAATTAATGTACTTATTTGTTTCCCCTGGTACAGTTTTTTTAAATTCCTGTATTTTGCAAGTGTTATCTGCTTATAATCACTACGTTTTATTTTGGATAATCATATTTTTTAAACACTCGTAGTTGTTTTAAAGATTATCGCTTCCGAATTTGCCTTCTTAACCTTTATGTTTATGTCAATATCGCAGCTGCGGAATAATTTCAGAGCTGCATCTACAAGAAAATGATGAAAGAACACATATTTAGTCAATTTTCTTTATTTTTTAATAAGAACACAAAACAATTAGCAAATAGTTTTTCATTTTTGATAAGATTTAATCATAAAAACAACAATTAATTTATTTATTTTAATAATTTATTTTAATATTTAATATTTATTATGTTTATGACATTTACTAATTACTACCGACATTTTTCTCTTCAAATTATTCAATTTTTCAGTTTATTAGAGTCGAGATTTTGTTCCTTTCTTTCGGAAACTGTTCCCCGACTCTAAAGTTTACTTTATCACGATGTCAAAACACGTGCATCAAAACAAAATATCAGAATAATTAATGTTTCTCTCGTTTTGCGTAAAATAAATTGTATCGGTGAGTATTTAGCGATGATTTCATTAAATTTCCGAAACAAATACTATTACTTGAGAAAATTAAATAATAAGTGGCAGTGTAGAGTAAACAAAGTATTTTGCGAAACGCAATAACTATATCAATGACCTTATGATTAAACCCCCTCCCGAAAACTTAATAAATCTTGGGTGATGACACATAATTGACTTGGTTATTTTTTCAGAATGATCGAGGTGATGACAACGACGAAGTAATATCTCGAGTCCAGCAAGTATACCTTGACAGTCCCAAAATCAGCGTGAGCAAAAATGGTAAGCAGCAAAAAACGAAACAAACTGCTTACTTGCTAGTCAAATCAATGAGCCAGAGAAACAAGAGATACATCAGTTGTAAGTAAGAGCCCACATTTTCTCATTAATTTCGTGTCGAATGGCGAATGTCGGTAAATGCACGAGCTACATAAAAGGTGTTTATTGGCGTGTTATGTAAATTGTTTTGCACGACATTTGCCATCAGAATAGCGAAATGTGTAGGTGGGAGATAACAGATGATGGCATTTGTTCCAGATCTCACGCTCTGCCACTTCAAGATTTGCAACATGGGCCGCAAACGAACCTCCCGATATTTCCACATGATAAGGCAGTTGGACGATAATGAAGCGTAAATTGTCCGTTGTTACAAATGTGGATTTTTATTTATATCTCGTCATCGGCACGTAAATTGGGCCAGGCACGACCTCTTATGCCGGAGAGGTCGCTGGTGTCCTGTACCTGGCTCGATTCCTTCACTGATTTGGAACCGAAGTACTCAACTCTATGTTGTTTTTATTTATGTAATTGAAACAGTGTTAACAGTATTTTAAATATAGTTTTAATTTTAAGCACCACTTAAGCACATTTATAAACAATCATCACAAAAAATACTCTCATACATAAAAAAGAAATGCCCGCACCCTCTCCTAGATTTAAATTTACTTCATCGATAAAATTAATTAGTAACATCTTTAACATTATAAATATAAAGCTCTGAGTTTTTAAGGCCACTAAACTAAGGTCTAAATCGAATACAATAAGCTTAGAATAATTGAATCGTCGAGTTGTAATCCTGAGCTTTAACCAGCTGTTAAAGTTACCAACAAATAACTGAGGTCTCCACCCAAATCATCCTGCAATATAGAAAAATAACACGTTGAGTGCCGATTATTGGGACGATTATTTTAAGTGAATGGCAGTATTGATGAAGCTATAGTAATGGTGCGTTTTACAGAGAGGTAGTGGTGAATTAGTCAACGATGGCCAGAAGGACTTTCTTGTAATCTCCGGAGGTGTCGCCCTGGAAAGTACAGATCAGTCACTAGAAGCTCATGCACTAAGACAAGCATTAGTCTAACCACAACCCTGCGTTATTTTCACAGCGAAGCGAAAAATCAATTAATCAAAATAATAACTATCAAAAACAATGCGCAAAAAGAGCATCTAAATTGCATTAATATTTACAAGTATTTAATAATATAAAGCGTGTTTTTACATAACAGTTGCACTGCAAATTCTTAAAATTTCTGCAACCTAAGTTCTTAGAATTGGGTACCTTAAGGTAAATCATAAAGTACCCAATTCTGTAGTGTTATAATATTTGTGACCGGTTAATTGACAAAATTTTTTGCTTCTACAGTACAAATTAACAAAATTCACCTCATGTAACAAACAGCTTTTAAAATGTGTATTTATTTTCCTGCAAAAATTACTTTCAACGATCAATCTAATCGTACAAAAACTGAATTTCCTCATCAATAATGTTGTTTTTTATAAAGTTACTTTCAAGTTGATATTTTCAAAAAATGGTTATAATATACCACTTGTAACAAAAATAAATACTTGAATGCACAACCCACCAAATGCAACAATTGTTTTACGAACAAAAACACAATAATATTTATGTATTAAGTTAAATAAAAATCATAAAATAAGAACAGACGAAATTAAAGTTTCTCGGTTAATACAATAATAATAATTAACCACAGTACCTTGAAAAATACAGAGTGTTTCAAAACTCGCTCCCTAGAGAAAAATGCCATATGTAAGGTAAAACATCAGGAACATGGAAAAAAAGGTGAAAAAAAAATTGTATCTATAAAAGTTTCGAAATTATGGGAGTTTGACAATATTTATTTTTGTTAGCAAAATAAGTTTCATGTTTTTTTTGTAGCAAGCTATTAGAAGAGAAAACAAAACACCTGTATCCTGAATTGTAACTATGTTTAAGGTCATTTTGAAACTTTCATTGACAAAATTTTTGTACCTTTACTAAATAATTATGAAAAAACATATACAAGATCATCAGTAATACTGAAAATGTTCCTACTTGGAATTTTTCTCTGAGGCGCGTTCTGAAACACCCTATAAATTCAACATACGCTAGCGCAATGTCCACCTCATATTTGTAAACATCGGTAATTTATCCCAAAATTGAGTCATTTCATGACAAATAAATCAAAGTGAACAATACCGATCAAACTCTGAATTAAAACTGCAAAACTGTGAGCTGAGAACAAGCTTATCTCTCTACCCCTGCTAAAACTCGCAAAAAATACCTTGCAATAAACTCCCAAATATTTATATGAGTGAGCTGAATAACTCACTTTGCAAAAGGCAAAATGCCTTAAAAAAATTTCGATTCCGTAAAAATGGCAATAAGTTCTGCTCGTGATTAAAATAAATCAATAAATGCATTTATTTCTGTTATACGTGGTATGTTTAAATTTTAAAAACCACACACAAAACACATAATTTAGATTCTATTTTCAAAAATTGAATAATTTTTTGCGTTACATAATCTACAATATTAAAATAAAAAAATTATAAATTGTAGGTGAAAAGAAATGAAATTGTACATTTAACACTAAAATGATTCACTTTTGATTATAAACAGAAAGGTAATAAAAATCCAAAGCTAATATTTTTAAACTAGCTAGTCGCGATACCATTCTCTTATTGATTGCCTATTGTTTGTTTAATCACCAAAACAGAAAATAAGTTGTAAGTAGTTTAGTAAAGTTCGAGGAAACTTTTAGTCAAAGTTGATTAATCTACTAGTTTTGGTTCAATCCCCTCAAAACCATAAACCAGATACTTACAGAAATCCAACTCTCCAGAGTTTTTCCATATTTGTCCAAAAAGGCCTGTTTGATATCGGCCAGATCAATCTCCGACCTGGAGACAATGATGCGAATTAGAGTTTTGTCGGTGGTGCCTATCCCAGCCATGCTGTCGTGCAAACGCTCAGCAAAATATCCAACTTTGCTCTTCACACATTTGACTGCAAGAAAACGATGAAAATTTGCTAATACATCACATGTCACATACCGATGCCGAGCAGTCCTTTCTGAATGCTTCCCGAGAATTCCTTCTTGATTGCAGACTCAATATCGTGTCCTGCCAGTCTCTCATATTCAGCGAAAGTGGCCCTGAGTTGTTGGTAGCTTCGTGTGATTAAAATTTGATTGAATTGAGATTCCTCAGTTCCCCATTTGCCCTCGCCGGCGGCAATTAAGGCTTCGGCGTCCGCGGTGGCTTGAGCTTCGTTTACCCCTTGATTTTCGTCGCGATTTGCTTGGCAGAGAGACACGAGAAGTCTCTTAAAATGGCCGGAAGTGTCACCTTTGAGGTCAGACTCGAGGGATTTTCCGTACACTGTAATAGGCAAACTTAGGTGAAATTTACAAAAGCGAAAGTAATTACTGTTTTCGTAAAACTGCGCTATCGTCCTGATGCCATAATTGGACAGAGTGCAAAGGATTTCGATGATGGCCTCCTCGTCGGTGCCCATTCCCTCAACGGCGTCGTGGAGTTCTTTGGCGTAGAACTGGGGTAATGGTGTCATAAGAGCGACAATGACGTCTTCGAATTTTCCCCCAAGTTCTTTTTTCAGTTCGGAGATTAGGTCTTTGCCATAGGAGGTTTTAAATGTTTCGGCAATTTCGAGTCGTTGGACGATTCCTCTACGAGCTAGAACGTCGATGATGACTTTTTCGTCAGCCCCCATGCCTTTCATGGCTTTTTTCAAAGTGGCGGCATCCTCGACCGGGTCGAAGGGTTCGGCGGGGTACACCGTGGGAGTACACTGGAATGCAGCATTACGTTACTACAAGTTGTAGGAGGATACGGAAGGTCAATCGAACATAAATGTTTTTAGGCTTAGTCAGCTTTCTCAGTTTTCGCGTCTCACATGATTTTTTTTTATAGAAATCGTCTACAAACTAAAACAAATGACTCTTAAATGAAATAAAAAAGACAGTATCACATCCACAAAATTATAGCCAAATTACCCAAAAAATTGCGTAATAATATCAATAGTAGAGCTGCGAAGCTAGCCATTTTCGGAGCTAACTACTAGCTAAGCTACATCTGAAATTTTGGTAGTTGTAGCTTATTAGCTATAGCTACTATAGTAGCTTTAATTTTTAACCACATTACGACCAATTCCAGGTACAAAGTCAGAAAACGCAATCCCCAAATTTTCAACCTTACCAAAATAAAGGCAATTAATTTATTTTGAAATATTTTTCAGTTGCCAAACATATTTGCAATGCTAATCAGACTGTTTTTTACTTAACTTGCAGTATACAAGTTAATAGAACCCGAGGTAAAGAAAAAACGAAACAAAATTGTATTTTTTTTTTTATTTGTTCTGATTCAACTCACTAGAAAATCCTTCTGGATTAATATGGAGGTAAATAAGTAGGTAAGAAGATTCTCTTTACGTTTAAAAAACAAGAATTCACTTAAAATTACACTTTTGGAACAAGTGGACATGTTTTAAAGCACTTGGGCGATATCTTTTAACACTTGTTTAAACTATTATGCCGCTACACCACCACGCCGTCGACAGTTTCTCTGTTCTAATCAAATATATTCATTCGAACATACAATTTTTCAAAAATTTATCACTCGCGTATCTACAACGTTTTAACACTTCTGGGTCTTTTGCACTTCTACGAGTGCATTTGGAGCAACTTTAAAGTTTTTCATTTTTTCGATTCTTGACAAAAATGTGATCGATTTTCGACACTTTTATTTTTCTATCTTAAAAAAAATATTGTTCTGTGCACTTAACAACAAATGACCAAATTAGCGGATTAATTTCAATGTAAAAGTTCAACTGTTTTCAAGATTGCAGAAAAATATAATTTTTAAAACTCGATTACCATAATATTATACTTGAATAGAAAAGGAAAAACATTTTATAAACTTTAGGCCCTTCTACTAACTCTTAAATTATTTAAAATAAATTTCTGATTTATGATCTGTGATTTTATATTGATTAAGAAAGAAAAATAAACGATGGATTTTCTCGTGTAAGGTATGAAATGTTTTTTTTTTTCATTTTATCAAAAACTTTAAGTGCAGCTGTTGTCTTTTTTGTTGTCTTTTTATTGCACTAAATTATCAAACAAGTCTTCAAAATCTATTATTTTTTAGCATACCATGTTTTAAACACCAATTTTGCTTTTTTGCTTGATCCAAAATAAAATATTCATATACTTATTATAGAATTCAGAAATTTTTTAAAAAGAGATCAATTGTAAGCCATCAGAAAAAAATTAAGTTAATTGTTTGAAATACTTCTGCCATGTCTTTTGTACGACATATGTAACTGATGTTACCAATATCTCTAAAGACATTGCATATTATGTAAAAAAGAAGAAGAAAAACCATTTAGAATTTTTGTTAGAATAAACTTAGTAATAAAAAAACCTGTGTTTTGCTTTTTTAAGTTTTAATCATTTGTGGTATAACTTTATTATTACAAGTTTGCCAAAACATAGTCATATTTTATTTCAGATAATACATCAAGCAGTTTATTAATTTGTTGATTTTTAGTAGGTATGTAAACAATTACGAAATAGACAAATTTCCATGTGGCAAAATAAACTGGCAAAATAAACAAGGGTTATAAACAAAACATCACTACAAGTTTTGGGAAAATACAAAATTAACTAGTTTCTAAAATATTTTATTTCTGTTTTTTTCCTGAAGACATATTTCTCTTTTAATTACACCTTTGCTCGGTTAACTTTGCTCTGATTACCGTGCGGCATAATTTGATTTTCACAATTACTCCTCTAACTTCTTTCTGTTAGCAACAACCGAAGGTTATTTTGTTTTAGAGGCCCGATGAGTCGGCCGAGGTCATCTCCATATCTCACGATTTTACTCATATACAGGTACAATGACACAATCATCGTTACCAAAATTTCGTAACTGAAATTCCGGTTTAATCGACTATAGGGGCGAAAACAGGTCATTGTATCATGTATATGAGACGCACCCTTTCATCCCTGATCACACCCTTTAAACGGTTAAATTTTATTGAGTTTGTTCGTTGCCAACGCCTTGAAAGGTGAAGTCATAAAGGAAAAAGTTTGTCGTCGCTAAGATGAGGATTATTTCAACTCCGAAATAAAACTAAAAAGCTGTACAAGAAATTAATGTCTAGACAAAAATTGATCCAAAAATAACCAACTTTGCCATCATTAAAATTATTCCTTTCATTAGAGTTTCCTTGGGCAAAGGTTGACAGAATGGTGAGTCAGTTTATGTTGTAAACAGCTCACTCGTGACAATATTGTAAATAAATTTATTGCAGATAGAGAAATGCGCCTTAATTAGTAAAACATTTATCATTGTTATGTTTTGTCTTTTCACAAATATGTACCTACTTAGCAACGAGATTAGATTTTACAGCGCCCCAAAATAAAATTTGTAAAAATAGCGGTGATATTCCTTCGCCCGATTTACTGATCTTCCCCTAGATTGTTTACGGACTATTCCGGGGAATTGACTGGCGCCAAGCCAAGATAATGGGGTGAAAACATAAAATGAATCATAGTTGTTTTACAATGGGGTGTATTGATTCTTCCGGAAAGTAGGAACGGACGTCAATAATGCAAACTGGTGCATGCATTTTTCTCACTAGGGGACTAAATTTAAAGAAACTAAATTTAATTGTAAACATTCAAAAAGATGTAGGTATTTATAGCTCATTATCAAAACAGGATTTACGCCCACAAAAATCGGAAAAGGATGTGGTTTTGATATCGGAAAGAAAATTGAAAAAACTGAGATAATTAGCAATTAAAAAATTCACTCACCTTGAATGGATAGTACTGTTGTTGGCTCATTTTGGCGTGAAATTCGTGTGACTAGAACAAAACAATTATATTACACAATAGAAACAGGTACGAGGGAACTTTGTTCAGCAAAGTTGCTGTTAAACTGGCCTACAAACTCTGAGTGATATTATGTTATATACTCCTGACATCATCGCTTAAAATAAATATTATGTTCCACTATGAATGAATAACGTTCCCAGAACATTGTTACTAATATTTGGTTTATTGCTACAGAAAAAATTCCTGATTGTTAATCAGCAGTATCGAGGGTCATTTTTGCTCCTCTCACTAACCAAAGAGGTTTATAATTAACTCTGAATAACTTAACAGGCTATTTTCGGTTCATCTTTGTCATCATCACACTGACCCAAGCGAATCGATGGAATTTTTTCCCGATCAATCCAAAAACTAAGAAAAAATTGTACACAGTTATCTAGACAGATAAGTTCTTTGGGATTCGTTGACCTTTCGGGCTCGGTGCCAATAATGCCGGAAGGGTTATGCAGTGAAATAAAAACTAGAAAAGATAAAAACCCACTTACCGAATGAAAACAAGAGTAGCAGGATGAACTGTACTGCTGAGGTCACACCCACTTCGAACTACTAAGCAGTGAAAGCCGTTTCGATACCACTGTCGGCTTGCAGGATGCGATACTATGCGCCAGCGTACTTCCAAAATTTCAACTGGCGCAAAAAGGATTATGAAGGTCGCAAGATTTATGGACAGGGGTTTCTAACTGGATTAGGGTGTCAGAAGTGTTTCTGAATTCACCGTTTTGGATGTAATTGCAACAGGAGGTACTGCGAAATTTTGAGGTTCCTCCGACACTTCTGTTTAAAGAATGAACGCATCTTGATTTTCTATTAAAAAAAACGTCCTGGTGTGTAAGTTTTTAAATTTTGATAAATAACATAAAAAGATTCATGTTTGTATAAAGTCTTATTCAATTCGCGGTTGATTTTTCCCACAGACAATCAAACGAGATAAATGTTAGCCAACCAACATGTTCGCTAACAATTTAAAATGTAATCAAAAAATTAATGCATCATTCATGAAATGTATTCATGTGCAACCAAGGTCTTAAATTTTATTTCAGTGACTCATTAAAGTTGATTAGAATGACACTTTCAGCATCAACAATCATGTTAGAGTTTTAGTGAGGAGGTAAACAAAAACTCATCATGGTTATCCTTCCACATATATTATATTTGTTTATAAAAACAGAAACCTGTAAAGAGCGCCATATAATACACAATATTTCGTAACAAAATTTAATCTTCTAAAAAGAAATACTGTCCGGACCGTTTCTGCTCGACATCCTTCACAGATTCTTGTTTGTTTATCCTAGGTCTAAAATTATTAGGATCCCGCCTAAATGTAATCCCCAACAACTCCAAAAATCGGTTCATTCCAGCTAAAAGTGTCTGCGGGGTATTGGCTGTGGTTTTAACTGACGGTGTACCCTCAAATACGATTACGCGGTCTGCCAGATAAGTAGCCATGATGAAGTCGTGTTCTACTACAAAACCTGTCTTTTTCGCGTGCAAAATGAATCTAAAAAAATTCAATTAACCAAGAACCACTTTTTTCCGTAAATACAAACCTTTTGATTACTTTAGCAGCCATAAGACGCTGCTCGGAATCTAAGTAGGCACTGGGTTCGTCGATAAGGTAGACATCTGCCGGTTTGCCTAAACACAAAGTGAGAGCAACTCGTTGCAACTCACCACCGGACAGATTCTGCACTTCCTGGTCGATAATATCGTCGATTTTAAGCGGTTTAGTCACATCAGCCATAAACTAAAATAGATAGTAGCCTCACATACAAAATAATAAAACAATTAATAATACCTGGGGATGAACATAAGCGTCCCTGATTTTCTCGTGGAGCAATTGTCGGACCAATCCCTGAGACTTCGGACTGATCTTTTGTGGCTTGTAACTGATATGAAGTTGTGGCAACTCCCCAGAACCCTCATCGGCCTGTAAGTTACCAGCCAACATCCGAATAAATGTTGTTTTACCCGTTCCATTTTCGCCGAGTAAAACCAAAATTTCGGAATCGGAAAATTGGCCTTTGACCACGTTCAGTTGGAAATTTCCCATGGTTTTAGTCATGGAAGGGTACTCGTAATGGTTCATGCGTTTTACTTCCTCTTCAGTTGCAGATTCAGCCACTTTGAACACTAAAGATTCATCACGGAAACGCAGATTTTCAGTCGGAACAAAACCATCCAAGAATATATTAATCCCTTTGAAGAAGTAATTATTACGTTTGTGGATCATTCTCTGATATGTTTATTACCTTCACGAACGGAGAATGGCATAGTAACCACACCATACGCTCCAGGAACTCCATACAAGCAACAAATGAAATCTGATAAATAATCTAAAACGCTGAGATCGTGCTCCACCACAATTATAAATCTAAGGAAAAAAGTTATACAATGTTATGTTGGCTTTTTTTCTTGCTTACTTGGTTGGATGCAACAGCGACCTGATAGTTTGGGCAGCATTTAATCTCTGTTTTACATCTAAATATGATGAGGGTTCATCAAACATGAAAATATCCCCATTTTGGATGCACACCATGGCGCAAGCAAATCTCTGCAGCTCCCCACCAGAGAGCGCCTCAATCGTTCGGTCGCGTATATGCTTCAAGTCCAACATTTCGCAGATCTGTTCCTGGTTATCCATCTCGGTTTTCTTATCCAAAAGTTGTCCAACTGTTCCTTTTACGGCTTTAGGAATTTGATCAACGTATTGTGGTTTGATTAACGCTTTCAAGTCGTCTTCCAGTATCTTGGTAAAGTAATTTTGCAATTCAGACCCCCTGAAATGGCTCAAAATCTCCGTCCAGTCAGGCGGATCGGAGTAGCGCCCCAAATTGGGCTTTTGTTTGCCAGCTAGTATTTTCAAAGCGGTGGATTTACCGATACCGTTGGTCCCAACAAGACCCAGAACTTCGCCGGGGCGCGGAATTGGCAATCTGTGAAGTTTAAATGAGTTCTTGCCATAGCGATGAGTAGTATCTCTTTCCAAATTGCTTGGAAGGTTGATGATCGTAATGGCTTCAAAGGGACATTTCTGGGGGAAAAAAAAGTATAAATGACGAAAAATAACAATCCGAGGACACAAACCTTCACACAGATACCGCACCCAATACATAATTCTTCGGAAATAGATGCCATTTTGCTGTTGGGGATTACTTCGATACATAACTTGCCCATGCGAACCACTGGGCACGATTTTTTGCACTCCTGGCGACATCGTTTTGGTTTACACTTATCAGCGTTCACTATAGCAATACGAGTTAATTTATCAGTTTCTTCAGTTGCCTTTCTTCGTGACATTTTGATTCCAATATGTTAGGATTCAATGACACCTAACCTAAAAGTGAGAGTGCAAAACTGGAATTAAATTTATTTAAAAGTGAAGAGTAAAGTGCCTAAATGTAGTTAACAATGTTTTAAGTTTATTTTACTCACCAATGATTTAAATTTATGCAAAACAGATTTTTTCTAGGCCGCCAGCACGACCGGCCATGAGGAAAGGATAGCTTACAGCACTGCCAACACTGTGATACACAATTACTCAAATTTTAATTAATTATAACAATCAAAGCAAAGTTAAATTAAATTATCTGTAAGATTTTTTAACTGTGAAAGCCCAAATACTTCTGAGACTCGCAATATTGTGACATTAATTCGTAAAATCCATAGAAATCTTAATTAAAAAATATTGTAGTGTTGGCAGCTCTGCTTGTCATAAGCCGTGCTCCAAATTTCCTATTTTAGAATTTTTCATTCCGATTGCCTTAAAACCAAAAAATACGTAGAAAAATGTCCAAAGTCGATATGGAATTAAAAAAAGTAAAGTTCTGCCTCTTCACCCCTTCTAAGGTTAAAATTTGTGTGTTTTAGGCTTTTGCAGAGCTGCAAGAGAAGCAAATTGACACAGCCCAAAAACTGCGTATAGCAGACCTACAAATAGAAACTTTAAAAAGAAACAAACAACATGCATCTTTCACAGAAAGGTAGTTACATCTTTTTTGTTGCATCAAATAAATTTCATTATTAGGGAAATATCGTCGCTAGAAGACGGTACAAAAACCTATGAATCTGTTGGTCGCATGTTTGTGATGGCCCCCATGGATCAAGTTAAGGAAAATCTTCAAAAGAAGCAAGCACAGGCCGAAGAGAAGATAAAGGTCCTGGTAAACAATAAAGCATACTTAGAAAATAGCTTAAAGGATGCCACAAATAGTCTACGTGAATTAGTACAACAAAAGAAAGAATCTTAACTTATTTTATAATTTTTATTGTAAAATTTTCCTAAATACATATTATTTTACTTGGCAATTGCAGTTTCGAACAGTAAAGTTTCTGAAGGTGGATTTTCTTCAATATGGAGGGGCTTGTGAAGGAGTTTGAAAATTCCAGTTCCTATAGGCGCGGGCATTCCCATTATAATATTTTCTGAAACACCGTTTATCTTGTCTACCTGACCATAATAAGCTGCATCAAATAAATGATCAGCGGTTTTCTCGAACTAAAAAAATAAAATGGCAAAAATCGTTTTACTTGACAAAAAACTTACAGAAGCCAAGTTCAGGATAGACTGTTTCATTTTAGACAAACCATACCGGGTGATACCCAAAACTTCCCCCGTATGCGTCATTTGTGCCGCCAGTAACATAATATGGCGATAATCCACGCTCATGCCGTGGTTTTCCATCACCATTTTAATTTCAGACATAATAGTTTCCCTACAATTCATAATTAACGAAATATTTGAAAAAAAAAAAACAGGTTTAAGAACCTTGCAGCTTCGATTCCCAGTGTATGATACACTTCCATGATATTATTTGAGACAGTTTTGGTCCCCAGTACTCCATACGTAGCAATAACTTCCCTTAAATTGTCACCCTCCACACATAAATTATACAAAGTCTCGCCCCCTTTCTCCTCCTTGGCAATAACAGCACGATTCACAGTTGGCAACCCTTTAACAACAACACTAGGCAATTTTGCCTTTAATTCATTCAACGAAAAATTATATCTAGTTGAGTGTTTACTGCCACCGGGGTGTACTGTAATAATTGTTTCACTTTCGACGCGAACTTCAGTCGGCTTAAGTTTTAATTTTGAGGTGCAAATACTGCAAAAAAAAAGAAAGAAATTGCAAGTAAATAGAATTAAGTTGGCAAACCTATATCGGACAGTTTCGGCATTAATTTCAAGTCTCAATAACTTAATCCGGTCGTAATTTAACTGAATTAAAAGGAAGCAATCGTACTCTGTGTAAATTTCGTCAATAAACGAAGCCACTTCGCCAAGGGTTGTTTTTTCAATTCGGGCTTTCACTTCTCGGGCAAAACCGATATCGCGGGGGTTGGTGAGGCTAGCAGTGATTATAGGCGTACTAATATCCTTACTAGCATTAATAATTTCCTTAATTCTAGCAAAATAAAAAATTATATAACATTTCCTAGTTGTTCAACTTTGTATACCTTGGGACACCTTGTGTAATATTCATACTAGCAACACCAGCAAAATGGAAAGTTTTCAGTGTCATTTGCGTCCCAGGTTCACCTATACTTTGTGCAGCCAAAGCACCAACCGCAGTTCCCGGTTCGATGATAGATCTGGTATATTTTGAACCGCAAATTTGTAAAAATGTCACCAACTGGCTACAAGTTAATCTTTCTATTTCTTTTACCACTTTAGCGTCCCCCAATTTGTTGTATAATTTTTCGACTCTTTGCGCAACCTTTTCCATGAAGTTCCTAGAAACATTTATTTTCAAATAATTGGCGACAGTGGTCATTTACGGCCAACTTTAGTTCCGTTTTAAATCCCTCGCTACACTCGTTTAAGGCATCCGTTTCCAGAAAAGTTTTAGTGGCTCGTCGGATTTGGACACTATTTAGGATCGCTTCATCTCGGTACGGACATTTCGCTTGCACGTGTCGCAAAACGCGGTCAAAATCGACGGGGCAGTCTTTACCTGAAAATCATTTTTTTTATATTTGAAATGTTGGCAACACAAACGCACCTTCCATGTAGGTCGGATCTAGGCCGTCACATCCGTAGTTCACCTGAACGAGATCACCTTCCGCATTCCTGACAGAACCGTCGTAATGCACCACCAAATCTTCCAAGGACTTAAAAATTCAATTCTAGATTAAAGTGACCTGAGACTGAAATTAAGTTGGCAACACTGAATTAATAGTAATGGAACGCTGAATTAAAAGTAGGTATATCAGTAAATTTGTCAGGTGATGACCATACCGGGGCCGCCCCTCGAAATTGAATGTCAATTTGTTAGTCAGTGTTGCCAACTTAAGTTCGAAAATTTTATACCTTCACCAACCGTCTCTGCATGTAGCCGGTTTCAGCGGTTTTAACCGCTGTGTCTACAAGACCCTCACGGCCGCCCATTGTGTGGAAGAAGAATTCCGTGGGTGTTAACCCAGTATAGAAGCTATTTTCAACGAAGCCTTTAGCTTCTGGTGTTTTAGCTAAACATCCCCAAATTTTTGACTGTACTGTTTTACGTTAAGAGAAAGAACTTACAGTGATGTGGGAAATGTGGTAAGGACCTGTTTTCAAACCCATCTGGGACACGTTTTCCATTCAAAGCCTGCTGTCCCACACAGGCAATCATCTGAGAAATGTTAATGAAAGACCCTTTCGACCCTGATAATGCCATAATTAGGGGGCTGTTGGTGGGGTGCAATTCTGCGAGACATGCCTGGCCTGCATGTTCACGAATAACTGATAATTCTTTCAAAATAACAGCTTCTAAAGTCTCTTCAGCCGTACATCCCGGTTGGCATTGAAGCCGACCGTCGGCCATTTGCCGAATATATTCGTCACATTTAGCATATCTATAAGTGCACATTAACAAAAATCGTTAAATTATCAATAAACAAACCCATCCTCTAGCAACTTGTTCTTTCGTCTTAGTAAACCTGGGCTAGGTGTGACATCACCTATCCCGATACTGAATCCACTGTTCATTAAATAAAAAGAAGTAAGCTTAGCTAACCTCCACATGGATTTTATCGCATATTCAGACCCAAAGTCCCTCAAAATTACATAAAAAATGTTACTGCCCTTCCCTCCACTTCCCAAATGACTCTTATCTAACGTTCCAGCAAGCAGTTCAGAATTTCTGATCAAAACATATGAGTCTTTAACGCACAACTCTCTATTTTTTGTATAGGCTTTGCCTTTCGCTTCAAGATTTGCCTTGACTGGACATTTCTTATTAGGCCGGAAAATAAGACTACAAATTTGTTTGCCCGACCACAAACGTCTGGGCTAAAAAATATACACAGTCATCAACACCATTGATAATATTCACAAACCTTTAAAATACAAGGTGTTGGTAAATCAATTTGCATGTGTGTGTCATTCTCAGCCAATAGCGTGGCGGCTAATTGAGACGCGTGTGCTAAATCGAGAAATGTGTCTTTTTTGGTCAATAAGTAGCCCCCAGTCAAAAAATCCTGAGTTGCTGCGATCAAAAGTTCACCGTTTCGTGGCGTTACTAAATTGTTTTTGTTCTAAAAAAATTGCAAATAAATGACGAAAAAGAGGTTTTAAGAGAGGTACCCCCATTAAGATCAGAGCTTCCGCTTTAGCCTCCTCGGTTTGGGGCAAATGCAAGTTCATTTCGTCGCCGTCAAAATCCGCATTGTAGGGGTTGCAAACACACTCATTGAACCTGTACAAAATTGTATACAACATTTTTTCCACGATTCACGCTCACCTGAAAGTTCGATGTTGGTGGATTTTGGCCCTGTGTGCCATAATCGACAACTTATGCAAACTCGGTTGCCGATTAAATAAGACAACGTCGTCGTTATGAAGGTGGCGTTCGACCAAATCTCCCAGTTTCAACTCCTGCGCTAGTTTCTCCCTATTTCCGTATTTGAGAAACTTTTTGAAAGCGGAGCCTTTCTGCTGGACGTAGTTAGCCCCAGGCCATTTGTCAGGCCCGTTGATCACCAATTGTCTCATAACATCGATATTTGCGTGAATCACCCGTTCAGGGAAAGTCAGGATTTTGGCGATGTGGAGAGGGACACCGACTTGATCGATTTGCAAATTAGGATCGGGTGAAATAACCGTTCTTGAGGAAAAGTCGACTCGTTTACCGGAGAGATTGCCGCGGAAACGGCCCTGTTTGCCCTTAAGGCGTTGCACAAGACCACGGCCGGGTTTTTTCGGCTAAAAATGAAAGCAACGCGACTGAATACACCACTCCAAAAATTAAAAGAACAAAAAAATTTTCTAACTTTTTTTGTGATTTTTCAAAAAAAAAAAATACTAAAAGATCGCAAAACTAAAAAAAAAACAATTTGAGCTATTTTCAATCCAATTTTGCTCGATTTTAATACAGAATTAATTCAAAACTAATGTATTTTATAAAAATAACTGCTTCAATCTCAATTTTAGGCTGAAATAAAGCAATTTGTGATATTTTCAATCGATTTGGCTTAATTTGAAGTTGGGAATCAACCTGAATCAAAGTATTTCAACCAAATACTGATTTCAATAAGAGTTTTCGTCCAAAATAAAGCAATTTGAGCTATTTTCAATCCAATTTTGCTCAATTTTAATACAGAATTAATTCAAAACTAATGATTTTTATTAACATAATTGCTTTAATTGCAATTTTAGGCTAAAATAAAGCAATTTGAGCTATTTTCAATTATTATTATTATTTAAATTTTGAAACTTAAAGCTTCAATTTTTTTTTTATAATCTAGGTGCTATGGTTTTTATGAAGTAAAAAAAAGTGACGTTTTAGAACTGAGACAAAATGGCCAAAAATCCGCTTTGTTGTATAATTTGGTTCATTGCTCTCTATTTTTCTTTCATCGTTGCATTTTTCTGTGCATATTGGTACATCATATTTTATCCTTTCACAGTGTGTATAGACGCTTGCTCGGGCTATACGGACTTGCTACTGAAAGGAATTCAGTTACCTCACTACTGTGCTAACAAAATGGTCAATTGTGAAGGATGTTAATGGATTGTAGGTTTTTCAAATAAATAAAATAAAATAAATAAAAATAAAAGACCATTTTTCTGAGATACAGCCTTTCAAAAATCACCAAAAAAATTTGGATTTTTGTTTTGTTTTTGGAGTAGTGTATATGAAAATGATTACCATCATTGCAAGGGGAACCCCGGAGAGTTCACTGTTAATGTAAAGCGCGGTTTGCAGTTGGAGAAAATCCCAACCCTCTTGGTACATATTCACAGAAGCTCCTGACAGTTTGTGCTTTTTGATTACATCGTTGATAAAGATTATTTCAGATTGTCTCATTGTTAAATCGTCCTCATTGCTATAAAACAAATTGTAATAAAAAAACAGAGAAAATGGAAAATACGCACGTCCCCGCTTTCAAGTCGGATACCACAGAAGGGCGAATTGAAACAGGGGGCACCAGCATTCTCGTGAAAATTAAATCTTTCGGTTGTGATCTCCTTGAGTCCATTGCGAGTAATGGGATGTCACTTTGGGGGATTCTCTCAAATAATTTCAAAACATCAATTGGGGTAAGAATCTGTGACACCGCAGTATTGGCAGTTAATGCGTTTTTTATCTCTGGATTAACATCAATCGCTGAATTAAATTTTTCTAAAAGAATCAAATTAAACAAGATGTTTATGATTAATAAATTTGTTACTCATGTGTTCTTTCAACACTGCCTCCTTGTCACTCCCTCTATTTTTCTCGCACACTATCTTTAAGACAGATCCCCCAGTACTCCCTTTACTGGCTGTCAACTTTTTTACGAAACCATTAGATTCCTTACAGTAGGGACACTTGGTCAATTTCCTGCATTTCTCGATGATTTTCTTCCTTATCGCTTTTTTGGTCATATAGCTAAGATGTTCGTTAGATAAGCGTAACCGATATTGATTTTTTTCTTCTTCGGGGAGGAGAACACGGGCACAATTCTTGCAAATTGTTTGAAGAATGCTAATAATGCTTCTAAAGTAGCCAACGTGATACACAGGCAATTCTAAATCTATGTAGCCAAAGTGGCCAACGCATGAATTTATATTCTTTCCGCATGTCTGACAAGGTGATTCTTTCGAATTTGTGCCCTAAAATGTTGCTTAAAAACTGTAAATGTGAATAATTTAACATTTTACCAATCTCTTGTCCAGTACCCCAAAGGGAATTGGGGTACGATTCACGTCTTGATTATACAAGTTTTTCGCTATAACGTGAATGTGAGATTGTTGTTGCATTGATTCCGCACTCTCAATCCCGAAACTGATGTGGGAGCTGCAAGAAAACGCTCAACAAAAGACATGTGTGAGCCTCATGACTTACATTTTTCTCGCAACATCAGTTTCGCGGTATTGTTCTTTTGGCATTGTGTTTATAAATGTTTAATTGTGTTACCAATAAATAATAATGCATTACCCATAAAAATATAACACCTTTAACTAACCTCACTTCTTTAAATGATCACAACAACCTAACCTCAAATCATTCTTCAATCGCTGTCAAATACCACAAAGATAACAAAAATAGAGCTCTTCTTTTTTATTATTCGCTCGATTCGCTTTGAAGGCTTTCATTTTTTCGATTTTTGTCAAAATTTTCGGCGGTTTTCGGTACCCAGAGCAAATATCAGCTAATACCATAGAAATTATTTTTGATGTTTGGACCGTTGAAAAATACTTTTGATTTCCTATTTTATAAAAAAAAAGATCATAGTTCTGTGATAAATAGTTTTTGAGAAAATCGCTAATAAAGACAAAAATAGCAAAAATATTAATTCGACAATAATTTATAAATTATTAAGAATTTTGTTGTTTTCTCGACACCACCAATCAATCGACTCCCCGGAACATTTTACATAAGTATAATACAAAAACATAAACCGTTTTTAATATACTGCAACAAAAACATTTTCACGATACAACTTACGAAAACTCTCAAAAAATCGAAAAAGGTCATAATTTAAAAACTATAGGTCATAGGTGAAAATCAATTTATTCAGGGGAATTTCTCTGCTAATTTCACATACCAGGTGAATAAAAAGTATGGAACGAAGCGTTTTTCTCGTAAACTAACCACTTTACAAAAAAAAATAATTAGTGTAGCGTAAAGTCCAATTAAAATGTGACCATTTATCAAGAATAACATTTTTCGAAATTTCTTTTAGTTTTCGAGTTCTTTTTTTTTTTTTAATGGCAACCCACTATGGTAATTTTTTTAATTATAGATTATGATCTAAAAATGACCTCTAATTAAACATAATTGTTTTCTAGTCAGTACTTTTTTTTAAATAAATTGCTAAAGTAGCGTTCCGAGCCCATCACGAAGATTTTCCGAACTTGAACGAGGGAGTCGTTTCATGACTTTGGTCGTTGGAGAGTCCGGTTTTTGGTGCAGGTGCTTTGGGGTGGTTCCGGATGGATCAAAAAATGTAAAAACAAATCATTTTCGTCTATTTTTAGTCGATTCGAAACCACCCCAAAGCACCTGCATAGAAATCAGAGCTCTCCCATGATGAAAAGCATGAAACAACCACTTCGCTTATGTTCGGAAAATCTTCGTGAAGCTCGGAACGCAACTTTAACAATTAATTAAAAAAAAAGTACTGGCTAAAAAACAATTTTATTTAATTAGAGGTCATTTTTAGATCATAATCTTTAATTAAAAAAATTACCATGGTAGGTTGCCATTTAAAAAAAAAAATAAAAATTCCAGAACTCGAAAACTAAAAGAAATTTCGAAAAATGTTATTCTTGATAAATGGTCACGTTTTAATTGTACTTTAGGCTACACTAATTATTTTTTTCGTAAAGTGCTTAGTTTACGAAAAAAACGCTTGGTTCCATACTTTTTATTCACCTAGTATAATAGTATCAGTTTTTGATAAGATTAAAAAAAAATATATTTTTCAATTTTCAAATTTTTTTTAAAATGTTTAATTTTTGTGCCTCTCAATGCACTTTTAGGCCCCTTGAAGTGCATTTCGATCAATTTTGAAGTTTTCAATTTTTAAATTTTTGACAAAATTTTGGGCGATTTTCGGTACCCGGAGGGGTCTATTGCCAATAACTCTGGAATTATTAGCGACAGCCCGTTATGTTTAGTAACGTTCAAAAGCACTTTAAATTTCCTATAATAAAAGATCATACTTCTGCGAAAATAGTTTGAGAAAATCGCTGATAAACACAAAAATAGCGAAAATATTACTTCGACAATAACTTTTAAACTATCAAGAATTTTGTTATTTTCTCGCCACCAATCGACTCCTCGGAACATTTTACATAGTCATAATACAAAACATTAACCGTTTTCTATATTTTTATACTTTATAGTAGACGAGATTATTACCTCTGTGGCCATGGTTTCAACATATACTCCCAAAATATTTTTTTAGAACCATGCTGTTGTCATAATTATGTCATTAGTATCAAAACAAGTAATTTTACTATAAATATAGTATAATGAGTAACGTACCTGAGGAATTAGAAAGATCAGAGGACGAACCTGAATATAAAAGTCAGCCTGTACAATCAGTAAGTGTACAACATTTCTAGAAAAATTAAGTAAACATTTATAATATTATCAGATTCGTGTATTTCGGGGTGTAGGTCGCTCGGCTCCAATTGCTTTGCCAGAATTAGCAGAAAATAGAAAGTGTACGGATGTTGGATTTGGTGTTATTTTCGGAATAGCTTTTTTAAGTCTAGTAAATAAATAATTAGATGTTATTAAACAGTTCTAATAAAATTGATATTGGCAGATTGCTTTTTCTGCATATATAGCTTCACAATCCGATTTTAGAATACTATTGAATGGTCTAGATGCATGTGGAAATGTTTGTGGAGTGAAAAACACCCAAACATACAATAAAAATTGCTCAGCAAGGAACTACATCAATAGCCCGTAAGTTATTTTACTTAGTTTTTGGTAAATCTTTGTTGAAATTTTAGTGGTTTTTCTATTCCAGAATTCTAGATGTGAAAGAAGAAGAATGTATTACGGCTAATGAGTGTGAAGCTAGAAACAAGTACTCATTCTAATTTAGTTTATTTATATTATTCTTAAGTATATTTTAGAACAATATTTGGTAGACGATGTATGCCCCCTCACAAAAAATCTTCAAAGACAAAGAAAAAATTATTTTCCGGTCGTGACTATTATGTATGTAAAACATTTTAATATAAATATATTTATAAATCTTTTTTAGAAATCTATTGATAATATTGTTCCCTACTCTGTAATAGTCCTGATTTTAATGCCCTCTGTGGCTACAGGTACTTCTCCATTGTTTCTAACTTTAGCAGTAATCAGTACTTTTCTTTAGGATTGTCTTTACTGATATACATCCTGATTCGGCACCACCCAAAGTTTTCCTTCTATTTTTTTACTATCCTTACAATCATTATACTTTTATTTGCGGCGGGCTACTTTTGGTAACAAAATCAAAAGCATTACTTTGCGATTTATCTTCTTTTTTTTAAGGTACTTAGTATACATTAATCATCGTGATAAAGCTGAAATGCGTTGGAAACTTGTAATAATTGGCAACGCTGTCTTTTGCACTATCAGTGGTGTGACGTTGTTTATTATAATTGGATGTAGATGCAGCAGAATTGATCTTTTAATTGAAGTTTATAATGAAACATTTGATGCAATTTGTAATTCAAAGCTTATCTTCTTTGCACCCTTTGCGGTAAAATATTTCAACTTTATTCATTTATTTAATTAGAAAACTAAAACTTGGCTCTGGCAACGTAAAAAGCATAATAACGTAACTTGTATCGTGAAAGTTAGGTAGTATAGATGTTCACATGAATTGCTATACAAAAAAGCACACTCTAAAGGTTTTTATTGAGTCATGTTTGACAAGGATAATTTCACCAAAATCCTTTAGTACCAGATAACAAACTCAGTTGGTTATAAAATCTCGGCTTTTGCCTCGTTTTTTACAATATCCAATCGAATTTCTTATTTGTTTCATATTGATCTTGTTAATAGTAACTGTTACAATAACTGCAAGATTTACAACATTTTTTACCAATTTAGACCATGGTGTTAATGTGTTTGCTTGGGATTAGCTGGATATTTATGATATTTATGTCTGTTTCCGTTAAAATTCCACAAGATGGAGGTCTCCCTGTTGTAAGGTACTTTTTTTTTATTTTTAATTTTTTAATTGTTACGCTTTGGCAAAGTTTTTAGTGTGATTATGGTTTTGTTTTTTTAAGTACATACAATAGTTTATTACTGTCTAAACACAATCTGTCGTAAAAATCGTTATTTCATGAAAATATGACAAAAACACAATATTTCAGATTTGATTATCATTCTCTTCTATACTATGCAGACATGTAGATAACAGTTTTAGTAACCCCCTGTACACTGTGGGCAAAAAAGTTAAAAAAAACTGATTAATAATCGATAAAGCCTTAATCTCATTAGAAATATTACCAAACTTTGCCAATATTCGTTGTTACAGTAGAAATGTTTCATTAGCACAACTGGGATTACAGAATACTGAATTCGAATTTTATAAGAGATTTTTTTTTTGGTAATGATTAATAATTATAATGTGCTAGAGTTTACTCAAATTTATTTGAACAAAGTTAAAAAACAACTTTTTACAGTAACAGCGAAATAGCGTAGTAACGGAAGTTAAAATAGATAACATTTCGATTCTGCTAATTGCATATTTGACCAGAATAGTATACCTATGTTTCCTGATCTTTATGGGATATTGGATATTTACGTTTGTTGAAGGATGTCAGTGTATAATGATCGCTGGAACAATAGCAAGTTATTATTTTACAAGGTTTGTAAAAAACTGGGTTCGCCAAATGAAGTGTTACAAATAAGACTATCGAATTTTTTGTATTCTCATTATTTTTATTTCAAAATCACTCAAAATATAACTAAGAAACGATTCAAGTTAATGAAAAAAATATTGCTCTATTGCCTAATGCCATTTAATTCAGGAAAAAAATACGAGGGCTATTTTTAAGTTTTTACCGGATTATTCCACCTTCATTAATTATTCAATAAATCGATATTTTTTACTTCACTTTAATTAGCGAACCCTGTAAAAGTAAAAACGATTTTTTGATACTTGTATGTTTTGAATGGTGGGTTTTTACTTGTTTTAGAGACCGAGATGATTTCGAAGGTCAATATTGTAACAATGTGGGAATAGTAATTCGCTTTCATCTGGGGACTGTTGCAACTGGATCACTACTTATTACTATGGTTTCAATGATGAGACTACTGGTTGATATTCTTTCTAATTGGGACGAATCTGCAGATGTGTGGGAAGTGATAAGGTGTATAATACTTTGCATTCTTGAAACTTTCGAGGAGATTGTAAATTATATTAGTCATAAAGCGTATATAATGACAGGTACTTAATATTTTTCTACATAAAAAATACATGCAAGTATTTTTACTGTTTAGCCATTCATGGTAAAAACTTTTGGTTATCTGGCAAGCGGGCAATAAGTTTAATATGGTACAACTTTTTGGACACAATATCAATTGATGCATTAAACTCTGCTGTTCAGTTTTCAGCTTCTATTTTAATTTTGCTTATCGCGTTACTCCTTGGATATGCTGTTCTATCAGTAAAGATTTTTTCAACAACTATATTCTCACTTTATAATATTATTTTAGACACAACAAATGGGTTTTATAATTGAAAATCTCTTGGTTGGTGGGTTACTTACAGGCATTACCTTATACTTATTCTTTTCCTTGTTGAGTGTAAGTAACAATTACGAATGTGATTTTCTTTATAAACATCATTTTAAGACCGCAGTTGGAACAATTTTCTTATGTTATTGCGAAGATGCTATAATGAATGATGGAAGCAGTCAGCGGCCTTTTTTTATGAGCGAAGATCTTGAAGACACATTGTATGAAGCCTTGGAAATTGTGGCCGAAAAAAGAGAAGAAAAAGAAGAAAGGAAAGAGTTGAGAAGAGAAAATAGACTAGATGAAGAAGACGACTGATACAATTATCTCTATTTTATAAAAATCATAAATGAATAAAATATTTAACTTCTGTATGAAACCAGTACTTTTTCCGCAAAACTTTTTTTATGTTTGTAGATAAACAAAATCTAGGAATGAATGGATTATTATAAGAAGAATTTGCAAAAAAATTTCTAGTTTTAGTAAATTCTCTGTTTATGCGCCCACTGAAAATATGAAAAGTTGGCGCCCATGCTTGTGGCCATGGTTATAACAGGTTCTAAATTTTCTTTCCTTCATTTACTTTTTTGTCAAAATTTTATGAATGACACATTGCAATGAGTAGAATACCTGAGAATTTGGAAAGATTCGAAACCGAACCTGAATATAAAAAGCAGCCAGTAGATCCCGTAAGTATGCATAACCAGTAGAATAAGTATTAAACATATATTTACAATATCTAGATTTATATTTTTCGGGGTGTAGCTCGTTCGGCTCAAATTGCGTTGCCAGAATTAGCAGAAAACAGAAAATGTACGGATATTATAGTGGGCGTTATTTTTGGAATAGCTGTTTTAAGTCTGGTAAATATAATTGGGCACTATTAAACAGTTTTGTTGAAATTAATATTAATAGTTTGGTTCTGCCGTTTATATAGCTTCAAATTCTGATATCAGAAAGCTAACAAATGGTGCAGATGGTTGTGGAAATATTTGTGGAGTAAAAAACACCGAACCGTATAATGAAACTTGTCCAGGAAAAGACTTCACCGATTACCCGTGAGTAGTACTAATGTTACATTTAAGAGTATTTTTTTAATTTTTACTTACTTCTGCACATATTACAAGCAATTTGTGCGTGTAACGGTCAAATGGTTTTGCATTTTAGATATCTAGACGTGAGACAAGAAGAATGTATTACGGCTAATGAGTGCAAAAAGAGAAACAAGTAAGTATTTTGAGTTTTTTTGCAACATGTCTTTCATATATTAAATATATTAGGACACTATTTGGTGTACGATGTATGACTGAACAAAAAAAAACTTCAAGGATGAAGCAGGAGTTATTTTCCGGTCGTGACTACTATGTACAGTATTATTTATAGACGTAATTCCTAAATATTACAAATTAGATAATTACAAAAACATGATAATATTGCCAAAAAATATTGCTATAAAATTTTACTTTATTAACCATACATTAAACAAAAAGAAGGTTTTTGTTTACAAATGTTCAAATTTGTTTTGTTTTGATTTCACATCTTGATTTCAAACTCCAAATTTTCTAAATTGTACAAAACGTAAACTTTCTCGTTGCACAACATAAGGTCTGGTATAACTTTTTACAATATGTTTAATTAATTAGGGTTTTAATCTATATTTTTTTTAGAAATCTACTGAAAATATTGTTCCCTATACCATAATAGTGATGATTTTAATGCCATCTGTGTCTTCAGGTATTTTCCTATTTTATTTTATTTTTAGCGATAATCAATACTTTTTTTCAGGATTGGCTATTCTGGTGTATATCCAGATTAAGCGCCATCCAAAGTGTTCTTTCTATTTTTTTACTATTACTACAATCATTCTACTTTTAATTTTGGCTGCCTATTGTTGGTAAGACTAGCAAATGAGCATTATTTGGAATATCTTTTTTTTTTGTTCTTAAGGTATTCATTTATTACTCTTGATAAAGGGACCAATAGAATGACGAAACTTCTAATACTTTGCAACGCTGTCGCGTACACAGTACTTGGTCTGGTGTTGCTTGCTACAATTGTATGTAGATACAGTAGGATTTATCTTTTAATAGAAGTCTATCGTGAAACACTCAAGGCAATTTTTAATTCAAAGCTTCTCCTGCTTGCACCTCTTGTGGTAATTTATTTTAACCAAATACTTAATTTTATGATCATGTATTGGTATCACAAGTAAAGATAAAGAAATACTGATTTAGTTGGCAATAGAAAATTTTACTTGATGGCAGATGCCAATTTCAATTGGGCATAAGGCTTTTTGTTAGAAAAAACTTTTCATTTGTGGCTTTTTCTTTATTTTTTTGTGATAATTTTATTCATCACATAAACGGACTCATCGATTTAAACAATTTTACTACATACATACAATTCCGCGTAGCCAATTTTGATCTTCATTAGTAAGTAACTCTTAAAAAAATTTCATAGCTTTTTGTTGCCAACTCAAAACTGTGGTTCTGGAATCATTACTGTGAAACTGTAAATAACTGAAATTTTATCAAGTTGGTAAGAAAATGAAAAAATTACATATAACATAAAAATTTAACAGAGAAAATGGGGCTCGAATTAAATTATAATTATGTAATTTGGAAGGTTATGAAATTACTGCTGTGTTGGTTAATTTTTTCAATTATTTACAGTTACATACTTGTTACATATTATTTATACAGCTATTTATAAAAATGAGACACAATTTCAATCTTGAAAAGAACTTTTTGAGGAAACAATCTCCAAAAATAAATGATCTAAATAGTAGTATGATGTAGTACTACTAACTACTAGTATGAAGTCAAACAATACCTAACAATCTATATACTATATAGTGTTATAGACCTACTAGAATGGCTTATGGCTTTAAAAATAGATAATAATAAATTTTAATTATAAGCAAAAACTAAAGTCGTTTGTTTTGATTATTCTACTGAGTATCAACATACCAGGTGAATAAAAAGTATGGAACCAAACGTTTTTTGCTTAAACTATAAATTTTTTGAAAAAACTAATTGATGAACGAGAAAGTACTTTAAAGATGTGATGTTTTATCAAGAATAAAATTTTTCGAAATTTTCTTTTGTTTTTGAGTTCTACAAAAAAAATATTTTTTTAAATAGCAACCCACTATAAAACTATTTTTCTCATAAAGGTTATGATCTAAGGATTACAACTATCTACTTCATATTTAATTTTTTCAAATTTTTTTTTTTTTATATAAATTGCAATTTTGACTAAAAAAAATCACACAACTCAAAAACAAGACAAAATTTCGGTCTCAAAATACGGTTTATATTACGTTAATTTATATTAATTATTATTTTCTGAAGGCAAATGATTTCAAAAAAACCGCTTGGTTCCATACTTTATATTCACCATGTATATTTGGTACTTTAAAACTTCTTTAGGATTTAAATTTCTTACTATAACTCTTTAACAGATCTCACTCAGTTCTTTTCGGGATTTAAACAAAGTTTTTTTTTAACATAAATCTCTTTTATTAACAATTTAGACAATGGCGGTAACGTGTTTTTTTGGCATTATATGGTTATTTATGGCATTTTTGACTTTTTCCGTTAAAATTACGGAGCATGAAGGTATTCCACCTGCCAGGTAATTTTAAATGTTTGGTGCTATATACTCTGTTGCTTTATACATGTTCGTTGTTACCGTAAACATTACACAAGAATCTGCTTTGTTCTTCTCAAGAAATCTTGATTTTTGGTCATTGTTTCTTCTCTTGACTTCAACTCAACTCTTGACTTGTTTAAAAGTTTTTTTTGAAAAATGACCTATAGCAAAAATAGATACTTTTGTGTGTTACTTTAGCTTCACGCTGCATACTATACTCGTAATACTATTCAGTAACAGCGAACGAATAACTAGTAACTAGTAGTTATAGAATAGTAATGATGATAAGTCGTACAAAGAACATTCTAGCGGAGATAACACTTTACAAATCTCTTAGAAACTGAAGTATCGCAATTATTGGTTTTAATTATAAGTAAAGTAGAAGATCTCAGACAATTTATTTTTTTACTATTTTTTTTATTTCTTATTCTACAAAAGCCTCAATACCGTATACTTGCAAAAAGTGTTTTATTTCAAACCGAAAAATTAATTACTGTGGCTTTTAAGAGGTTTTTAAAGTTTTATGATAGTTAGAAAGTACAATTGCGAACAAAAATATGGGACAACATGATATTAAATGTGAAACAGCCCTTAAATATAGCTTTGTCACTGATTTTTGTTCGGCATGGTACGATAATATAATAATACCTTAATTCTGCTACATGTTTTACTCAGAATAGGATACTTCTGTTTCCTGTTTTTCATGGGATATTGGATATTTCTGTTTATAGAAGGATGTCAATGTATGGTGGTAGCTGGAACGATAGCAAGTTATTATTTTTCAAGGTTAGTAAAAGTAAAGTCAATTTTTCTGTTTCTATTTCTATTTACTACTATAGTTTCTGATGATGTTTATACAGTCAAGGTTTTTAGAAACCGAGATAATTTAGAGGGTCAATACTGTAAAAATGTGAGAATAGTGGTTCGCTTTCATCTGGGTAGTGTGGCGACTGGATCACTGCTTATTACTATAGCAGCAATGATAAGAATACTGGTTGAAGCTGCCACTAGTAGTGAGGATTCTAATAACTGGGCGTGGATAATTTTGAAGTGTATAATAAATTGCATACTTAAACTTATCGAAGAGATAATAAATTATTTTAGTCAAAAAGCGTATATAATGACAGGTACTCAATATTTTTCAACATAAATAAAAAATACAAACAAGAATTTTTAGCTATTCATGGTAAAAACTTCTGGTCATCTGGTAAGCGGGCAATCAAAATAATATGGCACAACTTTTTGGACACAATATCAGTTGATGGACTAAACTCTGCTGTTCAATTTTCAGCTTCTATTTTAATTTTGCTTGTCACGTTACTTGTTGGATGGGCTGTTCTAATAGTAAACATTTTTTTAAACTTTTTTATTTCTATTTTTGTAATTTTTAAATATTATTTTAGGAACAAAGTGAAGGTTTTGTAATCCTGAATATTTTATTTGGCTTTCTACTCGCAAGCGCCGCATTATACGTATACTTTTCAATGTTGACCGTAAGTAAATAACAATCATGAGAGTGATTTTCTTAGTAAATTATTTAAAGACTGCGGTTGGGACAATCTTCTTATGTTATTGCGAAGATGTCATAATGAACGATGGTAGCCGTGAACGACCCTACTTTATGAGTAAAGAACTCGAAGAGACGCTGGATGAAGCCTTGGAAGATGTTGCCGAAAAAAGAGAAGCACAAAGAGAGGAAGAAGAAACCTAGAAACAGACCAAAATTAAAACATTAAAATTATATCCAAGTGATAATCACGGTGTAAAATTTAAATTTAATTAGAATATTTAAAAAAATTTGAACACAATTATTTTAAATTGATAGTATTGGCTTTGTAACTATTTTAGAAAAAATATAAATTATTAAAATCTTTATAATTACTGTAACTAATTTTTTTTCTAAAAAGTTTTCAAAAAAATTGTTCTACTTGGTAACCCCTTGTTGCCAATAGATTTTACATTAATAGTCACTCGGTATCATGAATTCCGTTACCAACTTTAAACAGTCACTGTTGATCACTCAATAAATATGAAATATATTTTTAGAAATATTGTTCCCAACGACCTACTTTTTTAAGTAAGTATCTAATTAATATTAACAATAAGTACCAAGTTTTGAAGATTGTGTATTGTTGAAAATTAAAATTAATTCATTTTTCCATTTTATCCTTTACCATAATGTAGTCTTAATTAATAAATCATAAATATAATGATAATAACCTTTATTTACGATATTATTTCATTAATAATGGTATAAAAGACAATGGAAACGAAAAATCGCTATATTCGTGCTACTGGTTCCAGAATAAAAAGTAAAATAAACTTGATTCTGGTTTTACGAATAATGAAAATGGATTACTCGGACATAAAACTCATGACAGGTTTTAAAAAACAAATACAAAAGTGTATTATTTCGAACACATTTTAGGTGATTATTTAAAATTCATCAAATTTATCGCATCTGATATTTTCCAACTGCTACCTGTTAAAATCGTCATAGGCCTGATTTTTATACTAAATGTAGGGTTCATTTCGCTAATGATTTACTTTGTTTTGTATGTGACAACCACTAAAGAATTTATTGGTTATTCTCCGGTATTGTTTGGGCTATTTTATGTAAGTAAATTTAACTTTTTTTCATTTTATAGCAAAAATAGTGTTTTTCAGCCACTACTCTCCATTTTAATAGCGTTATTCAAAGGCAAATTGATTCACAATTTTAAAGACGAGATAAAAGTTTGGGCCATAGACACAGTCGGTGAAAAAATTCACTCCGAAATTAAACGCCGAATCAAGATGTTGAATCTTTTTGTTATTTGCAATACTTTTATTCTTGCTACAGCAGTAATACTCGCCATAAAACCGCTACCAGACGATATAGATTTAGTTTTCGCTTTACGTTTAATCCACGACTATTTTCCCAATTATGAAGAAATTCTTGTAATTCTTCTTAAAGCAACGTACCCGATCACCGCCTATATGCTACTAGTGCACGCCTATCAAATCCTCTACTACACTCAGCATGTAAATTTTCAAATCCGGTTATTTAACAAAGTCGTAGCAGATGTTGATTTTTGGGAAACAACTTCACGCGAAACTGAGTTGTTTTACAACAAATCTTATCAAAAACAAGTGGAGCACAGACTAAAGTTTTGCATCGAAAGATATCAGGAGTTTGTCAAAATGCACATTGCAAAAATCGGAGAAATCGACATTTTGGTTGCAGCATTTGCAATTTGTGGAGTTCTTATTGGAATTGGAATTTACTTTTATATGTTTTCTGTGCGTATTTAGAAAAATAGTTTAGTTAGTTTAATAATAATCGATTTTTAAGAACAATTTGAGTCCTGAGTATTATTTGCGAATCTCCGTCATTGCGTTTGTTGGAAGTACGACTTTTTCGGCTATTATTTGGGGCGGCCAATCCACCGAAACCATTGTAGAAATCGTTTCAAGTAATTGGAATAAAAACACTAATCAAAAGTTATTTTAGATAGCTGAAATTATTGCGACGGTAAGTCAAGTACGGTGGTATAACTTTAATCGAACCAACAAAAAACTCTATTTAATTTTCTTAACAAACATGATGAAAGAACGTAAAATCAAATTTACCGAAAATTATTCCATTAATTACCAACTCGGACTAGCAGTATGGCAATTCATTTCTTTTACTATTCGGAGAGTTTTCAGTTTGGTTTTTCAGATTGTCAGGGGGATTTATTCAGTTGCGTCCGTTGCTGTAAAAATGCGCTCATAAATATCTAGAAGATTGACTGATTCACCCTATATATTACTAAGGTTGTCACCTAATCACGTTGTATACCAGATTGGGTTCTGGTGATCCTTAGAAAAAATATTGTTGTCAAAAAATAATATATGATACATTTTCTGAACGTTGTAACTTGCGTTGCATGTAAAATAGTTTTATGTGAATCCCCTGCAACTGTAATAAAATAAAATGTTATTATAACGTACTATTTTATTTATTTTTTTTGGGTTCAAGTAAAAAATCTTAAAGAAATAGTACTGAATAATTAATTATTGATTGTGATTTTTTGGCGTCAAATTTAAAATTTTATTTTGGCAACATTAATTATAAAATTCAAACGTCAAACTTTTAGAAGTAGGTAATAGTTATTCATCTGCGATGGGCACTGTCTTAGCCCTGACCTGACCTAAAATATCCTGATAAAACGAATTAGAAGAATTACCAACAATTCAGTGTTGCCAATAGATTTCTTTGTCACAAACATTAATATTCACTCGGTATCATTAATTCCGTTGCCAACTTTAAACAGTCACTGTTGATCACTCAATAAATATGAAATATATTTTTAGAAATATTGTTCCCAACGACCTATTTTTTTTAACTAAGTATCTAATTATTATTAACAATAAGTACCAAGTTTTGAAGATTGTTTATTGTTGAAAATTAAAATTAATTCATTTTTCCATTTTATCCTTTACCATAATGTAGTCTTAATTAATAAATCATAAATATAATGATAATAACCTTTATTTACGATATTATTCCATTAAAGAAAATGGAACCTGAAAATCGCTATCCTCGTATTCGTGCTACTGTTTCCAGAATAAAAAGTGAAATAAACTTGATTCAGGTTTTTCGATTAATGAAAATGGATTACTCGGACATAAAACTCATGACAGGTTTTAAAAAACAAATACAAAAGTGTATTATTTTAACCATATTTTAGGCGATTATTTAAAATTCATCAAATTTATTGCATCTGATATCTTTCAACTGCTACCTGTTAAAATCGTCATAGGCGTGATTTTCATACTAAATGTAGGATTCATTCTGCTAATGATTTACTTTGCTTTGCATGTGACAACCCCTCAAGAATTTATTGGTTATTTCCCGGAATTTTTTGGGCTATTTTATGTAAGTAAACTTAACTTTTTTTCATTTTATTGCAAAAATAGTGTTTTTCAGCCACTACTCTCCATTTTAATAGCGTTATTCAAAGGCAAATTGATTCACAATTTTAAAGACGAGATAAAAGTTTGGGCCATAGACACAGTCGGTGAAAAAATTAACTCCGAAATTAAACGTCAAATCAAGATGTTGTATCTTTTTGTTATTTGCAATAACCTTCTTCTTGCTACAGCAGTAATACTCGCCATAAACCCGCTACCTGACGATATAGATTTAATTTTCGGTTTACGTTTAATCCACGACTATTTTCCCAATCATGAAAAAATTCTTGTAATTCTTCTTAAATCAACGTACCCCATCATCGCCTACATGCCACTAGTGCACGCCTACCAAATCCTCTATTACACTCAGCATGTAAATTTTCAAATCCGGTTATTTAACAAAGTCGTAGCAGATATTGATTTTTGGGAAACGACTTCACGCGAAACTGAGTTGTTTTACAACAAATCTTATCAAAAACAAGTGGAGCACAGACTAAAGTTTTGCATCGAAAGATTCCAGGAGTTTGTCAAAATATACATTGTAAAAATCCGAGAAATCGACATTTTGGTTGCAGCATTTGCAATTTGTGGCGTTCTTATTGGAATTGGAATTTCCTTTTGTATGTCTTCTGTGCGTATTTAGAAAAATTAGTTTAATTTAATTTTAATAATAAACGATTTTAAAGAACAATTTGAGTCCTGGGAGTTATTTGCGAATGTCCGCCATTGCGCTTCTTGGAAGTACGACTTTTTCGGCTATTATTTGGAGCGGCCAATCCTTTGAAACCCTTGTAATCGTTTCAAGTAATTGGAATAAAAACACTAATTAAAAGTTATTTTAGATGGCTGAATTGATTGCGACGCTAAGTCAAATACGGTGGTACAACTTTAATGGAACCAATAAAAAACTCTATTTAATTTTCTTAACAAATATTATGAAAGAACATAAAATCAAATTTACCGAAAATTATTCCATTAACTACCAACTCGGACTAGCCGTATGGCAATTCATTTCTTCTACTATTCGGAAAGGTTTTAGTTGTGTTTTTCAGATCGTCAGGGGGATTTATTCAATCGCGTCTGTTGCTGTAAAAATGCGCTCATAAATATCTAGAAGATTGACAGAGTGGTGCAAAACATGATTCATCCTGTATATTATTAAAGTTGTGTTCCAGCGTGGGTTCTAGTGATCCTTAGAAAAAATGTCTACGTCAAGGATGTCAAAAATAATATATGATAAATTTTTTGAACGTTGTAATGTAAAATAGTTTTATGTGAATCCCCTGTAACTGTAATAAAATAAAATGTTGTTATTATAACGTCCTATTTTATTTATTTTGTTTTCAAGTAAAAAATCTGAAAGAAATAGCACTGAATAATTATTATTGATTGTGATTTTTTGGCGTCAAATTTAAAATTTTATTTTGGTAACATTAATTATAAAATTTAAACGTCAAACTTTTAGAAGTTATTGTCATTCATTTGCGACGGACAACCGCTGATAGAGGGATTACCAATAAATTAAGTGTTGCCAATAAATTTTTTTGTTACAAACATAAATAATAAATATATAATAAATAAATAATAAATAAAAAGTAAAATAAACTTGTTTTTGTTTTCGAATAATGACAATGGATTTACTCGGACATAAATCTCATGATAGATTTTTAGTACTTAACATAAAATTTCGTTAATTTTTTGTTTTCAAGTAATTTTTTTTAAAGAAATAGCATTGAATAATTAATAATAATTATTATTGATTGTGATTTTTTCCAAATTCAAACGTGAAATTTTTATAAGTAGACAATTCATTTGCGACGCTGGATTATCGACACCTGAAACATAAACGTGTGGACGGGAAGGATGCGTATAATTTTTAAATAATTTTTGCATTATTTTAATTTTGTTTATCTCTCTTTAAAAATATTTTTATGTATCGATGTTGTTATAATCCTATTTTTAATTTTTGTTGGATCCACCTAATCCGAAATCCTGGGCTCGCTTTTGCTTCATGTTTGCCATTGCAACGGTGGAAAAGAAGGTGTTGGAATTAAATAGACATCTCTGTAGAAAAGTGAAAACTAAGTATTCCAAACGAAATTAATTCGCCATGACCTTGACTGACACAAAAACTGTTTCTTTGTAAGTGAGAAATAAACAATAAAGATGAAATGAGCTCTCAAATGAGCGATATTCGAATTCCACTAATTCCATCAGGAAGACAAAAACAGCATAAACTCACATAAAACAATAATTACAAAACTGGCTTTGGGTTATTCCCCTAGCACGAATTCATCAGAAAAGAATTACATAAACAAATATCTTCTTAACTCGCTAATTACTTATTTAATTGAGTGGACCTGTTTGTCTGGTACCTACGAGTATTTCTGTGAATTTATTTTATGGACAGACTTTCTATTATTTACGCTACGCCCATGCGAAACCACCCGCTGGCATCTTGTTATGCAAATTAGGTTCGCGATTCATGGGGAAAGTTGTCAAGATAAATGGATGATAATCTGAAATTATTTTGGCGTTTCATAATCTTGATCAGGATGTTTCGGACAGAGGATTTGTACTTAATAAAGCATATTTAATAACTTAGAAGAATTTATTGCTACAGTATTGCTGATGAAATACTGAGTAAATTTACACTTAACACTTTAAAACCTACATCTGACTACAAGTAACACCTAAATACTTCTAAACTATACTGTACACAATTATCTATAATTATCATCAGGAAAATAAAATAATATAAATTAACTAACAAAACCTCATAATGAAAATTTTGGTTTTGTGCTTATGCATGAGTACATATCTATATATAATAAGTTGCATTTTCAGACCTACAACTGCTAAATTTGTCGCTGAATTCATAAACAAATCAACCGTTTTTTCGAATGTAATGGCACTTAAATAGTAAAAAATCGCAAATTGACATGTTCAAGGCTAAAATTAATTATCCTGGAAGCCCGTGTTGTTTATGAATAGAGCTAGAACCGTATCCAAAAAGAAGGCAAGTTTTTTGGTTTATCATCACAGAGGCAATGATAAATTGAAAAAAAACCGCAAATCTTGAGTCTCATAAATACGTATAACTTGAAGAATGTGTTAAAAACATATATACAATAATTGATATCTTATGCCAGTATGAGAATGGGCAAATACTGATCTACTACTGCATTTTTTGACAATAAAAAATGACGTAATATAAATGTGCACTGGTCCCGAAGCACTTGCACTCCAAGCATCTGAAACAAAAAGAAATCAATGAATTATTACTGCAAAATACGCAAACAAGGTCAAGTTTAATTAACGTGAAAATTTCCCACGCTGCACTTCATATTCTAATTAAACCTCTTCATTGAATAAGTTAACATAACAAAAGCAAATTAGGATAAAAATGTCTTCATAACATTCGTAACGTCAAAATTCCTCAAGGTAAACAATTACAATAATTACCCTCGCGTCACACGTGTCTCAACACGAAATTAAGTCACTGCAAATCCTACACGTGCAAAAATCTGCATTCACAACAAACTGAATTAATTCAAAATTGTTTATTAGTTCCGGACCAGATGAAGTCAGATCTGACTTAAACCCATCATTATCGGTGCTAATTTATAGCCCATCATGAATATGGATCGTATTCTTATAAAAAAAATAGCACGTGGATCCTCACCTTTCTACAAATGTGTTACGATGATCTCGTCATCAATATCGTCTTTTTCGTCGTCGGTTTCTTCGGGTTCTTGGACGGCCGTCTTGTTGGCGGCTTCGAGCTCTGCAGCCCTCTTTTCCTTCTCCTTCTGTCTTCTGACTTTACGCATGTGGTGCACCTCGACAATGCCGTACATGAAGAACCCAGTGATGAGGATGGTGAGTTGGACGTAGAGCTTCATGCGGGCGCAAATATGAGTGGAATAGGCGTAAGTGATGACGAAGCCAACACTCTCCCAAAGTCGGTAGTTGGAGAAGGCCGGTTCTTTGTTCCTCCTGAAGAGGGTGCCGTAAAGACCTGCAACAAGGAAACACCTCCATAATGCCCCGTCTATGACGTAATGATGCATCCTAATGGCTATGTTGGAATATACAAACTATTCATTATCAATTCGCTCCAAGGGATTCCGAGAAGTCAATTAAGGAAGCTATTATTATTGACTTGTTGAGGGATATTTGCCTCATAAATTTCACTATCCGGTTTTAAGTGCAACTTGGAGGTCTTTGTTTTTACTTATTGAGATTATATATTAAATTAAATGTTTGAGTAAAAGTGCGATTAAGGTGAAAATTAGAATATTACAAGTTAACAATGCAGTCTTCTGGCAATTAGCTGAAATAGAAAACATGAGAAAGTTCGCACGTATCTAGGGAGAAAATTTTTCTAAAAAGTGCTCTTACTAATATGTATTATAAGTATAACCCTTTCGCCATGCAACACTGGTCTAATGCGAGTTACTAATTGACGATTTTTATTACAATTAAATTAATTAAAGCTACAGCAAAAATCTATAACGAAAATTTAGGTCAATACTGTATTTATGAACATATGCTATAAGTTAAGTGTTATTTACTATTAACAGTGGCATGCGAGATACGATAACGTAGCCTTATGCTCAAATGGTTATTTAAATCAAAACAAAATAAATGTGTGTTTTTATAGCAAAAATTTTACCGAAAACATTGATAAAAACTTAGAAACTACCTTACCTTTTTGATATTTTTAAAACACTGCAAATACGGTTAAAGATAAAATAATAAATAACAAAGGTTGTCAAGAATAAAATTTCCATCAAAAAAATCTGGACCTCATATTTCTATCTTCAACGGTTTAGGTTTAAATTCTTTTCATTATTCTCAAACACAGATAAAATGTTTACGTCACTAGAGCAAATTTTTCTGACTTTAGGGAACATTGAAGATATAGGTATGGTATTTCGAACTTTTTTAAAGGATATTTAGTTCTCTACAACTTTGTTCCTTACACTTTTTTGTGTCTATAAGTCGGCGTTTTCAAAAATTTAAAGTAAAGCAGAAATTTGTAATACTTTAATTTTTTTGTCTTTAAAAAACATTAAAATCACTGAAATCCGGAAATGTTACGTTGGTAAAATTAGTGCGATTGAAATCTTCAGCCGATTTTGCACCTATTATGTTTTGTGGTTCTATGAAATTCAAATTCAAAACTTATTGTTCGTGTGGCATATAGGGAATTATTTTGATTTTACGCCGTTTTCGTTGTTCATAATCGTGTAGAATAACATTTTGTTTTTGTTTAGTTGAAAAGACATTGAAATGAACATTTTTAAGAGATATTTAGCATTATCCTCAAGATTTAACACTTCACAATAAAACAATTTAAAATAAAAATTCTAATTTGGCTCGGTTCTACTTTTTAGCGCGCGCGTAACTTTTATTTCACCAATTGCTTTATGGAAAGACTACATGTATTTTTACATACATTACCTTCATTTAAATAAAACCAGTTCTTATTTTGTTGCTCTTAAAACATAGTTGGGACATTGTCTGCTCAACGATATAAAAAACACACTGCATAAAATTAAGAGACAAATGCAATAAATATTCCTAATGATAATAAATATTAAATAATGCAGCATGTATATTTTTTGTCGACTTAAAAAAATGTAATTGATTTAATTAAATTACGTCAGGACAAATAAATCAATTAGCTTCCACTTAATGAATAATGAAAAATGAATTAATTAAAATTAGAATTATAAATAATACACCCCGAAATACATATTTTTTCTTTCTACTATAAAACGTAGTGAGCGAATTCTTTTAAATTGTTGATAAAACAGCACTAATACGAATTTGATTTGTCTTATTACTTGAAAAAAGCATCCTTTGACGGTCATCAAGGCTATGAAGAGATTTGTTCAATTACGAATTGACATTGGCTTACTTTCCGTCCCCATCTTTATATTATTTATATGAATAACCGAAATTAGTGGAAACCATTAATTTTAAACCGTTTAAAAAAGCGCCCACGCTGAGGCCAGATCAATTCATTAGTATTAAAAAATAATATTTTTTGCATGTATAAGGTTAAAAATTACACATTAAGAGTACTTAATATCAGCTATTACTATTACATAATCATAAAAGTGGGTTATTACGGACATAATTTCCAAGACCGGCAAAGTGAAAATAAAATTCTCAGTTGTCCGAATCCGGAATTCCCCGGAATCGATCACCTCCAAGAATAAATATTTACAATGATTATTATGCCGCTCGGCAACGGTTCAGTTATGCACAAGACTCGCCTCGCCCGGAGCCGAAGAGCGAACCAGTTATAGCCGGTTGGAGTCTGCAGACTTCACATAAATAAACCGAGAAAGTATTTACTCCTAAAGCAAGTTTTGCATAAAAGGGGTTTTACCGTTCACTTGTGTTTGCCAGACCGCGTCGCCGACGCCCCACATGCCCGCAGCTATGAAGAAGATGATGGGGTTGTCGGGGTGTGGTCGCCAGATGAGCAACCAGACCTGGAGGCCGGTGTGGACGACAGCCCCGAAGATCATGATCGGCGACCGCCCGATGTACTTCATCACCGAGCCGAAGAGTAAGCAGCAGATGGCGTTCACCACCCCGAAGCTGATCATGACGTAGCCCACGGAGGAGATGCCCAACGCGCACGAGACGAACGCCTGGGTGAAGTCGGCGCCGATGAACGCCTGCTCCATGCCAATCCATACCGTTATGGGGATGAGCAACTGCTGGTAGGGCTTCTTGAGTTGGTAGGCGGTGGCGGAGAGCAGCTGGAGACCAGTTAACTCCACACCGCTGTTGCGACGCTGCTTTTCACCGTATCTGAAATTAGAAGGGATGTCAGACAGGTCCGAGCAAAAAATGATATCATTTCTGCGACAGCTGTGTTAATTAACCGCAAGTTGTGGGAGAGTTCAATGATGGATCACGACAGTAAGTGATGGATCGTTTGTCGGATGTTTTGGTTGTCGTACAACACAGTTATTTACATGGGTTTAGTGGTAATTGATTTTGACTTGATTTCTTTACCCACAAACATATTTCTTCATTTTTTGTGGCATTAATTTTATACTGGAAACAGCTCAGACAAGCCTACTTGAGACCAATTAAAAACTTGATTTTAATTCGCCTAAATTTGTGCCTTCAAGGATATTTTTTGCGCTTGATAGATCAAAGAATTTCGAGTCGATATGTAAAATATACAAGGTGGATTTCTAATTTTTTATATCCACTTTCCGCAATTCATTGCTCGTATCTGAAACTAATATTATGTAATTAAAATTTCGCTTTAAAACGCACTTTTATAAATGCCTATTTGTATTTCACAAAAACTATTTTTCAATCGTAGAGTAATATTAACGTTTTGGTAAAAAAATAGAAATAAAAAAAAACGATTTCCACTTACAGTGAGCGACAAAATTATAGAATAACCTTATTAAAACTGAAAATATTTTGTTTTGGCAAAATTACTCGAACAGGTCAATTTTCTTATTAAAATATACACTATTTTCAACTTGATTTAGGTTTTTATACTTTTTTTAGCCAATTCGATAGAATTGTTAAGATAACAACACCAAAATTTTAAATATTACATAAAGTTCTCGGAAAAAATCAACCAAAAAGTGAAATAATATCAACAAAAAACAAATATGCAATTTTAAATCAAGTTGAGAAACAAAATATTTTCAGTTTTAATAAATAGGATTATTTCATATTTTGTCGCTTATTGTGTAATTAAAATGAATAAAATAGAATAGAATTTAAGAAAAAATCTAAGAACTTCGTAATTTATTCATCTCTTGTTTAAAATGTAGGACAGAGTAGTTCTTCTATTAATTTCAGTTTTAAAAAAATTACACCAAAAATGGTTATCTATACAGGAGCAGTGGAGTCAGAACTCGCGCCCTAGAGAAAAATGTCATGTAAGGTAAGAAACCAGGAACATGAAAAAAATAAAAAAAAAATTGGCTATTAAAATTTATGAGAGTTTGAATTTTGCACTTTGACTATTTATTTTCGTTGTAAAAATAATTTTCCAAGTTTTTTTGCTACAGGCTATTAGAAGAGGAATCAAGTAAGCTGTATCCTAAATTGTAACTCTGCTTAATGTTATTTGTGTCTTTTATTGGCAAAATTTTTGTTTCTTTACTAAATAATTATAAAAAAGAAAACAAGATCATCAGTATCATTAAATAGACATAAAACAATGTCAAATGGCAAAAAATAAATGTCAAATTGACAGATAGAAACTTTTTAAATGTTCCTGGGAGACCATGTGTATTTCAAATAAATTATTTTCAAATACTTTCAGTTTATAATTTTTGAATTTTGCTCCTAAATGAAACCTGTATTTTTAACTGTGTTACAAAAGAGTAAAATCAAGCATAACTGGAACACAATTTGACAAAAAATTATCAGTTTGCAGCTGTGTAATTTGATATGATAATATTTCATGATTAAAGCCATCAGATCAACCAATTTTATTATTCATCAGAGTAACACATTATTAAAAAGACAATTACAGTAAATAATTGCACAGTACTCATTTCCTTCCACAGAGTGATTACCAAGTTTTGCATGCATTGTAATCTACATCTGAATGCAAGTATAGTTCAGCTGAGTTAGCATTAGAATGGATAGTGACTGTCTTATTACATAACTGAGGAACACATACTTTTATTACCTTATGTTTATTTGCTTTAATTACAACCGGAGAGGCTCTTTTAACCTTTCTTCGCGTACTTTTCCTCAAATCCTTCCTATACCTTCGGAAATTATTCAAGCACGAAAATAGTTACAGTTTTAATCGGTCCACCCTGTACAACGATTCAAACATGTTGCAACCTTTTTGCTTGATAATAAATGCGGTTTTATCTAACAGGTGTGCACTAACTAGTTCACACACATGTTCAATCATATTCACGATAATTATAAACAATCAATAATTGGCATAGTTCAAGGCCAAACATCTTTTTTGCCAAGGTAGTGTCAAAAGGAAAGTTCAAAACTTGCATAAGTGCATGTCACTCTGCCAATTCAGGTGTAAATTAATCTCTTTTTGTGAAATTAGCAACAGCAAAAAGTTGTCGCGGAATAAAACGTACCATGTACGTGGTACTCCTTTTGCTTGTTGCAATCATTAACTGTAACTGTCAATTTATCGACAGCTTTATTTCTGTAACTAGGAAAGTCGGACAAGTCTCGCGTACTTCCTGGCGCCAGAACCGTCTTTAATTGAGGTTTTATGTAACCGGAGGATTGTCTTATAGTAAGCAAAATCCGAATCGAATCCGCTTCAATCCGGATCATTTTTCCACTTTTGCAAAATGACGCAATTTCTGCCATAAATTCGTCTCGAACAATGCGAAACGTCCCAGTGTCAATATTGCTCCTCAGCCTTGTGGTTCGCCTATTGCAGCTTTTATGACCCGTAATAACAAATATTTGGCGTGCGAATAAATCACAAGCAGCCATAAAACACACCAAACAGAATATGGAAAGGTTGGATCGAGAAAAAAGGTCGAAAATGCAACAGATCGTAGAATTGTCGTCGATTAACCAATCGGTAAAACCGTATAATTAGAGAAGCATTCCTGGCGAGTACGCGGCCTTGCCGAAGATAAATAACACCGTAGACATTCAAGATGGCGGCCTTCGCCGGAGAAAGGTGGATGCCAAATCTCAATTGGCCATCGACTTCTCTAATTGCTTTCGAATTCGGGTACCTCTGGGGTACCAGAGGTGACTGAACGAGAGGACTGGATGTGGCAAATCCCAATGTTACGTAAGTGGTTCCGGAATCACGGCCGTTGGGACCGAAACGGTTTGTGCGGTAGGTCAGGCCTGGTAGACCTTTGGGCAGCCTCGACGGAAGGTTTTTCGCACCTGCGGAAATTGCCCAATAGTGGGTTGTGCCACAAGATGGGCACAATGCGCAAGTCAAGGTGAAAACTTTATGATGATTATTATTATCGCTTTTTTAAAACACACGATTATGTAATGTAACAAAGAAAATAGCAACTCTATTGCAGGTGTAGATAACACTGAAAGTTACTACCATATGGGTAGTTTCTAAATTGAAATGTTGGTACTTCTCAAGGCCCCTCGTAAACCTCATGTTAATCAGACCAATAAAACATTATCTGCTCGTCGTCAGCAGTTACATGTTTAGCCAAAATTTTAATTTTTATTGCCCAGATGATGTCTCATTGCTATAAAAATGTTTGTTCAGAGGCAGCGTGTTTGATAAATTAATTAACTTCTGGGAAAATTTTCCTAAAAGTTATAAAACAGAACTAAATTGGTGTTTGTTTATGTTTTTTTCATTTTTTCCCAGAGTTGTATTTTGTTATACAATAAATATAAATTTCAATGACCGACATCTATTTCGTTGTAATTTATGTTTATCTGTCAATAAAAGTGCCTAAAGATATTGGCGATTTTTTTCTCATGCGTCACCTTGGACTTTAATTTGTTACAATGCCTAAACCTGAACACATTTTTTCACCACAAACTTTTCTTGTAAACTAGGTTAAAGGTGCTTCAGCACATTTTCAATTGAAAAATATTTCATCAGAGAGCGCTTTTTCACAAAATTACTATGCAAAAATTAAAATAACTGTTTCAAAAAACGAAGTTCTGCCATTACGACATCTATTGATTTGTTATTACTAGACATGTATGTTTCTATGTAGATAAGATTCCGTCCTGTTATTGCCAATAACTGCTCATCATTACCTAGTGGCTTTCCAACATAATAACAATAATTTATAGAAAAAAAAACAATATTATGCATATTATAATAATAAGTTGAATATCATTTAGCTATCACTACAACTATATGGGTATGAAAATACCCACAAGTCGATAAAATTTAATAGCTGAAACTCAAAACAACGTCATAAAAATTGAAAATAATGCAATTCTCCATCATTCGTGAGATGAGTCATGACAGTATTAGCAAATCCTTATGATAGTCCTAGGAACTTCTAAGCAGTCAAATGCATTGTTTTATCACACTTTTTAGTTACAGCTTAGTAAAGGTTTTATTAGCTATGAAGACAACTAGAGTTTTATAGACAGTTTAAAGCGAGAAGTTAATAGGCTGAGATTTTTAATCTATAAAACTCGTGTTGTCTTCAAGATTTTTTGCAACACTAATATTGAATCTGAAATTTTACGAAATTATTATAAAGAAGTATGTCAAAATTGACAAAAAATGCATCAGCGTATTTTATAGACTCACAAGCAAGCTTAAATGCACCATAGAAACAGTATAAGGTTTAGCGTTACAAAAAATACAGTGGCGGACACGGAATTTTGGACATGAAATTTATTTCAGTATTTCAAATTAAAATTCGTTTTCTGTAAATTGTAATTGGTCCTTTTGAAAGTCAAATCAGAATGAAAAATAGTTAATTGATAATCAATTGCTTTTTCGTTTCCAATCAAGTCATTACAATTCCAAATATGAATGAAGGTTCTTTAAATCTTCACATTTAGTCAAGGTTTGTGGTTATACAAACGTAATATTTTCTTGTAATATTTAAGTTCAATTTGGTACAGTCTGGTAAATATAGGCAAAAAAAAAGTTGATGCAGGTTGAGAAACCCTTTAACTGTTTTCGATGGTTTTGATGACAATAAGGATGGAAATGTGTTTTAACCTCTATTTTCACCAGAAAACATAATCGTTATATAACTGAATTCCGGTACTTAATCGAATTAAAGTTCTTTTAAACTTGATCAAAAAAACATAACGGTAATGCGACTGACCTTGATAGAGGATCCACAGAAACGGCGATAAGTAAAACCGCTGAGAAAATGCAGGCCAAGTAAATAGCCGAAATTTCGTAAATTTCTTTATCATCAGGTCTAGCAAGATTTTCGTTTTCATTGCTCGTTTGTGTGCAAAAGTTGGAGCCGCAGTTGGTGTAGGTGAGGTTGACGTCTGAGATTGCGGACTCTCCGCCGCCTCCATGAGGGTTGCTCAAAACTGCAATTAAAAAGTTATTTGGGTTTTTTGAGAGCGGTTAGTTGTCTCACCAAGCGACGAAATTAAGTTGCCCCACAATTCAGAGGTTTGCCAAGCCAGGAAGAAGAATCCGAAGAACCTAACGATGATGCCGTCCACGGCTTGGTCGGTGAGCTTGGCGTAGACACCGGCAACTTGCGTGAGATAGGTAGCCTTGGAGGCCCACATGGGCGCCGCGCCGATACCCAGCAGGACCCCCGCAGGCACCAAGGTGTAAAACCTCGGGTAGAATTGCGAGCCGATATAGGGCGCATAACACAACAGCGAAATACAGAGGGTCCATTTTACTGTTAGCCTCTTAATGAGGAATGTGGGAACGAAAATACAACTAACTACGAGAGCAGCGTAGATCGCGCACAGCGAAACAGTCCCGAGGCCGTCTTTGGCGTTGATGCTGCTCTGCAAGTTGGCAGTGCCTTGGAAAGCCGTGAATTGAATCATAAAGGCACAGGAGATGCACGATACGTTTTTCAGTATCCGCCATTTCTCCTTGGTCGAGAGTTTAAATTTGCCTTGTGAGGAAGCTTCTTCGTCGGTGATTTCTTTATTCGGGGGCTTGCCTGGCCAGCCGTTGTCGCCATCGCCTTTGAAGCCTTTGTTGTCGTAACCGCCAGTCACTGAAACAGTGTAGACGTCATCTTTGCCTTTGTCGGTGTTGTCGCCACCGGCACCGGTGTTGTTGTCGAGGGACGCGGTCATCTCGCGGCCGCGATCACCCTCCTCGATCTGCAAAAGACACAAATCAACAAACTCCCAAAAAAACTTTTGGAAAAGGTTGCTAGCTGCTAAGCGGAGCGAATTGTTGCTTAGTCGGCCGAGTGCTACTAGCACAGCTTCGCTCCAAGTAACAGTAAACTTTAGATCTAACAGAAGGAAACCCGTGAGGTCGTTAACGGTGAGGATCGACGACGTGGGTGCGTAGCTTTTGCACTTCCAAGGACGCCAACTTACTCTCTTCGGACATCAACCCCGCTTGCCCAATGCAACAGCTGAAATATTGCTGTTGCCTTAAATGGAAACAAAAACATGAATCCTTTAAGGAACAAAATAAAAAAGCCATTCTTGCAGATACAAGACTTCGTACGGCTATTTTTGGAACACGGGGCGTGATGCGTGCTTGCTAAAATTACAGACACGAAGATGGAATGCTGTAAAGTAGTGTATGTTTAAGGTATAAATAAACCTGCAGCGAGTTGCACTTGATTATGATTTGCATTCGTTGAGAAAGTCATTTATTTTTGCAGGACCGGTTGCAAAGAACCTTCCAGAATCCTGTGGTACCTACTTTCCGAAGGTTTCTCGTTTCCGGAAAAACACGAATTTAGCAATCAAAACTGAAGATGACTTGTTTTGCTATTACATCATCGCAAGCTCGAGGCAATATGGCGAAAAAAATCAACAATTTATCTTCAAGCAGCCATGAACCTAGTTCATGAGAATGCAAAAACCTAAGAACAGTAGATAGATATATGTGTTTCTGTCAATTAAAAAGCGTTGTACCGCACCATGACACTCTTAATGGGAAGATCCTGAAGGTTGGGCTAGCATTGAGATGGATCAGTAAAAGAACAAAAAGCAATAAAAAACAAACGTTCCCATATTAGTTTGTTATTATTGCTAATTCGAGTGTCGGAAACATGTTATTATATACTTCCGTACCATTGAGTGACAAGGTCGCAAAGATGCGCACGCAGACCTAACTTAGATGCAATCTTTAATTACGGCTTTAGTACTCGGAGGACTCTTCAAAGTGATAATAATAAGTCGGCGATTACGTAATAATTAAACGTTTGTCGGAGAATAGTTTGCGACACGATTCCAATGAATCGCCACAAGTGATAATTAGAAAGTTTCATCTTTTTGCGAACAAATTCTAAACACTGGCCTCAAAAGTGAACTCGGTCAAAATTTTCACTTTTTCCAACCATCTAGTTTGAAAATTGCATCATCAAAAGAAAATGTATGCACTTCTATAACTCATCGCTATTTTGCATATACTAAATTGCAAAATAATTATTTGGGTCAACAAGAATTATGAGTGAAAAATCCAGTGAAGAAGATACGCGAAGAATGCGGATTGAGGACACCCAAACAGCAACAAAATTGTTGGCGTTGGAACTTATCTAAAACGCCAACAAACAGACTGATTGGAGCCAAGTCAAAGTCAAACTGAGATAGTTATTCTAGATTAAAAATACAAAGGAATGCCAATACAATTTCAATAGATAATTCTGTGGTTTGCGGAATAATCTTGTTTAATTCAAATGAGTTCTTTGAACTATTACGATTTTTTTAAAGCAGCGATAAGCAGTTCAAAACGGCTAACACTTACGTAACCTTTGAACGAACTGTTCATTTGATTTAGTTTTCTTTACAAAAAATTGTAATTGAAGACTACCGCGTCCGAAGCAATATTGAGCAGCTGTAAATCGGATCGAATAAATTTTAGAGGGGGCTGAGGTGATCATGAAGCAGAACGAATCAAATATAAAGTTTGAAAAAGTGCAGTGTAAGTCGCTGTGGTGTTAGATTTACCATGGAGTCGATCATGGCCCAATAAAAGCTCCCAACGGACATCCTTCTGGGTTTATGATCCATTCTACCATCGCTAGAATGGATGGAACTGATGGACTTTTTCTTATAATTCGTCGTCATTGTGCTGGCACTTCAACTGTCATCCTAACACTCGGGAAATCACTGTTCTGGGCACTCGAGGAGTTTTGAGCACACTAAATGTTGCATAATGTGAAAAGGATAATTTCATAGTGCAGTTACAGCCTTGAGAAGTAACCTGTATATTATCGTAATGGTGACTATTGTGCAGGAAATTTATAAACGGGTATTAAGGCAAGTGTCGCACGGATCCTTCTATTGTTTATTTGTTTGCATTTTTTCCGGTTGAATGTCTTTAAAGTGTGATTATTTATGTCCGCATGCATTCACACACACACGACCGTATAAATTTATTTATTAAACTTGTTTGAAAACAAGCGACGAGAAAAATTTTATCTGCATATAGACAATCACTTCCTTGAGATCTATTGGAATTCTGCCTCACCGTTTCCTTAATTAAAACACAACCAAACAAAGAATTCTGACACTTTTTCGTTGATGGGATGACGTCTGTGCACGTCAGCCCCTGGCATTGAAAATTCGATTTAAAGTTCAAACGCCTAATTAAAATTAATCGAAAGGAATGGCAAAAACTATTTAGTACAGCAATTTCTTTCTAGACGTCTATAATTATTATCAAAGCTCAATTAACGAAGATATATAACAGCATTTCGGTTTTTGCACGCGACCAGATGCACAAAATGTAAAAAATACACTCGACACGAACACATTAAAAGCAATTTTTCATGGAGAATGGCACTTTCAAATAAATTTGCTGGCACGCATTGGAATCCGGTACTTACAGGATTTTTTATGATGTTCTTTAATTATCTAATGAATCGAGAAAATTCATCTACTGTTGAGTAGATGGCATTCAAAGCTCAGTTTTGCTAATGTACTAATTCACCGTTCTTATTCTATAAACCAATCAATTGCATTTTGTTGTTTTATTTTCACATGTCATGCTGTATTTAGTTCCAAAGTTTGTAGTACAAATTTTTGCAATTACCGTTACTGGTATGTTTACAAAGGCCAAATTATATTAAATTTGCTATTGTCAAATTGAAAATAATAGGCGGCACGAATATTTGATAGCAACTTGATGATGTATAGAGGTAAAAAAAGCATACAATCATTATTTGTTAATAAAAAGGTTATTATACCCTTAATCATCTCAATACAAGATTTTTTTATGTATGATGAGAAGCAAATCCCTTAAAACGAACGTTTATCAGATAACAGTTTAAGTTAATAACATGTTTGTTGAATATTTAATGACATCCTTGTTAAAATCTGTAACCTTTTCTGGTTGGCAGATTTTCGCATTGAAATTGTCCCAGAATGAAGATGTTCTGTGTATTTTTGTTCGACGGTAAAATATTATTCGATTGCCCTTGCGAATTTCCCTTTGACATGGTTTTTTTCGCACGTGACGCCAATCGAGAAAAGTGCAGTTATTTTATTTAATTGCTTGAAGGCCCACCAACACTGCCAATGTTAAAGACGCACTTATTTATTGTGTGTTGTTATTTGTATTTACAATGGATGGCTTCAGTAATATTCATGATATAACCCGTGCCATATTAAGCTAATTATTTTAATGGTCTAGTGATTCAAAACCATTAATTAGCTAGGTGGATTCTGTTTCTAGAAGTTGTTAATTATATTTATTTTCGATTGCGGATATGGGAACGTTTAAGGCCCGAAATTTACCAAGCGGATCTATCGTCAAAACAATTTAATTTCGCTGACATTGGATTTTTTTCAAATTGCAATTGACACGCTTCGTCGAAAATTTTGATAAAAGAGAAAATTCAATTTTTATTGGTGATTACCCATAAAACAAACAAATTGTAACAACTAACTAAAATTTTGCCAAAGTTCGAATGATAATTGAAACACAATTCCACGAATTCAGTAGTTAGTCTGCATTAAATTATTGATGACTAGTTATCTAATTATCTAAATTTATTCATAACAAAATTAAAAACAAGTTTCGAGCGGGTACTACCTGGCGATCAAATTTTTGCACAACTTAAATGTCAATAATGAACAACAAATCCGACGCAAAATATATTGTGTCAATAATTTAAATACTTCAAGCTTAATGTTTTGTAAAAACCAGTGGGCAGTCGTGGGTTCGTTAAATGAAATTCCTGGTCCATTTCGCGTGTAATGATGTCAATTTGAGAAAAGGAGTCTCCATCAATCGATAATCAATTTAAATTTATGCATCTGTGGAGACATCGAGGCATTTTATTTTCTAATTCATGCATAACGGCATTTACAAGATTTTTACACATTCGAAACATGTCTCTGACCATAATTGACACGTACATAAAAATTAATAGACCCACAGACCGTGTTTTGATTGGGAGATTCACTCAATACGAGTTACATCACCCGTTGCGTGAAAAATTATCAACAATAGTGTTTAATTATAATTTTAACCATGATTTTTCGATATTGTGCATTTGCGAAATAATTGATTCTTTCATTTTTAATAATAAGAATCGAGAAATTACTCAATCCCTATGTTTCCGGGTATGGTATATAATACTTCTTCAAATAATGGAAAAAACTCCTATTATTATTAATAGCCTCAAATTCTGTAATTTATGCAAAGTCGCAATTTTACACTGGCCCCTAGCCGGTTTCATAATAATTACATAATTTTTTCAGTATTTTTTACAGAGATGTCAGTCAAAATACGTTTTTCGTTTTTTTAGGTCAAGTAGAAAAATCCTTGAGGTTTAACCGCTTTGTTTTTCGCTTCAAACTGATTACATGTGTAATTTGACTAATTTGTGACTTTGTTTATTTGTATAATTTTTCAATTAATTATTTTAATTTCATAATGAGATAAAATTAATTACGAGCTATTGTAGGTGTTAAACGACACGGAATCATGGGTTCCAGAAAAAATCCTTAATTCTAAGAGTTCGAAACTGTTTTAGCAAACAGGAAACTGTCAGTAATTTGTAATTTATTCTTCCAGTCATATAAATTAGCAAAACAGTAACAAGTTTTTAATTAAAACTTTGATGCTGTTGCATCAACAAAAAAAATATTTTCACCGAAAGGAAAAACCCAAAACTTTTGGAAGTTTAGCGTAAAAAACAAAGTGACATCTCTTCAAGGATAGTCTACGTGTTACTTATTCTTTATTTTATATTACTTCATAGATCAAATTATGTAATTTTATGATAGGAGTATGTAATTACATAAATATGTCGTTCCGTTTACTTTTCATAAAAATTTGGTGAATGTAGGTAATTAATAGTCGTACAATTTCTGAATATTTTCAAACAAGTGTGAAATATTTGGCATTCACGAATTCGAGGAACATTTTGCATATCCAAAACAAAAATGCCTTGTGGACTTGTAACTCGCCAAAACCAGTTCGTTCTGACCGCTGGAAGTATTATAAATTGTTTTTGACAGACATGAATGTTTGTCTAGATACAGGTACAGTTTTGTAAAAAAATCCAACAAGTGGCCGAGTTTTTTTCAATTTAACGGAACTTTGTCCTATCGAGATTACTCAGCATCAAGTATCGGTAAGAATTTACTTTCCTTCTGCAAAGTTGCCCCACTTGACCGCGCCTAGCGGGCTTTACATGTGTACCCAATATCGTATTTAACCAATATTTGCCAACAATATCATTTGCATAGAAGAAAAACCGACGTGGGAACGGTCCTGGCATTGCAAAAATTTTCAAAATTTGTTTTGTCTTCTCTAGTCAAAAGTAGGTCTTTGTCATACTTTCTACCCGCATTTGCAAGTTAAATTTATAGGTATTTTGCTGACTATTGTTTCGAATAGCAGTTTTGCTTTTCGATAAATTCTTGCGGTAGGTAAGCGCTGGGAAGTGTTTGATCAATTAAGACCCGTAAATCAGTGGATGGCACTTCCTCTTCAGCCTTTCCCTTCTACCTAATCAAGTGTTCTATTTACTTATCCTGATACGATATGCTAATGGATTTTTAAATCTCTACAAATGAATCCCTAAATTGGACCCAGTTTAGGGAAATATTTAAATATTTTGGTCCATTGCCCAATGTGAACTTTAAAACAACGTGCAATAAATTGCTCAATGAATAAAACGTTAGTTCTAATTTTACAAACATTATTATTCACAAACAACATGTAGCAATAACAGGTTTTCCATATTAAACAATTTTCGATCAAATCGAAAAAACTCTAGTGACAACATTAATGTTTTGACCAAGTTTATTCACCTCAACAACAGTCACATGTCAGCCATTCCTGTGGCTTTTTAGAATTATGTTGTTTTATATAAATTATTGCAAATACACGTGTTCTTTTGAAGGACGTGATCGGCAATTAATTATTCACTACTTTTCTCTTACTGTTAGTTGCTAGGTCGGTGTTTGACATTTCCTTGACGTCATCTAGTAGTTATTTACATTGTCTGATGGGGCGTGCGACCGGTTATCTTCATCGAATTTGAATTTCCTAGAGGTGCAGTCAATTTACTGCTTGCTCATCAGGAAATTAACCCCTGAGGAAATTTTTCCTGTTGACTAAATGAGAGCGAAACAAAATTTTAAGCCAAAAAACATACCAGCTGAATAAAAAGTATGGAACCAAACGTTTTTTGCTTAAACTATTTATATTTTGAAAAAAAAACTAATTGATGTACCATAAAAATGTGATGTTTTATCAAAAATAAAATTTTTCAAAATTTTCTTGTCTTTGAGTTTTACACATTTTTTTTTAATTTTTTTTAATTGGCAACCCACTATAAAACTATCTACTTTATATTCAATTTTTTCAAACAAATTTTTTACATAGATTGCAATTTTGACAAAAAAAATTGCATAACTCAAAAACAAAACAAAAAACCGCTTGGTTCCATACTTTATATTCACCCTGAATAATGTATGTAATTTTGTTGATGACTAATGTTGAAAAAATTAAAAAATATGTTAATAATAATTTTTTTCCATTGGTTAAAATGTATGGTAATTATATTTTAAAGCCTCATTTGGAATGGTAAATCCTAATTTGTGTGAATTAAAGATAAGCCAACATTCCATTATGTCTAAATTTACAATAATATTGAAAAAACTTGAAGACTTGTAGATTGCAAGATAAATTAAAAATGGCACGATTATGATCTCCACTTGAGATAAAGTTCTAAGAATAGACAAAAGGGTTTAAAATATCAACAAATGTATTAGTGAAAATCAAAATCTATCTCTAGATTCTTCTCCAAAATCTGTAAAACGTTCCAGCATTAGTTATACAACACTGCGGAAGTATCGATGAAAGTAAAAATATTTTTATATTCACGCAAATATCCTGCGTTCGTTTTCTACTCGATTTTTTGAGTGAATCCCCCCTTGCGGAAAACCATTACATAAAGACTTCTTCGGGTCTAGTTCAATCTAGGAAAAACCAGTTTGGACATGTTTTTCTGGCACATTTCTATATTTTCTCTCAATCGAGGAAAGTTTGCAAATTGCGCAACATCGTAATGACATTCTTCCATCAAAATTTTTTTATACCATAATTCGAAACAATACCTATGACGTCAGAATTTACTGGTAGGGCAGGTTTATAAAAAAATTTCTGAGGTGTGGTTTTGAATTCTTGGTCGATACGTGAATTTCCGCATCAGAAACTTGTTGCGTCAGTAATAACGATCAAGTTTGCTCTTTATGATTGAATTAGTACGTAATGGGTGCTACCACGGTTGTGCAGCTTTGTTAGGATAGGACCATCAAGGTTAACTTGATAAGAATTCAAACAGATTGTGTAAAGATTGTTTAATAGAACTGGTGATATTGAACTAGGAGCAGGAAAAGCAGGTTTGATTGGAAAATCTGCAATGGTAATCAGAGACTTATCGGGTAATGCTAAATGTATTGGCGATGATACTTTCACCATCTGGAGGTGTGAAGAATTTTCCAGAATGACATGAATTGAAATGCCTTTGGTTTACGCATAAATGGAGTTTGCAAGTTTGATTAGTGGAGCTTTGGAACAATATAGCGAAACTGGCTAGTTCTATAAAAAATGTTAGAACTTGTTTATACACATTTCCACGCTTCTTATTCACTTTTGAACACTACGCTGATAATCTATCTGCCTACTGTTGAACTTGAAAAACTAATCTTCAATGTCAATGGACCGTAAATCTAACACTACCCGAAATTTCAATTTGCCAAAATTATTATGTTTGCTATTTTTGTAAATTGTGATAAACAAGTGAAAGTGAAACAGTGACAGGTGTCGATGCCGTATATCATCCATAACATGGAAACTTATTATTGCCACACATCATAAATAACAATCAACATCCACCGCAAAATAAAGTGTTTGAAATTCATCTCATTTTTCGCAAATATTAAAAGCGTCTAGACGTTTTCAGCTGAAAACCTGAAACGCATGAAGATCCTTTCGCATGAATAATGTTTATTCATGGTGTGAACAATGAAACCGATCGGAACAAATTGACTATAAATTCAGTTACATAATCGCGCACACATTTTGCATTAGTTAGAGCCACCTTGACAACAATCATTGGAAAGCGCAGACTTTGAAAATGACACTTTCAAAACTAATCGATATGTGATCGGGAAGCAAATACCCAAAAAGGAAAATTCCACTTGAAACTTGGACTAGAGAAGTAGCTTTAAAAATATCTAATGAGGTTATAAATAGACAAGATAGGGATAAAAATAGTCGAAATCATTGTAAAAAATTGATTCAGTTCTCTTTCTGCATGACTTATTCGGAAATTATTCAAAGAGAGGAATTTTTCATTTTATTGCGGTAATGCGGTTGATCACACTTGTTAAACAAGCCATAATAATAGATTTGCGGTGTTGTACACCATTTCTATTAATTATTAAGCTAGAGACAGGTTATAATCGGAAATCCCATTGTATGGTTATGGCAATTTTGATACTTCCTGGTGCTGAAACTTCTCTTTTCTCTTGATTTATTTAGTCCAAATAATGACACACTCAGAGATAATTATCAAAAATTGAAACAATGCAATGAGTAACTTGTTTCTGTTTATTGATTTCTATTTATAACCATGGAATTTTTTTAAATGATGTTTCCTGTGGAAATAGCGGTTTTATCAATTTTTTAACAGACAAACAAATAACTGCGGACTGATCTAAATCGTGGTGCTAATTTTGTATCCACCGTCAGTAATAATTAAAATTAATTTAGCCGCGAGTATCTTAATGAATGACTTGCATACGAAGTGCTTTTTTAAATCGTTTTAAGGTACCGACCTTGGTTAATTAATTTTTGAACAAAAATATTGTTTAAAGGTTACAAACGGGCTGTACGATGAAATTCTCTCATTTATCGGTGTTTGTTATTAAATAACCAATGTCAGTCATGTTCAATGACTCCATTTTAATTGTGAACTGAAAGCGGTAAATATTTTCATTTCGTCAACTACAATAAATAACTAAAGCAAGTACTTTTTGATTTGGTTTTAATTGGTATTACTTTAGATTGAATGAGCCTGCAAACCAGTACACATATAAATAAAATAGCAAAGCAACTTTTACCTAAGCTGGTAATAAGTACTTATCCTTATTGCAAAATCTTAAAATAGCCACTTTCTAGAATTATCCCAACGGCTGCTACGATAATAACTATCTCAGTTTATCTTTTTGGTCTGACATTAATATCACCAAGAATCAAGAAATATGAGCAAGTTTGCAAATTGCCAGATTTTTACAAAATAAAAAGTTTTTTTAAAATTTTTCCGGGGACTTACATGGATGTGTGTAGGAAATCAACCGCCGTTTCGGCGCAGCAGTTGTCTCTTGTTAGTGAATTCCCGGAGTCTCCGCCGTCGTCCCGGAGAGCAGCTCCTGGTGCGTTTCGGTTCGTTGAGATCTCTGCAAACCACCGCGGAAAAATCACAGCCACTTATGTTTAACTTATTGGTGATGCGCCCCAGTTTCGGACTTGCTAGTTCTTTGTTCGGGGAAATCGGCTCCAATATGTCGAATCGAGGAAACTGAAGAGCCGGTTGTAACTGGTTACGCTCCGTAACGACCACCACATGCACCGCGAACAAGAGCTAGGTGTGTACTGGCTCACCGACCACAAGTGCCGAGGTTGGAACTGCGAGACCTTTCCCCCAGGACCAGCTTTTACGGAGATAGTTCACGTGTCGGGGATGCTGCTGAAGTCTGCTCTCAGATGAAGCTGCCGGACTGATAGATTGATCCAAGCACGTCACGCCTCCTGATAAGACCGCTTAATTTACAACGTTTTGTATTCGTCGTTGTTGTTTTCGTCAAGACTTAGAGGGGACGCAGAAAAGCGACGATTTTTGCAAGTTGGGGGCTAGAGGGGCCCTAGCAACAGAAGGGGCTTACCAAAAAGTACAAGAGGATGGCGTACCGGTTCTTGTCGAGGCTTAACCTTGCAACTCGTATTTTTGGTTGGAGATGTCTTAACAACGGCAAAACCAAGTCACTATTTACCAAAGACTTTGTTACTTATTTTTTGACAGAATTGTAGTATAACGCATTTATAATTAAATTGCTATGTCATTACGATTTGACGAAAATGACTATTACTTTGCGAATGTGGAAGATAACAGTTGAAACTTATTAGAGATACCTATGAATAATAAAAAGAAATACAAAATTTGTTATAACAATAAGCAGGAAAATTAAAAACTAGTCAGAGATTTGTAGAATGATCGATCAGATTAACATCTAGATAAAAAATAAAACCAAATAATATTACGACAATTCACTGTTTTTAGTTTAAGAACTCATTGTGTGAAAACATTCTAAAACATGTAGCGCTAGATACTGTGCTACTTTTAAATGAAGAAGGAAATGTGAGAGAATGTCTAATTACTTCAATCACCGGAACAATCCGGTTTGGCTTCCATCTGATTTGATTTTATTTTTGCAAGTTGAGATCAAATGCTATAAAGATAAGAGAAAATCTCATGTAGACATACTGTAGTCTTAAAAATTGATTTAAATGATTACATTGGATTATGCTCTTTATATGCTATTGATTATTTTTATTACTTGTAATTTCAAACTTAAAAATTGACACAAATCACTTAGAAATTTATTTTAATTAAAAAAAAAATGTTAAATGCGAAATTTTGACTTGTCGGCAAATCAAATATTGTTTTATTCAAAGTAAAATGCTCGTAAAACCGGGTTTTAACTATTTTTTCAAATAATTGGTTTTGAAATAATTTCTCGTTTGTTTTTTTTTAATACCTACCTATAAAAGATACAAGCAGGCAAAATACAAAATGAGTATAATTGGTCACAACACTGTAACAGTATGGAAAATGTTTTTTTGCCAATTTAGTTCACTATCACCTCTTGAAATAAAAATAAAATTTAAATTGGCAAAAAAAGCATAATGCTCTAATAATGTCAAAAATTGTGTTGATATGAACGGTAAATAATTTTTAAAAAATAAATGAGAAAAAAACATGTCTTTTACGTATTTGTTTCCACAGGATGGTAAAATGTACTTTCAAATGTTTTTTTCAAATTTTGTTGCAATTTTTTATTATTATAAAGAACAATAGTGTCAACATTACAAGACACTTCTGAACAATTTATCTTAATTGCAATTTGGAATTTCTATCAAAAATATTTTTTCATTAAAGTACTTGAAGCCCCAAGTTTATTTTTATCGTCTTTTTCAATTTTGATATCATCATAAACAATAACGTACACATAGTTATAATTATTTAAGAATGTTGTGTCATCAGTGTGTTTTTCTGAAATGTGTGTTTGATAACCCACAGTTTTGTCTTTTTACTATACTACTTAGTGCACGCTTGTAAACAAGACTTTAGCTAGTATTTTAACAGATTTTAATGAGTTAATAATCGAACACTTTGAATTTATTCTTTAGAGGATCAAGTGAATGACAATTTAGAAAAACTTTTCTATAGGAAGCTTTTCCATTTCGTTATTTATGATGTGGTAAAACTAATTGCTTCCAATTCTTTTATTAATAATGGGTTATAAGTGATGTGCAGCTACTTTATAACTCACTAAAACCACAGCAAAGAGGGTGTTGAGTTTGCTCAATCTAAACTGACCACGATTACAACTGTTTTTGCCGGATTATTCCGCTCGATGCTGACTCAGAAGAGTTCCTTCCAGATATTTTGCAGCCAACACAACATAAACAATCGGTTATGGACTATGACAGGAAAGTTGAAGGTCGGATGCCTTCGTTAACTCATCCTAATTTATAACGATGACCTTTAATTAATTATAAATACGTACAAACAGGTACCTACTTAGAAAGTTCTTCATTAAAAGTAAACTTTCTTAAAAAATGGATTGCATTTTCTATATGACACCAAGCATATTCGATTATTCACATTCTCAATAATAATACAGATTGCTTCTTTTGTGTTACTTCAATTTCGTATCTACTTCAAACAAGACATTAAAATTCACTTTAGATAACGGATTATGGGTTTTTTCTTTAATATTTTCTCCCAAGGAATGGTAATCGTCTAGTTATTACACTAAGTCGTAGTGTACTTGCTATTAAGTAATGCAAAACTTCAGATAAAGTTGCGGTATCAGCACAGAACATATACAGTTACGTTAGCAAGAGCTAGGGTTGAATTTCATTGGGAAAATAACTAAGAAAGAACACAAAGATTGGGCAATGAAATCTGTTTTGCGGCACTACAAAGAACTGAAAGCTTTCAAGAATTTAATTTTGATAAAATCAACTTGAAAAAGCTTAATGAAAAGCTATATCTTATCAAAACGATTATAAGTTTTAGATGAGTTTAGAAGATTGACTAAAAATAAAAAAATCTGTCTCAAGTATGTGATTAATGTATTAAGACGTTACAAAGTTATCTTTTTATGAACATTCTTGCCGTTCAAAAAATAAAGGCCTTGGTGTCTGCATCCGGTACACCAAACTAGTTCTCCCATTGAATAGTAATCTAAAAAAATGTTTGCTGCCAAATTTTGAACAAAAAATCTGCTAAACAAGTTCGAGGTAAGTTAGTATTCAAATTAGTCGAAGAATTGTGGGTATGTACATGTATGTATCTGACGTAATTATTTAAAAATAATTTTCAAAATTTTTTCTCAACGCGAATAAGAGGAAAGTAGGACCGGTAGAAAGTACTTGAAATAATCGTTTTGCTATTAATTCTCTGTTAAAATTTGTCTAACTACAAAAATGAGTGTTTTTTTTTCTATTTCCCATTGCTTTACCTTTTCTACGGTACTATAAGTAACATTTTTTTCTTTGATTGATTATAATCGTCACTTTTTACCTTGAAGTACCACCTGTTAAAATAATTTGGATGATTGTTACAATAATTATTACAAGCACTAGCCTTATTTTAGTTTAATAGATTTTTTTCGCTAGATTAATTACTGGGTTGGCTACTTGCTACTTGACTAATTAAGTACAACCAGTTTTTTACTTTTTATCACAATTAACAAAAATGGTTAAAAATATACATATGGAATTGGTTTATTCAAGAATCAGTAAATAATAAAACAGCTGAACATTTTTGGAATTAATATGTTAGATTTGCAGCAATTAAATCTAAAGCTTGTGTACAAAATAATCAATCACTTATTTAAAAATGAAAGGTGCATCTTACGTGCAAAATATTACATTATAAAAATAGTAACAAATGAACTTTTTGTATCCAATCAATCAATATCGGAATTATGTGCATCTGAACAGTTTAAGATTAGGTAAAACGCCTATTTAAAAGTTTAATCCAATTCATAATCTCGAATCAATGGTAAGTAAGTAAAATTTTTATTGCTTCAGAATTCCGAATAATCCCTTCAATAAAGATGAAACCTTGCTTTTCCTAACCTACATACACCATTACCCAAATATTATCTAATGCAGGAAATAACATTTAAATCTTGTATAATCTTATAGACTTACCATTATCCTGGTAACATAATCCTTTATATGAGCTGAACACTTCCACTTCACAATCTCACTAAGAATTTTCGTCAACTGTGAAGAAGCATCTCAAAAAATTTTTTGATAAAATTGTGACGACAAAAAGAGACTAGGATTTGCCATCGCGATATCCACTGTTTTGCTTATCGTTGTAATTAATGCTTATGCAGAAGAAAACACGGACATGACACTGTTTAACATTGCGGAATTTGACATTTTGGAATATTTTAAAATTGAGCATTTTTATATTGTTGTTTGCTTTAGACTGCGAATCCCGGGATCAAAAGATGAGGTAAAGAATGGTCGTTATTTTCTTGCGGATTTGCGTTTATTGAAGCCACGCGTTTGTTATATTTTTAGTAAATTTGCTACTTAATCATACAATGTCACTCTAAAGTTTTCCATCGGTTTACTTATTTTGTAATTGGGTAAATATTTACTACTCACCAGTCTATTGAAAAGTTTTTCCACGTGGGGGAACTTATCAAAAAATCAGTAAAATTACCTTTAAGTTTCTGACTCATTTTGGTTACAACAATAATATTTCTACTTTTGGGTACTTCAAAGTTATCTGCTATTGTTGTAAATTTGGAGAATCTATTCTAAATTAACAATTCACAAACATGTACACATATATGTTTTTTCTAAGATTAGGTTTTAAAGTTTTCTAATTAATAAGCACATAAAATGTTGTTTTTCAAACTGTTTTTTTTGTTGTAAATCAGATAAGACACCATAAAATTTCAAATTAACTATGCACAAGTTTTGATTATAAAACAAAGTAAAACAATCTATTATATGAAAACAAAATCAAATTTTCCGAATTGTCAACTTTTGGGACATAAAAGCCTCGACCTGAATTTTTATTGATGTTTATTCATGCTTCATGTACGTATTTGCCTCTGCATTGTTAAGTACCCAGCGATTATGACGCGTAAATTACTACAAAAAGTAAATTTTATAATAACGTTATATTTGTATTTGTATTTCGGTTGTATGACTTGCGTTAACTGAAGAGGAAGATATTTTAGTGAAACGTGAAGTATCATTTATACGTCACGATTTAATTTGACACGAGACTTAATTTACTGCAGACATTTTCCGAGCCATTGATTATTTTAATGAAGATTTTACCTACAATATACAGTGTGCGATCAAAAAGTCTGTCTATCAAGTAAGCCTAGAAAATGAAAACGTGTGTCTGTGAAAGAAGAATAAAATGTCACAATGACAAATAAGAAATGACAAAATAATTTTCATGTAAAGTGTAAAAGCAAATCGTGGTA